ATGTAGAGCCGAAGCCCAAAGTCGCACTACTGTTTCGCTTAACCAGGGGGAGATCCTCTGGAACCCCCTTTTCGCCTGCAGCGGGCTTTGCTTGGAAGGTCTTGGCAGAGCCGATTACATTTAGCGGGAAAAATTACACTGTAGAAGTGATTTTTACACCCCCGACCGTGCGGTAGTCGATCACGATAGGAAAAAAAGAAGACCGGATCAAGCATGTAGCATAGCAGAACGATTACTTGAAGCTTAAAAACAAACAGTAACGCGGCTTTTTGGTTACCGATTTTCTACCAATCAAATCAATAGCCGGCTTATATCCGGACCAATAGGAGAGAGGGCTTGGCGGTAGAGATAGTGTAATATTTGATGTATGTTTTTGGGTGCACGTTCTGCCGGAGGCGGCCTCGGCCCGGCCGATCCTTGGCAGTTCAGCCCTTCGCCCCAAATCATCTGTCAATGCCTGGCTTGAACATGACTTGAGCCTCGTAGTGAGGTTTTGCGTAATCTATTTTTCATTGTTGAATAGCCTTACGATATTGGGCTAGAGTACCTAGTTTCCAAGGCAGCTCGGAAAGATAGTTATGACCAATCGGACGGGGGCTCAGTCTGTGAATTGCGCAGGGTGCACATATTCTATCCTTGCCTTTCTTTCCAGCGAAGCACTTGATGATCATCTTACGAGCCTGTAGAGCTGTGCAAAGAAACCCTGCATCTTGAATCTTCAAAAGGAGATCTAAATCAAAGAAAGTAATAAAAATAATAATTGCATAGCGAAAGAGTGGAATCATTACGAGACGATCTTTGCGAATACACCTTTGCTCCAATAACACCGCAGACCCTGTAATGATCAACACTCAAGTCCATTCATCTCAGACAAACTCCACTTCCATCCCCTTGTACACACCCTGAACTCTCTTCCATTTCAGCTCCTTTGACATCGCCAACTGCAGCCTCATTCGATCCTTCGATTTCTTCTGTCCATGTCGATCCTGCAAACGATCGATATCCTCGCAGAGCAGATGTTCCTGGGCTTGGTTGCCCTGGTGCTCAACGACCTTGAGTTCAGTTCCGCGCCGTGCATCTAAACAAACTAGTGCATGGCCGCGAGGAGTCACAACTTTGAGCATAATCAATCCGCTAAGCAGTAGCGTCGTCATGTGAAGAGAACAATCAACGGAGAAACCATCGTTAGAATCGCGCTGCGAGAAAACCTTATTGTATGGACCTCGGGTTTTGAGCAAGCTTCCACCCCGCTCATCGTGTAAGAGCTTAGCCATGATGAGTTGCTCATTGATGCCTGAGATGGCGCGCAGTTCCGACACAGATCGACATCGAACGCGAAATCGAAGGAAGTCGCTCCAGGGCCAGTCTTCCACGAATCTACTCTTTTGTACCAGGAGGTAGAAACCGGCTAAAATCCAGAGATACATGGACAAATTAGATGGGTCAACTCCTGTGATGCGGTTCCCACATGCAATCATTGCCAACCCGCCCCCGGCGATTATGAATGCAACCAAGAGGATGGAGCACACTTGATATTTGCAGGCAACAGTGACGCTGCGCTCGTCGATCACCCAACTATCCATCTCCCGCGACCTCTCCACCAACTTGCTCTGCACCTTTCCGGCATTCTTGGAAGAGGCCCCACTGTGGATGAGATTGTTGCGGGAAAAGAATCCTTGCTGGACTGCCGCTGACAAGCGCATGACATCCCATGACTGACTGTCATTCTCGAATTGATTGGTGTACATGCGAAAGAAAGCGCAGTAGTCCTTGTTCTTAGAAGGTCGGACAACGTCTTTAGCATCGCAAGCTAGCGCTAACGCGGCGCGAAATCCGGTTAGGCTGGCAACCACGACGGGGCTTGTAAGTACTAGAGGAATCATGACAGTGATGATGTCCGCCATGGAATTCATCACAGCCTTCTGTGGCTTGCATCTCGATAGTTCATTCATTGCATTGTCCGCCAATGTGGTGCTGGATATCTTGTTGTGGGCGTTACAATACCTCCATTCTACCGTAGTCCGCAAGTTACCTTGAGATTTAGGTGGGCAGTTCTGTTTCACCTGTTGTAAGGCCTCGTTCAAGATTTTGAAGGCGGGGTAGGCTGTTTTGAGGGCATCTTGATCTGACGAGGCCGAATATTCCAAGTCTCGGTCCTGGAAGAGCAAAGCCTTGAAGTCCTCGAATCCAGTCCCGTATACCATGCCACAAATCTCAAAAGATGTAGCTTGAAGTCCCGATCGGTTATGGAATCGGAGAGAAAGCAATAGATAGCGCAGAATCGTATCGATGCCAGATCGGAAGCGGTTTTGGTCAACGCAGTACCGAGCAACCTCTGCGTTAGCGGTCGTCGTCAGACCCTCCTTGCTCTCAGCATCGATCATGCGCAAAACCTCTTCGCACTCTTCCTCATCCATGATTCCATTTGACAAGCGGCTGGATATGTCTGTTTGGTCGAGAGATGCCTCACCAGCCTGACAGGAAATCAACGTGTTGGCGTGCATATCGATTAGTAGCACTTTCAGTTTGGCGACCCTCTGCGTCAGGACGGCCAGGACGTTGTCGGACCAATATTTCCCAACTGCTACCTGGGCGAGTAGCCTAGCTAGGATAGCGGAGGTGTAATCTATAAGAGCGAAGATGGAGTCCAGAAACGAGTCCTTCTTCTTGCGTTGTTCTTCCGCCACTTCTCCTCCTCCTTCCTGCCACATACTATTCGTCTGACTAACTCTAGCCTGCTGGATGAGTTTCTTCAGTCGATCTCGATTCGCCAGAGGCTTGCAGGATTTGACGTAGATGCATTCGTTATCCAGCATGCATAGTGATAGAGCAGACAAGACCATCTCTGCCAAACGTCCAAGATCCTGGTACCCTTCTTCATTCCCTTCACCAAAAAGTCCTTTTCCGTCGAATGGAAGGACTGGGTCAGGATTTTGTACAGCGCTAACCAACCTACTGGCCTCATCCACCCAAAGCTCTAGAGCTTGAAGGTTGGCGGGCAAGTACGCTCGGAGATCGTCAAACTGCGGCATCTTCACAGTATTCGAGTGATCAGCAGAGGAAGGAACACAACGTCCGCCGGAAACTATCAACTTAATAATGGATTGTGCATCTGTCTCGACTGGTGTCTTGTCTCCATCATCCTGACTCGCAATTGAAGCCGCCTTCTGGCCCGAGCCAGCACTCCCGAATCGCTTCCAACTTCGAAATAACTTGGTTTTCTGGTTTCTGACTACGAGAGGAACGGACGAGTGCCGGGAAAGCATCGAATTGACATGATTTGGCTTTGGGGCGTCCTTGCGCTGGTTCTCTTCTCTGGATATTGGTTGTTCGATGCCGCTGTTCAACGAGGGCTCGAGGCTTGGGTTGCCTTTTTCAACGTCAAGGTTGCAAATTTCGAAAGACATCGTGATAGCTGTGGTCTGTAAGACTAGTCGTGGTCAATGACAGCGCCGGGGAATTGGCACATTGATATCAGCTTATCGTCCTAGAAGCTTAAGAATGAATGGCAAAACTTAGCCAGCCCTCTGAGGCTTGAGCCCCATTCTCGCTCTCTTTAGCGGGCAAGTCCGGTAAGGTAATAAACCCATCGACTACAGTGGTTTCACTTCCTGAGGCATTTCCGGGGATAGTTTGATCAAAGGCATACCGTTTTCGACATTTTCTCGCCACACTTCAGCCGTGCTGGGGTATACCAGCCCCGACATTTGGGGCGGCCCCCACGATTACTAAGTCCATGTGGCTGTGAAAGCGGGGCGTTAGTTTCATGCGTTCCACTATCAGGTCCTCTGGTTGGCGGGAGAGCTCTGGAATTCTGTGCCTCACTAACAAGAAGTGATGTTGGGCGCGGTGGAACTCTTTGGAAGAGACTTATGAGATAATACGGGGATGCCGGGAAGTGAGGCGGTGTTTATAAGGCAACCCTGTTCCGAAGTTCTAATTGGATGGGTAAGCCCGTGGCTCTCGCGGTCGATGTCAAGCCTGTGACAAGTACAGCTTTGCGACACAAACATGAAATCGAATCTTGAGCTACTTCTTGTAACCATACACTTTCATTTGCAAGATCTAATTTTGACGTACAACCGCCATGACACTGAACACAGGTAATCCAAACGGTGCCTGTACCGTTTCTCGTTACCGTCGTGTAATTCAGCATTCTTGGGCACAACCCGAACAAGTTGAGAATGCGACAGCCCCTAACCTTAATGATCAAAACGTCATATCGCAAGTGCATGTTAAGCAAGAAATCACACCAAAGACTGGGGGAGGGCATCCTAGCCCTGTCGTAGTAGAGGGCGACGATAAAGTCCGGGAAGCTTCCACAACAAACCCTAACAAACTCCCACCCTACGAAGAACAAGAACCACAGGAAAGGAAGCTACTATACATCTCAGATGACAGTTGCGACGAGGGGTCGTGTAAATTTGAAAGTCACAAGAGTGGTCAACGTTACAAGAAACGCCAGAGTCAATCCTCCAAACGGACGAAAGATCAATGTCAGAGAGTGAACGCGCAAGATTGCAGTGAGGGTGAGGAGTGCTACGAAGATGGGGACACATCAGATAGCTGTTCGGACTCTGACCTTGAAGTGGATGATCTCCGCCTTCAGTCTCACAAACACAAGATGAAGAAATGGACATCAGTAGCACGGGGCAAATTCGAGCAGATGTTACTCGAATGCATCGTCAATACAGGTCAGCAACAGCAAACTGTCAATATATGTGCGCTACTAATCAAGTTTGGTCTAGATAAAATCCCGCCGAACTACGAGAACATCTTCATAGACCCCAAAACAATTGGCAAAGTCGAAAGAATCACAGCGATGGGACTGACGAGGCCTAAAGCCTTCGGTCACGGCGTCTTGAAGAATAACAAAGTCACCGGAGCTATTCTCTACGGGCCACCAGGCACGGGAAAGACACTTTTAGCAAGGGGAGTGGCTAAGCAATCCGGCTTTAACATGCTCTCGATTTCCGTCTCCGAGGTATGGCAGAAGTGTCATGGTGACGACGAGAAGATGATCAAGGCTATCTTCTCCATGGCGCGTAAGATGTACCCGAGCATTGTGTTCATTGACGAAGCGGACGCTATGCTGGGTGAACGCAAGGCCGGTGAGAAACGCCACATCCGGGCCATGCTGAACCAGTTCCTTATGGAATGGGACGGCATCATGAGTGGGACCGACTCGCCATTCATCTTGCTGGCTACCAACCGACCGAACGATCTCGATCCTGCCGTGCTTCGAAGGGCGCCTGTGCGCATTTTCTTCAATCTCCCATCAAAGACTGAGCGAATGGGCATATTGGGATTGCTTCTCAAGGACGAGAACCTTGGCCCAGACATCACTATACCGACTCTAGCGAACTTAACGCCACAGTATACCGGCTCGGACCTTAAGAATCTCTGTGTGACTGCTGCGACCGAATGCATTGGCGAACAGACTGTCGATACTCACGAGCGCACCTTAACACGCCGGCATTTTTTGGCTGCTATGCAAACTATTAAAGCTACTACGCTCAGCAAGACGAGAGAGCAGGATCTTGACAACTTCCAGAACAATCGTCATGAGCAGGGTGTGGCTGAAGAGTAGGATGATGTCTGACCGTGATTATTCCAATTCCTGTCAAACTTTGTCGTTTTGTGTTGTAAAATCCCAGCAATAATACTCATAAGTGCAATAAGTTGCAAACCCCGCAGTCCTTTGTCAAGGCTGAAATAGAAATTGGAACTCGACTATAAAAAGATATTGCTATCAAGAATGTAGAATTTATCGAGTCTCCAACATCCACAGCCTCCATTTCCTGCATAGCCCTAGTGCTGCGTACATTACCACACGCATAGAGTTATTATCTTTTCATAGCTCGGTGTACATGTTGTTGTGCTGTACATGTACGCCATAAATCCCCTGTGAAGCTGCAGTCTAGCCAGCTCGAGGCTAAGTACAGTAAGTGTATCTGAATGGCTGTTGAAAAATGCTTGTTTTTAGGCTTATATTACCCTGTATGTGTCCTCAGGTTAGGCCAATACTGCGCAGTTCAGCTCTTCGTCAAATCATTCTTCTATCGTCCTCAGTGTTGCTTTGCTGAAATAGAGGTAAATACGAGACCATACAATCAACCAAAACAAATATATTTCGGTCACCTAAGAGCGAAAAAGGGCTGACCGCTCCAGGCTCAGGATGATAAGCCTGTGCTCACAGGAAGTTGGCTTGCTTGTTGCTTCCTGAGTACAACGTAATATGACTTGTCATAGCAATGATATTGCCAAGTATAGCATTCCTCTAGCCTAAGCCTTGCGGCGAGCGAACCAGACATGAGTGTTCGGTTATGTACGGTTCGGGCCTTCATATATTCAACCCTGAAGCCCTTCTCTTAGTATAATATCGATTCCCTCCGTAGCACTAAGGGAGAGCGTCCTGATTTGTTCGTCGCTAGGCCTGAAGATGGGGAGAGTCGCCTGTGAGATGATCGACTGAGATGAAGAACCAGGTTGGGAGAAGATACGTGAGTGATTGAGTTGGCTACCCTGATAGCTACAGAGCGAAATCACTGAATGGAAATCGTTTAGATAGTTGATTCAACGAATTATTATGTTTCGCAAACGAGTTACTTTCGTTTATGCTGGTAGCTCATGGCTCTTACCAAGTACAGGTACCAGATTATTCCGTCGTTTCAAGGCCTCTGCGAGATTCATCAATAAAGTATGAACAAATGAGGGAGTGAACGAACCCTTCAATGTCTGCTCTGCAGCTAATTGACGAGGAAATCCACTAATTTGGAAGGATTTTCCCTTCTCCAACGATGTTGAACCTGGGAATCGAAGCTCGATATTCACAGCAACTGTCTGGTCGGGAAGGCATATGTTGATCTCCGGGACGACGAAAATTCCTTCTGCAATCATCTGCTCGATGAGAGCGGAAGTCAAGGGCACCTATTTTCCTGTGAGCAAGATCATCGATGTTCCAATTATAGATGGCCCAAATCAGTTGATGCTTACCGATTGATAATGCAGTGCACCATCTACCTGGATGGCGAAGAAGGGCGAAGCGGTGCTGCGGAAATGCTCTCGCAAGAATTGGCCAAGCCCCCGCATCTCACTTGAATCATTCGAAGCGGAGTCAAATCGACAACGAATTAATCCTACCATGGGTCAGGAAGCGCTAGTCTTAGTGTTGCGACTCACTTACCGTGGCAATCATAGCCTGAATCAGTATTGCGAGCGGAGCAGCCCAGCTTCTTGAAATAGAAGGTACTTGCTACTAAATGCAGAGCCACATCACGTAACGTCTCTTCCGAGATACCTTTGGATGTCACTGACAGGAGCTTGCTCAAATCCTCAGCGGCATCAAGTTCAGGGACGACATCCATCTCAGGGTTGAGTCGGATATATCGAGCGCTGGTTCTGGATTGAGCATCTGCAGACACTGCGCGCTCCCTTAAGAACAACTTCCATGCAACCTCGGCATCAATGATACTCTTGTATCGACTTGTCTTGATGTAGTTTAGCTTCACTATTGCTAACTCTGTCATCATTGCAAACATACCACAGCGTTCCAACCATGTGCCAACCGCTTCGTTATTGGAAAAGCTTTTGGCTTGCCAAAAGGACTTGTCATCTGCCCCCAATCTATGTCGCCGATCTGCAGTCTAGTTTCATAGTTAGCCACTGTATACTGGTGGAAAGGTGATTTTTTTGCCTTTGAAATCGTTCGCTCAAAAGCTGCAAATCATATTCGATCTCCAGTCTGTCATCTGCCCTGCCATCCGTATCGCCCTCCTTGCCGGTTCCAATGGATAGTAACACATCTGGGGGAAGCTTCGATACCTCGGGCCAGAGCAGTTGTGCCTCTCGATATGCAACCCTTACTGGATTATTATTGTGGAAAGCACCGTCCAAGTACTCGCGGCTTGTTTCCGGATGCCAAAAAGCGGTGAAATAAGGCGGAGCGGCTGCGGATGCGGCAGCGGCCTCCCATATCATAAGCTCTTTATTTGGGTCTGATGGACGCTGAAAGATGTGGCGTGCATAGTTTTCTCCCTGTCGATTGTAGTTGGCCATGATGATTGCGTTTTTAGCAAGCTCGTCCGTCGACGTCACGGCAACCTTGATATCGTAGAAATGTGACTTCTTCCCTGCACCACCAAATATCCTAGCATCACCTAGGGATTGACGCAGAGAATCGTATAATGGTCGCGTTCTGTATATACTTCCGCGGAACAATACAGCGGAAAATTTTGAGCGGAGCGTCATGTAGGTTTTACGTTTCGTAAAGGCCGTCCTGCAGAGCTCCGAAAACTTGGTAGTGCAGTCATCTACTGACAAACCAAGCACTCCGAGAGCTAAGGCGATGATTGATCCAGTGCTTTGTAGTCGTTTAGCCAGAGAATCAACATAAACCTTGTATCATGAACCTACCTAGTCCCTACAATGATATCGAAGAAGTTCTGGATAGGGAGTCTATCTCCAAGTTGTTTCTGGAGCAAGCGGAGTACTTCGAGTTCTACAATACCGCGCACACCACCTCTGGAGGGGCGTCAGAAATGCTTCCAGGCCGTGTGGAGACTTACCCATCCAAGGAAAGGATTCTAACTCCCGCAAACTCAGGCTTAAGCCGGATTCTCCACAGTCTAGGCCAAGCGCCTTCGCCTTGATGCAACGGACAACAAGTCAATGTTAGCGTTGTGTCGTCTTCCCGAGTGCCAAATGAGTATGCACAGTCGGAGCACAGTCCATGCGCACATGGCAAAACATAATCTGGAGGACTCATCAAACAGCTTAGGCAAGCCTGATGACTGACTATTCTTTGTCGTGACTCGAACTTCTTATAGAACTCCGCCATCGTGCGTTCATGCAACTGCAACACCTGCGCATTGCCAGATGTACCGCCTTCAGCATCGGGGCCGGTGCTAACCTGTAGTTCAGACTCTAGTTTACAGAGCCTTCTTTTTATGAGGCGCATGAACCTCTTCGAAAAATCTTTGTGATTGAAGCCGCTGGACTCATATTTGCCCGATCCAATGATTTTACCCTTGCTGTTTTGGTGGCCCTTTGAGCTATGTCGCGAACTGACATTGACGCAAAGCTCTCCGTGCTTGCTTCTAAAACTACAAGGCATGGCCGAGCCGCAAAACTCCTCAAGCGCAAAGGAGAAATGCTTCTCATATTCCTGTATGGAGTCAATTGCAAGCCCTACCGTAGTCAGCAGAGTATATGACTAAAGGGTCGCTGTCCTCACCTTTTCGATTTCTATGGACATCGAGTAGAACGCACGACGCTATCATGGAACTCATTTCAGTGAACACTTCGATAGTCGTAGGCCGCTTCGAGAGGCTGCGGTAGGATGCGTACACAGCTTCCGCCAGCTCAAAAATGCGTCCACCAAAGTTTGCCGGTATAGGATGGACTTGAAAGGATACTTTCTTGAAGTCGAACGGCTCATCTATAGTCCTACGGAAGTGCTTAAACGCCTCTTGCAGGTAGACTTGCAACGCCTCAGAGGTGAATCGAAGTCTCGCCTTTTCCCTATCCTGGCGAGAATCGTTGCAGCACTCAACAATACGATTATGGAGAGCCTGCACCTGACTTTGCATGATACTATAACGGCCTCCCCGAGGGATGGTGACAACGTGAAATGAGCCATAATAGCAACGAATAAGGTCATAGACAGAAGTAATCCTAATACCTTTTTGTTCCCAGAATCTTGCAAGGGCCTGGAATGACGGAACTCCATGCTGTGGATGGAGCGCGTTCTTAACACTACTGAGGAGGCTTGCGGTCGCTTTGTCGATATCCCATTCACTTTCGTCCACCCCAATTTCGGTCGCGTTGAGTGCAACAATTGCCCGTGGCAGAGCCGGTTGGTTTGTTGATTTCTCTAGCGATCTTTGTCCCCATTCAAGAAGCTTCTTCAATGCCCCGGATTGGAATGTCCTATACATTTTTCAGTTGACTGCCGCTTTGGCCTAGTCGCACTGCGTTGATGGGGATACGTACTTGGCATTTCGTGACACGAAAACGACGGCGTCAGAGAACGTATACAAAATCCGGGGATAGAGCTCGCTGACAGCAAATTCTCTCGTGCGCCGTTGTGGATCGTTGCCCTTAGGATCAGCCCACGAAATCTCAAGATGGTCCCTTGTACGTTCTCTGGCTAGCTTCATCAACTCGAGCGCTTCGCGACCGAGCTTTTTACGTTTGGCAATTGGCACCTCTTCACCTCCATTAAGGCCCTCGCAGTCCGCAAGTAGAATGGGCTTGTCGCTGTAGAATGTCTTTGGGTCTGCGTAAAGGTGGACATCCGCCGAAGTAGGTTTATTGTGGTCTGCGGGCGATCCACATACTGGTGCCGGGAAAGGAATGCTCCATTCGTCCCCTCCCTCTCTCCAAGGGTCATGTAGTTTGATGAGCATGTTGATGATCGTGCTTTTGCCAGCGCCTAAGTAAGATTAGAATACGTTCCTTCGAATGTGAATCATGGTACTTGCTCGTCTCTCCTACGAATGACACGATTTGAGGATATTTCGGCAGTACCGAGTCTCGAGTACTCTCTGCCATCAAAGAGACGTATGCACCGAAGTCTTCGAGGACTGGACACTGATTATCATCCTTTGCCCACCCTATACGTGTTAGGGGGCAATCAGTCACAGGGGCCATCTCTCGACTCACCAAACCAGGTGGACTTTTCATCTGTCTCATGGAGCTTCCGCACCTCCTCACGGTCGTTACTTGGGTTAAGAATACTTTCTAAGCGCTTTGCAATGTGGTAGTCAATCTGTTCATGCGGTTTCCCGTCGCGTGCATATTTGCCCTTACGATGAGGCGGCTGAAACCTCCAGCAGGATTCACAAAATCGGCATGAGCAATCAACACAGTACCAAATGTAGTCATCAGATTTTCGGTCGCAACGTTCGTCTTCACAGCGTTCTCCTGGGCTTAGAGGAGGGTCCATTCCGAGTATGACAAAACACTGTGGTGTATAATGATTGACAAGCGATTCCAAGTAGGCTCGATGCTAGGACAAAGTTTGTACAAAGAACTTCAGCGGGACATAGCCGTAAAAATACTTTTCCGTTGATCAGGCTGTGCCACACTACTAGCGAACTCTGGAGAATGCCCTGCCTGGAACTAAGAAAAAGCCACGACGGCAAGTTGAGGTGCAGATCACCAAATCGTGAGGCCAGACTCGGAAGATTGCACCCAAAAAAATGCAGCATAACCTGTTGATCAACCCACATCGTGTGTGTGCTTGGAGGATCTTCGAATTTCATTCAGCCCCACGGAAGCGAAGCCTTGGCCGTGGAGTATACGATCATGCGACGTTGAAACCTGGTGCCTTCTGGGTAGGCCCTATTTCTCAAGACCTCGAAAATATCGTATGACGGAGCATGTGTCTTGGTGTCTCTAAGCGACCAGGCGACGAGGCGTCATGAAGGGATATAACTACACAATTCTTGCCTAGTAGTGGCTCACAAGGCTTATGCACGAGACTGATCGTATTAACCAAAAAAAAGACAATTGCGGATATTTCCACAAGCCAATTGTGATCTTTGTCACGGTAACGATCTGTGACACCCATTCGACCTTGATGTCCATTGGGCCTTGGGCGGAAGCCTTCCCTAAAAGCCCCATAGAGGCTTACGCTTAACCAGATGCGTTCATACTAAATTTAAATAAACAAAAAAGGGACAGCCAGATGCAGCAAGGCATCGGATAAAGAAGTAGCATGTATATAGCAAAGCAAAACTGTATCTAGAAGAGCAGCAATTGTTTAGGTTTAAAGGTCTTAATCTTAGAGCCTAATTTTGTATAGTTAATTCCCTTATTAAAGAGCTGTTTAGCTGACTTCTAGTGTATGTGTAAGAGCACTGTATGCAAGAACCATGAAGCGCAGAAGGGGTAATAGGATAATATTAATAGACAAATCCTTAAGGAGACTTAGGGGTTTAAGAAAGGATATATGTAACGGGCGCTCGGATCCATAGGATCACTGGTACGACTACATGCGCTAAGCACCAGCCAAAAGGCATGCACAAATTGAATCAGCGAGGATTCCGCTTACATGGTCGATATTTATGAGCTAGATGGGATGCCCCCCGGATGCTGGCTCCCATCCAGATCTTTGATCTGGCCCGCTTGCGGGCTCTTATGGGTCCAACCATCACAACATGCATATATATATGTACTAGGGCATGTGACAGGACGCCATGTACCTAAGGCTAGGCTAAGGGCTCTCTATGGGGAGTCTAAGGCATGTCCTAGTTAACTGTGACATTATTGCACGTTCTACTTTAAAAATTCGTTTCATTTATCCTGCTTAATTATAATGTTTTATTATTAAATAACGCTTTACATATATATCCTTTCTCGAACCCCTATTAATACTCTCTTATAAACCCCTTCTGTGCTTCATGTTTCTTGGATACAGTGCTCTCACATAAACATAGTTTTAAGTAAAACCTACTCTTCAACTCTTTGTTCTACCTGTTCGTAATTAATTGACACTGCTGCTACACATAACAGTGTTCAACAAGGAGTGATAATAAAAATATAAATAGTAGAAAAGAATAACTTAGTAATAAACTAATAATAAGTTGAGCAAGACCTAAGATAGCTAGGAGTTGCAGTATAAAACCTAGTTCCGTAGTGAGGAAACAGGTCTTCTTCTTCTTCTTCGAATTCAACACTGTTATCAGGCATTTGCTAGCTGCGCCGAGCCAGTACATAATTGTCACATAAGAAAGTACTTAGAAATAAAATTAGATTATAGAGCAGATTATAGATTAAAGAGTGGATTAACCACACTTTATATACAGAGGACAAGGCTTGCTAAAGAAGTCTCGTGATCATGTCCTAGTCACATGACCGGGTTGTGCTCGGCCCTAGCCAAAATGAAGTGTGCAATACACTGGAAGACGGGCTGAACTTGCTCTTCTGTTAGGGGAATTGATTAAACAAAGCCACTCATATAAATCTTAACCTTTATACATTGCTGCCTTCTAAGGCAGAGATTTGCTACAGCTTATACACCTGTTACTTCTTTGTCCTATGACTTAACTATTGCATTTAGCTGTCCATTCCTTGTTTCTCGGCCTCACAGGAGTCGATAGTTCTGGGTTGGGAAAGCGTTGCAAGTGGCCGTCGAGACGTAAAAGTTTGCGGGAGCTAATCTATTTTCGGACAATAACTGTCCCCAACAATCACATGATAATGGCGATGGTCTCGAGTAGGGTTTGAATAGTAGGAGTGGGGAGAGGTGAAGATGCATCCAAAATCAGCTGGGTAAAACCGCTCAACCCACCTGCAGTACAACTGCCGATATATACTAGCAATGATACTCATAAATACAATAGGTTGCGTACCCCACAGTCTTTTAAGAAGCCCGCAATAGAAATTGGAACTGGATCATAAAAGGATACTGCTATCAAGAGTGTAGATTTCGTGGGTCGTTAGTATTTAAAGTCTCCATTTCTTCTTTTTTAGGTCAGGCCAGCCTTCTTCAAAGTAAATGCACGCATCAACGAGCGTGTCATTCTGCTCCTCTACAAGGACTTGTCCTCCATTGCTTTGAAGATTACCATTTGTCGACGATCACTTTTCGCTCTGCTCCAATGTCACATTGGCATTTGCATCGCTTTCGCCTTAGTATACGGACGCTTTGAATGCTTATCGTAACGTCTGATCGGGGTCTGTAATGACGTGTCTTCATACCCATTTCCTCCCGATCAATTTACACCGTCAAGTAGCCTTGCAACATTTGAGAGTCTTATCCAGTCAATTAAAACGAAGCCAAACATTCGCATTCATACTCTGTTCAACTTCTTTTCCTCTGAAAAATCTCGGGTATCTAGCCTTTTTACAACGCCTTCGCTAAATACAAATTCCTAGTCCCTAATATCCACATTCAAGAAGACGGGATAATATGATCGTGGCCACCATCCGCCCATATTTCGGCGATATAATTCCATCATTCGGTAAAATCTGCAATGAGCCCAATACCACTCATGCACTGCGATTCTCCCGGCACTCGTGGATCTGGCCACGTCTTTGACTTTTTACTCGTGCCTGGGTATCTTAGCTTGCTCACTCCTGTTTCAGTCCTTGCTCTTGGGCTTGAAATATTACCTATACGATGAGTAACAGACCTATTCTCTGGTTTGTTGTGAGGCGTTCCTTGAGCTGTCGACGTTGTTGTCTGAGGTATTGGCTTTATGAGGTACTCTGAGTCCTTCGCCTTTTCTTCAAAGTGCTTGAACTCTTGGTTCAATCGGATAGCGCTATAGCGATGCGCCGGGTTTACGACAAGGAGATGGCGCATTGTCATATTTAGCAAGTCTTGAATGAAAGCAGTACAGTTCTCGGATTGGTAGAGCTCTTCCACCCACTTGACTACACCTTCGCGGACTTCAGCCCTTGAGCGGTTCTCGCCGACTATATTGAAGAATTCATCATTAGAGAGCTCTCGCAAGTCAGGGTTGCTGTCGGGACATGACCGATTGCTAGAGAAGTTTTCATTGCCTTCCTGCCCTTTCAACGCCCATGTCGCGAATTCCAGAAGGATACAGGCAAGACTCCACATATCATAGGCGCGTGAAACGGGCTTATGGAGTTTCAACTCCGGCGGCTCGTACGTAGGCGAAGATTTGATTTGGCTCCAATCCACGTTAGAACGAGTGTCTCTTCCATGGAACCTGCTCAACCCAAAGTCCGCAATCGTCAGGATCCCTCCCGGATTGTCGGATGCGGATGAGGGAGGAAACCATAGAATATTTTCCGGCTTTATGTCGCCATGGCGTCCATACTTCTCTTCACCTCGTTTGAGTCTAATGCTAGAGCCGGATCCTTCTGGGGCCGAAGTGGTACCGGGGGGAGTCTGAATTCTGGATTCGTGAATTTCTAGGAGGCCGCTGACGAGGCCGGCCAATTGCTTGAGCCACCAGCGCATGGTATCCTCATCGAAGACTGGTTTGGTGTGTCGCCAGTAGCTTTCTAAGTTCTCTTTGGCATGCGGGAACATCAGGTGGTATTTCCCTTTCCATTGATACGTGGCAAGAAGATTGATTAAGTGAGGGTGAGGTTGATTCCTTTTTTTAGCGAGAGTGGCGAAAAATGCAGTTTCCTTCTTGAAGATGTCTTCGTGGTTGGCTGTGCTGAGTTCTTTGATGGCAACATGGCACCCCTGGATTCATAATATGTCAGCACTATATTTCATGGTCATTGGACACACACTGGCTAACTCACTTCGCTATCGGACCGTTTCACGCCTGAGAAATTGTGATGTGAGGGGTGAATTTTAGCGAAGTGGACTCTGCTATAACCCCCCTTTGAGATTTCTCGACGTTCAGTGAAAGGCAGCATCGCGTTGTCATCCAATATGTAGTGACTTCCTTCGTTGAAATTGGGAGCCATCATCCACCATTGACACCTTTGAAACTCTTCAGAGACTTCATCGTTCCATTTTGCGAGAGATATTATGTCTTTGCCACCTTTCCCTTGCAAAGCGTAGTGACTCCCAAGTGGTTGTGGATGTTTTAGTTGGAAAGGGAAGTCCTCGTCGGATACCTGCTCCTCTAGCAACGGCAGGATTTCGTGTTCTTTCTTGATGTATCCGAGGGTAGCGAATAAACGTGGAGCGGATTCGCAAATCGATTTAGCTAAATCATTGATGCGAGCATCGGCAGTGCTTGGGAGAATTTTCTGAAGTATGGGTGTTACTACTTCGACTGTTATGAGTTTTTTGAGTTCGCAGTCCGGAACAAAGAATTTGTGGTTGTTCTTGTTACTGCACTGTATGCGTGCTTGACGTAGACTATTATGTAAAGAGCCTGCTTCTGAAATACTTCGAGGTGCTCCAGGACTGTTACTCTGATGTGATGTGTCGTCACAAAGTTCAAGGGTATGCGTTGACAAGGAAAGAGGATTAGGATTCTGAACCAAGCTAGACGGTGTAGGGTGCGGAGAGGACTGTGTATGAGACTGAGCCGCATTTTCTTCAGAGTCCTCAATCGACGACAGCTCTGAAGTTGCATTCTGGATTTCGGACGCGGCGTGGTGTGTACTAGTAGGATGGGTATCGTAATGAGCGGAGGGAAAGGAGGGAACCTTCTGCAAGTCCAAGGTCAGCGGCGGTCCTGCATTGCGGCTCTGATATTGTGTTCTCTCACTGGTGGACGGCTGGTGGTTGATCTGATTGGCCGGCAGCTGAGCCACCGGAGCCACCAGAGCCACCGGAGACGCATAGTGCAGGTATTCACGGCTGGCTGACAACCAAGCTTTGTTTTGAATGAGTAGAGACGAGAGAAGAAGAATATGAAATTCTGGCAGCAGTTGAAAGAGAGAACCAAGCGATTAGATATAACCCTAGAAAATATGCCTGGGGAAGGGTATCGGCTTTACGCCCACGATTCACTGAGACGCAGTGCACAGCCACCGAGCGCCGGGTCAGCTCTTGTCCTTACTATGTGCTTGCTCAATTGTGCCTCGCGATCATTGCTAGTGCTCAAAATGGAGAAGCGTTCGTATCTCGTATCTCATGTCCCTCACCTGCTCCGAACCTACCCTCACGTGTCTTGTCTCCTTAGAAGGTGGCCACAAGCACCTGTGGGGAAATGCGTATCAGGCGAACTGCTTTCCAACCGCATGAAATATTTGGCCCGGTCCACCAGGCAACGAAGTTTCCTCAGCCAACCTTCGTCGCCTCTGTCCCTTCCGAGCAGCTTCTGGAGTATAGTTTGCATGACGGTGGCGGAGATGGAGCACAGCCTTCAGAGGAGCGCAAATTAGACCCACTTTCCAAATCAGGAAATGCTCTTCTCCCAAGCTGCAAGCGAATAGATTGGAGCCTGTCACGGAAATCAACCCTACGAATGGAACATCCTGGCAGTGACAACTTCGGAGGCACGCGAAGGTGGAGATGCACCCAAGACCACCAAGTGGCAATCGTTAGAACCGTTAGGGGTATGGATATTGCTGCTAGTAGCCAGGCGCTTCTGGACACTTGCATGCTCTGACCATCCGTGGTGTTTACGAATTGTGTAGAAAAAAAGCCCTGGTACGACGTCAAACTAGACGCATTTAACCCAACTGCAGAGAAGAGTGCCCACTTACGGTAACAACTGTGACAGGAAGGTACACGAGGCCGATCACCGTCAAGACTTTAACTGCTGCGGCATCGTTAGTGCTCTTTTCCTGCAAACTTATTAACCTATGAAATGATGTTTTATATGGCATCTTACTGCGAGCTTATGCATTGATTGGTTTTCAACTTGCGCTTCACGTCCAATAGCCTTCAACGCTATTGCATCCTCGTAATTTAAGAGATCGGAAAGCTAAATTCGGATCAGAATTCGCTTTCTTCGGTGGCATCTTGACTTCACACATCATGCACGTACTAGCTCTGTGACAGAATTTAGCCTTGCTTTAAGAGCTTCTCCTCTCTTTACGTGCATCTCTATCTCCTTGGCTTGCTCTTCGAGCTCTTCGATAATCGCATCGACGACGTTTCCATCGGCATGGTACTCTTCTTGGCCGATTTTACGAGTGTAGTCGCATATTCCAAGGACATTCTGTTGCATTGTTGAGAGAATTATTCCAAGATCGTTTACCTTGTCCTCAAGTTGCTTCAGTCTTTGTCGATCTATGAAACTAATTTGGTAGTCCGTAAGTGGATCAAAACTATCCCTTTCGGAGTCGACCTTCGCAAACACTAGACGGTTAGACTGCATACCAGAAATTAGTAAACTCTTATATGAACATAATGTTCACAATGATATCTACTCGCAGCACGATGAGGAAAGAGTTACGGGTATTACGCACCTGTTCCATTATTTCCTCTTCCATCCAAGCCATGTATTCTCGCCACCCCTTGGCAGCATCAGAAACGAGCAACCTTACAATGTTTTGCCAAGACATTGCCAGCTCTCTCGCAAAAGAATCAGCACAGAGTGCCAATTGCTTTTCAAAAGATTCTGATGGAGAAATAAGGAGAAAGACGGATCTATATCTCAGAGCATTGTGCCCCGACTCTGAATCATGTTCAGTAAAAACAATGGGGATACGGCGGTGATACACCGCAGTTTGACGAATGGACCATGGCGATTGTCCTTCAGTCAGCTTGCGATTATTCAGTTCAGCACGCCGCAGAACGAAACTCGACTCTAGCTTTTAGTCAGTGGCTTGGCCCGCTGGTAGAAGAGGACGAAATACGAAATGGAATAAATCAATTTGATTTAACGAACCGAAAATATTACAATCATTGAGCGTAGGTGTCCGTCGCATCCGAAAAGATGGAAATTCAAACTCCTTTTCCTCGAACTTTCGACCAAACACAAATGCACAGTTCCAAAATTCGCAAAATGCATTGTACTTCTCTAGAAATCCTTCGAATAGGTCTCGTGAAATGTCAAGCGTCGTCCAAGAGCGTTGCTGTCGGATGGTGAAAACCTGAAGTATGTCTTTATTTTTCTATGAGGGTGATCATCAGTCTTCTATTTAGAGACAGGGCGACAGAATGAATGAATAAACTTGAATTTGAATAAAATAGAGTTATGGTTGAAACCGTACTCTTCTTAAAGCGTCAATTTGGTCCACATCTAGTATCGTTTGGTTTTGCTCAAAAATGAGAGTTTCATGGCGGTCGAAGAGACTCAACGCGGAGAGATAACTGACTTGCAGTTGAGCTCTCTGCGGATCAGCTTTAAAAAGATCGGGGCTCTTAGCATCGATTCGTCGCTTCAAGGCTTCGGGGTCGTGAATGTCGAGGAATGAAAACATGACCATGGGATGACCTAATATGTATTACATAAGCGTGGTGTGCACAATTTGGCAATTACAAGTCGCCTGTGTTTTCAGGCATGGAATGGATGGCTTAGACAACGGATGAAGGACGATGAAGCTATATATATCCCAAAAAGTGTTCCAATCTGAGGGGGACCTTTACAGACATGGTTCGAGTAAGCGGAGGTGGCTTCCGGTGACTGTCCCACTCGCGTCACTCGAGACCGGTGAGGGCCAATGAGGCGGACAAAGGCATCAAGGCATTAACCCTATCAGAAAACCGTCTTGAGGGCGTGGGGCAGGCACCCATCTGGCGCTCTCGTCTTCAGACTATTTGGTTCACAACATGAAAATAAGTGAATTAAAACACAACACGCCACCATAATAAGATTCGGCCATTGCGTTTAGCGAAATATCGTCCGACAATCAAGAATTCGCTCCTAGTCATATTTAACGCCAATAACTGGAATATTTTGAGTGCTGCGTTACCTGACTAAGTTTTGGGGGCTGCGTGCATGTCGTGGACGGATATATCTTATACCGGTTGAGTCTTAGCTAAGGTGGATTGCTTGTCAGTATGTCATACAAGGAGGAGTTACTGCTAAATCCCTTACCTCAACTCTGAATTTACCCTCTCCGAAATCTGAAGTTCCAAAAATATCTCTCAAGGCCTTCAGGAGACGCCCCTGATCAAGAAAATGTCCATCGATAACTTGGGAAGGGGTTGGGCTATATCCAGCAGCCATGGACGGCTATATCAACTGGGAAGAGTGATGAAGTTCTGGAGTAAGGAGCTCAAAAACCCAATGAAAGACAAATCATTAGAAGAAATGCAAGGAAATACTTGGTTGCTGTGAGAATGGATGTTTCTCTGAAGAAGGATACTATCAGACCACCTTATATGCGATACTGTTTGACCATACACTTAAAGAGCCACATGAGCTTTCAAAACTGGACCGAAACCTGAGCCTGTCATCAATAGACGGAGTAAAAGCCATGTTGGACCCCCTCCAATCGAACGACCTTCCGAACGAATGAGCATGACAAGGGGGAGCACAAGGCTGCGACTACAGAAATATAAAAGGCAAACAGGCAAGAGGTGGATAAGCGGGCTGTGTGGTCACGTCGCTTTGCAGACATTGTGTTACGAAGCGACGGAATCTAGTTCTTCCTGTAACATCTATAGTGAGAGGAGTGGGCGGCGAAGAATGGTATCCTCCTACCTTTGATAGAGTTCTAGGAGTCTCGATGACCCACTTTCCTCTTCGTATCTAGGACGAAATCAGCCTTGGAGCCTTGACACCCTAAACCTCCACCTTCAGTGCCTTAATGCCTTATACGACGAAAGTAAATGACTCTGTCAACCTTCCAGACTCACCTCAGCCCTCCAGGATTGTTCAGGGAATAAGCGCGCGAGAAGCGCATGGAGCTTCACTTTATCAACATATCGTGGCTCGACATATTCTGTATTCATGTTGAAAGTCTGTGAGCTGGAAATATTGTTTGGCAATTATTCTGGGGATTTGCCTTAGGTGGCAAGGCCCCAGATCCATCACCACTACACGTTATATACACAGGCTGACATCGCAGAGCCGCATCCGTAATCTTCATGGTTCTTTGTGAGGGGAAGGTTTTGCTAGGTGTAGAGGGAGGTGCCAGGTTGTGAGGGTCTTCGCACTACCGACCAACGACAAGGTGGGGTCAGCACATCATGGCGTGCCGCTTGCGGAAAGTTCAATATGTTTTACCAGCATTTAGAAAACCAGCAGGGCGGTTCCACGAGTCTCGTCAAAGAGCAGGTATTTAAATAGGGCGCGACTGGTAGGCCTGGTCGGCAGAGTGAGCTGTTACACCTGCAATAATATACCCTGAACATACAGGAAGGCAACACAAAAATGAGACCTGATGCATTGCGAACTTGAGGCCTTGCAACGTATTAATTATACAGCACCGGTGAAGACTTAGGGATGATATGGACGCCACATGAGAAATTCGAAGGACCTAACTAGAAAACAGACTGGCCCAACGGGATGGAAACCAAAGGAAGGCTGAGGGACGTAACGAGGCAAAAAAAAAGTAAGCAAGTCTCATCCACGTCGGTCAATAGAACCATGATACCTTTCTGCAATTTTCGATTCGTATGATGTCTTGCTTCTGATTTCATAGACCCAAAGGGAGTCTGCATGACTTTGTCTTTGGTACGTTCTCGAGCAATGCCAACATGCATACACATGAGCTGGAACCAGGCTGCTAGAGCACGTGGAGAAGGCTGGTTACACTATTACTAAGTGAAGGAACAAAACTCCTTCGCATCAGCTTTATAACTACGTAGAATTTCTTCCGCCCTCTTCTGAATCCTCCTAAAAGGCTCTATATCCGGATTATCCAACCCAATACACCTCTCTGTGCCCTTCACCGCAAGCCTTGCCTGCGCCACCGCTGCTGTCCACTTCCCCAGCCGCAGCAATAGCTCCTCTGCCAAGTACTTGCGCCACCACACTAGTTCCATATCCCTACATCCTGCCTTCACTAGCGAGTCTATCACCTTCAGAACCGTGACTTCCGCGGCGGCGAGCTCAGCCAGGGAAGGTTGAGGGGAAGTGGGCGTTTGCAGACGCGTGATGAGAGGGATGATATTCCGGACTTCAACACCAATGTTTGTACGGTGGAATTCGTGGTGGATGAAGGAGACGTGGTTGATGTTGCAGGCAGGACATGTACACCGTAGGATGCCACGCTCTCTGAGAGCTTTCGCGCGTTCAGCAAATTTGCAATAGAAATTCGAGCTGATGTGGGAAGCTGTGAGTTCCTCGCCGGGGTAGATAGCGCGGGTTGCATGGACAGTGAGTCTCTTGGTACCCTTATTCCACGCGACACACACGTTCGGGACACACGATTGAGAGAGCACGGAGGCGGTGCGGAAGACACCGCAGATCGGAACATCATCGGGGAGGGCGGTACAGGAGTTGGGCTCGCTGTTGGTGGTCAGGTCGTTCATGTTTCCTTGAAACCGTGAGTTGACACGCCACATACGTATCGCGATTCGCAGACTCTCCTCTAGACTCGCGAGCTTCTGGCGCTCACCGTCCGTATTTGCGAGACTGTAGTTACGCTCGTATTCGAGGATCATATTGTCGATGTTCTTTTCCTGTGGCTTGAACTCAGGATATCGCACCATCTTTAGCCGGAGGAAGGAGTCTTGGTCAACAGCGGAGAGCTTTTCGAACGCCTCATAGATGCCGATATAGTTGTAATCGGCTTTGGTAACGCCGAGAAGAGGCTTCTCGGCGCTGATCCTGGTTCCTTCGGGAATTGGAGCCGTTACATGCAGGCCCCGGGTCGCATGGACGTCGACATTGCGGAGAACGGTATGCATTTCGCAATTCTCGGGCTGTAATACGAGGCGGCCTGGACCAATATCGTGGTCACCTGGACGGAGTGTGGAGGTAGACATGTCAGAGTGTAGTGCTAGGACAATGGTGTCAGAGGAAGTCGAAGAGCCGTAGCCATCGTCCTCGAGTTGGACCATGCTTGGTTGGATATGCTGCCAGCAAAGTTTGGTGGGGGTGGAGAAAGTCTTAGAGAGGTGAAGCACAGTGTTTATAGGGGGCTCAAGAACTTACCCTCTCATGTCGGTGCTGACTGATGCAAACTTTGCGGTGAAATGTCGTAGAAGGCAGAGAACAACGTAGAGCCAAGTAAACATATTCCTTGTGACTTGAGGAGAGGCGAAACTGAGATAAATACTAACTGTAGTGGAGTGGAGTGGTGGTGGCGATAGTATTTAGTGAAGAGATAGGGTAGGGACAAAAGAGAGATATAAGCAGCTCGGAATGTCGGAATCGAAATTCCGACATGCAAATTTGACACGTGACGTCATGCTACTAAGTCGCGTTCCGATAATGGCCTTTTCAGAGGGATGCAGACTCCCCAAGCAGATACTCCTAAGAGCGATGGCACATATATATATTATCACTTGTACTGCAAGAACAAGGCGTCCTTCTTTTCGGCACTTCCCGGAGATGGGGGAATTAACGAGGAAAAGAAATGGAAATGGAGAGAAGCACTCCATCATCTCCAATCCGCTTCGAGAAGTTACCAATTGCTTGTACAGAGCCCAGAGGCTTCAAACGGTTGCCTAGAAACTTCTCGGACATTCACAAAAGGCATCAGACATATCCGTCTCATCGGGGGCCGAAAATATCTACGGCATTGTGTCGAAGCCTTCCACCCGTGAATGAAAAACTTGGCCCAATTAGTAGTGCCTCTTGACACGATTTCCATGCTCCTTTTCGAGAATATTACCCTGGCATCCGCATTAAGAATATCGAGCTGTTCCCAGTCTCCTAAGTCGCTCACCATCCATACTTGTTCCCGGCCTCCTTCCTGTTCCGTCTTCCTTGAGCAAAGTGGTCCTCCAGGGCGTCTTTCTGGGTCGTCGCCACATTTATCAAGCTCTTCAAGCTGTTCTTGCCTGTTCCGCTAATTGACTTGAGGGCGTTGTGCTGTACCGTCTCGCCTTGGGCGCGCAACTCCTCGTTGTGGGCATACTCTCGATCTGTGTTGAACTCCACGATCTTGGCTCCACCTGGAATATCCCCCCTCCCTTTGCGGCCGAATAGTTGCCGCTTCTCGGCCTCGGATAGATGCAGCTCTGTCGCGATATTGGTGAGGTCCTGCGCGCCTGCAGACGCGCCCAGGGCTGCTGAAGGAATATGGCCGGCTGGCTGATAACCATCTATTTCATCAACAGCCTGATCTGGTACTTTTGCATCCTCCCCCTCATCCGCACCGTAGAAAAGAGGCTGGTACTCTCCGCTTGACGGGTTCTCAGTCGGGGAAAGAACTTCGTCTTGGGAGGCAGAAAATAGAGAAACCTTCTTCTTTGCAAGGGCGACTAGTTTCACTGCGGCCGCTGGTTGTGGCTGCAAGGATGGCGTGGCTGGCTTGGGGTTTGTTGGAGCAGTGGATGGATAAGGGATCGGGCGCTTATTCTTGTTCCTGCGGGCGGCGGACAAGGGCATGAATCTTGAATTTCTCCCAGCAAACTTAATTCCAGGGTCAGACTTCTTGAGCTGCTCAGCCCTTTGTTCCGAAGTTGTAAAAGACAGACTCGACGATGGTGTTGTGAGGTCCTTTTTCACTGGATTTCCCGCCTCATCATAGTCTGGCTCCTTTGGCTCTCGGCAGAACATGGGCTCGGCTCCCGTCTTCATAGACGTGAAGCTGGGCTTTGACTTTGATACTCCCAACTTCTTTGCAGGCGCTGCCTCTTCCGTAGTCCCCAGAGTCGCACCTGCCTTCTTTGGGGCAGGCAACATGGCATTGAATCCACCGAATGCCCCGCCTGTGCGCACCTTCTTTGCCGGGGGCGCACCGGCTTCTATCCCGTCTTTCTCAGAGTGTGGTCCTGCTGCTGAGGGGAGGTTGAGTTTGATAGTGCCGGGGTTGGTGCGGTCGACGACCTTCTGGAACGCCATTTTGGGAGTGGGCTTGACTGTTGGTTGCGGTGGGGCCGGCGCATCGTTGTCCGAGCCTTCCGAATCGGAGTAGCCGACAATATTCATGGCGGTCCTAGTTCCTGTTCGTTTTCAGGGTGGAGGTGCTGTGTCGAGGTCAACGTGGACGGGGCGGGTTGTGATGAAATCACCAGTCGGAGGTTGGCCCGGAAGCACCGTGTGCCAAGCCAGGGCCGTGAATCTCACCTCTACGTCTGTCCCGTGTTTCACTCCACTACGCTTGCCATGACGCTCCAAATGCCCTCCTTCAGCTGGTCTGGATGATTTGCATTCTGTAATATGATACCCGAATAAGTGGCATCATGTCTTTACTCCAGAATGAAGAGTAAGCCACGCAATGCCATTCTCCGTCCCGTCTCTAACCTCGATAGCTTCGTTCTATACCAGCTCCGGACCGCGTACCTCTCCTCGATTAAAGACGGCGTTGGAGAGCGCCTGATCAATGTCAACACCACCTTTCTGAACAACCCTGCGTTCCGCGCAGCTGGTTGGGTACCCAATGCCGCAGACATTAAACGAACATATTCTCCGCCTATCCCAACTGCCATCACATCCGAATACTTCCAGGCACCGCGATCGGCTGGGTTGAAAGCCCCAGCAGGATTTGGCGAAGATGAGGAGGAAGGCGGGATGGTCACGGGGGGAGGTGGAAGTAACGATACCGTAGGACCCACCTTGAATGCCAGGCGACGGCGGAGGAAGGAGCAGTTGGACGAAGATGACAGCAGCGACCTGAGCGATGAGAGTGATGACGATATTGATGCAACGCAAAGGCTAGTAGCCTAGCTTAACATTGCGTCTGAAGCTAACATGTAACACCAAAGGCCCGCGAACCTGATCAAGTTCAATAAGTTGCCTGTGCGGACACGGGCTGGATCATCCCCGATTCCTGGATCAGCCCTTCGCCATAGGCTCATAGACAATGGGGAGGGCCCATCCCTTATCGTCACTTCGCCTTCTAGGCCTCCAGACAGCCGCTTACGCAGAGGGTCGTTGGGCACCGTGGAGACCATCAAAGAGCGCGCAAGAAGAGATACCGTCACAAGTAGCGAGATGTCTTCAGAGAACGAAGTAGATCCCGTTATATTCCATCGGAAGAAGGTCAACCCACACCGAGCTGCTAAGGCGAGCCATCTTCTATCTCAGCGAATTCAAGAGGATGAACGAGAGCGGTTAGAGGCTTTGGACGAGGGCAATGAATCTGACAGCACCATGTCTTCCGAGTTCTCCGGGACAGCTGATACGGCATCTCTATTAGGAGAGACTGGTCCCTTGGATTCTTCTCTTGCGACTAACCTCCCAAATATGCCGGCACTTACTCCATTCAACACTTCGCCAAAAAAGCAAAATAAACAACCCATGGCATCTCTACAAGCTCTTCCCCCTCCCCGGCCGATTAGCTTCATTCCTCCCATCAGTGCATTGACGCAAGCACTGAAAGCTAAAGAGCAAAAGCCCTCGAATCCACTCCATCGATTTGCCGCCTGGTCTGCTACCAGCGAGGCCCAAGTAAATCCAATCTACATCAAGATATACACCCCATTCTGCTCAAAATCGTCGAAACCTGTCGAACTACTTTTAAAGAAATTCGACGACAAGGGTGAGGCCGTCTCAGTCTCCGAAGCGATCGGCTTCGCTCTGTGGAGATACCAAGAAGAGAGGCTAGAGCCCCCCCTGACTCCCGAGAAGTTGAACGTCAATTGTTGGGTTCTACGTATGTACGACGATGGTGAAGTTGACGATGAGTTTCCGCCACTCACGAGGAATAAGCCTATCATGGACTTTGCCTCAAACAATAGTCGTGGCATGCGCCCTAGAGCACGCGAGAAGCCCTGGGATGAATTTGCGCTGGTCGAGGCGACGGAGCGCGAAACTGCCGACAACGAAAGGATCACGCCAATTTACAGTCGTGAAGCTGCCGCTGCGCTGGCAACACAGAAATCCGCGTCGGAAGACATGCCGGAAAAGAAACAACCTCCAAAACCCATGGCTACTCGAGCGAAAAGCTTCCGTAATCCTATCACCGGTCCATCGTTTGCACCTACGGCCACGCGTAAAAACTCAAGTGTTCTAGCCGATGCTCCTGCCGTGCCCGCAACACATGCCGCCTCTCGTATGGGTGCTCCGAAGACCGTGGCCGTGCACTTCACAGACGAGAATTTCAACACCAAGCACGTCTCCGTTCCCTGCACTACAGATACCTACATTGCCGAGATTTTCGACAAAGTCTGCCACGACCTCCGTCTCGATAAAGGACTCTTCGTCCTGAAGGTCTCCGGCTCCACCACCGTCGCACCCTCCGACCGCACCGTAGAAGCCCTCGGCACACGCACCGATCTTGATCTCCAGCGCCGCCGCTTCGTTGGCGACGGCGTTTTCGGCATCGCCGGCTCGCCTGGCAGCTCCTCCCCGAACGCCCCCCTCATCATCAGCACAGGCGGCGCCCCTAAGAAGACTAAAAAAGCTGACCGCACCGCTGCCGCTGTCAGCGGCCAAGGCCTCATCCACCCGCTTGCAAAACACGACGGCGGGCTCGTCGGAAACACAGGTTCATACTACCGGCGCTACGCCGTGTTACGCAAACAGCCCATGTCCTTCGCCTCCTCCACTTCGCGGATCCTTGCCCTCGATAACGAGTATATGCATATCATGCCGGGGGAGAGTCAGGCGAATACGAAAGCGCTGTTTGAGGCGCAGCCGAAGACGACGACGGTGCACTTTTCCAGTATTGTGGGGAGTAAGGTTAGTAAGAAACATCCGAGGATGTTTAGGGTTATTGTGTTTAAGGAGAGGGAAACCAAGAGGTATGATTTTGAGGCGACGAGTCATGAGGAGGCGGTTGAGATTGTGAGGGAGATTAAGATGGGGGTCGAGAGATTTCAGGAGGGTATTGTGTAGGGAGGAGGTTGGGGGTGTGGGTGAAGATGGTGTTCTAGGAGTCGTGCAGGGGGGGGAGGGCATATTGGTTGGAGTTAGAGGTTTTATATTTTGTGCTGGGGTTGGGTGTTGGATATGGGTTGGAGAGTGTGTTTCGGCGTCAGTATTCCCAGCCTGGCTTTATTGTGCTGATAGCATCGCGGCTCTTGGGATTGAATTCGGCAGGCGTGCATATCTTTAGGAAAGAACTCGAGAATTAATCTACCTCAGTATCAAGCATACATGCGAGAGGCTCTAAGGCTCCCTAGCTATATATATTCCTTCTAGACGGGCATCATACATGGCTAGTGCTAAGCCGTTGGCGCAGGGCTCGCTCATCCCAAGGTCGCTGAACCTCAGAGCCATGTCGCATGTATGTCAATAAATGCACAAAACATGCTAAGCCAAACGATTTCTAGACGCATATATTTTATTTCCCGAGACTCAATCTCCGATAAATTTAATCATCAGGCTGCAAGCCATAAGACTCAGAACACTCCATTACCACTTCCAACCCACCGCCACCTCTCACCCCCCTCATCATCTCCACCTAACTCCCAGCCTGATCCTCAACAATCCTCTTAACAACTTGCAAATACCCCTCAACCGCTGTGTACGGGCCCCTCCCTAACTTCGCCTCAACAGCCTCACTCCCTGCCGCCGCATTCCCATCAATCGCATATGCATTAAACCTTGTCTGCATTTTCAAATCCACGTCCATCCCCTCTTTCCACTCCTTATTTTTTACAAAATACGGCTGTAGGTACCGATATTGCGCCCCACCACCTCCTTGCGTTGCAGCGGGCGGCGAAAGCGGGAGATGCACGAGTGGAAGAGCTGGAGTGTTGGGATCGGACGTCCCAGGAGCAGGTGGCAAGAGTTTGTCGATGTAATTTGCATCCAATGCAGCTTCCGGACTGGAGTTATATGGAAGGACGTCCAGGGAAGAGAGTAATGGCCCGGTTTGCCAGAATGCGGAGATCCGGGATAGAGCGCGTTCGACTGTGTAAGCGGGAAGTTTGAGGGATTTGTTTGGTAGGACGGCGCTGTATGCGTGGACGGGGAGGAAAGGATCCATTATTAGAGTTAGGACTTGGAGGTAGGGGTCGTGTGACGGCGCGGGCTTTATGGGATCGCTTGGCGGGATCCAGTATGGGGTGAATTTTGGGAAGTTGGAGGGTGAAATGGGGATTCGGGGGTCTTTACCAGGGTTTTTAGCGTTTAAGGTGTCGGTGAAATAGGTGTAGATATGCTTGTAGTCGATTTCTGTAGATGTTCGAATGGAGGGATCTTTTGGCAGGACTAGACTTTGTCAGAGATAGGAGGGCGATGTGACGCAAAGAGTACCTACAATAGCCGACAAGACCATCAAACGTCCTTTCCTTGTCCCCGAACTTAACTGGGAAGGTGTATCCTAATAGATCACCCTGCTTCCGTTGATTTGTCCCGTCAAGAAGAGTGCGGGTCGGCGCTGGCTTTTGAGGGCTCTTATCCACAAAGTCCTGATAGAAGGTACTCCAATTTTGGTTCTCTTCTGCCGACAACTCCATGCTCCACCCTGCATTGACAATGGCCAATGGCTTCCCAACAATGGCCGAGCTATACGTCGCATAAGATTTTGGGGCATGAGCCTGATTGTCATCGATAGATTGGTTAATCATGTCAAAGAAACCTCGAAGATACGAAGGATCGTTGCGCTCAGTAAGTAGCGTGAGAATATTATCTAGCTCGGTCGCTGCTCCAGCACCAGTCTTGTCTATTGGAGGATCGAACGGGAGAAATTTGAAGCCACCAGATGTCTTGTGTCTGCCGCCGAGTCGCACTTCGCGGTAGAATGTGCCATTTGGGAAGAAGAGCTGGAGTCCCTGGTTGGCATAATTCACAACCATCCATCCAATGACAGGACCTGGGTCTAGGTCCCAGTCTGTGGCCTTCCTCCAAACCCCAGTATCTTTGTCTTTCATTACAAAATGCGCATTAAGCCTGGCTGGCTGATTGATGCTTGGAGGGAGAGATATGAGGGGACAAGCATCGTTAGTTGACTGAGGGATGACTGTATTAGCTCTCGTAGAAGGCAATTTTGGATCTGCACCATCAACAGTTCCAGGAAAGTAGCTATCCGAGATACAGGGCGTAATGGTAGGAATTGGCCCAGGGCGCCGAGGACCGGGGTCAATAGCGCAGACTACCTGCCCAAATTTGTCAATGATATTAAGTTTTGTAAACATCATTTGACCGTGGGTAACAGGTTTCATTGGTGGAGAAGGGGTATTGACAGCAATATCCCCATATGGAGTCAGGGTAGTCTCAGAGTCCATGGCCACGAGGAGGGCCGCCGGATCCACAGCCATTGTGTTATCCGAATTCTTCAACGCCGGAGTGATGGCCTTTTGTGCTGTGACAATTGGAAGAGGTGTCTCATTTGGGCGCCGGACTAAAGGCTTGAGATGTGTGCCTTCGCACAAGGTTAAAAGATGAGATGTGAGACCAGTCAAAGGGGTCGATACGACCTCTAAGCCTGATATCAATTTCAGGAGCTTCTCCTGTGCCTCTGCAGGCAAGTTGTACTTCTTGGGGTCTTCGAGCTCGTTCGGATTGGTATTTGCGAATATCTGGGTAAGCGTTGTCTTCAGCGTGGACGCTGTTTGGGGCGTAAGATAGCTTCGGCCAGAAACATGTCGGACGTCTGTTGTCTGATTCTCAGGTTTGCTTAGGTCGACATTTGGACCATAATGTACCACTTTAGCGCCCCAGTTCGAATAGCGATCATGCTCGATCAGGCTCCATTTCTCAAATGGGACATGATAATAGTTCGCTTCCCATTCGAGGAATAGAGGACGCCATGGTTGTGTGTTCTGCCAGCGGTCTCGGCCTCTTGTCTCTTCTGTTATGATATTGTTTTCATCTATTCTCTGCGATTCATCGTGATACCAAGGAATGACACGAGGAGCGTCGACTGCTTTCGTGTTCGCATCGTTCAATGGGTTTAATTCACGAAACTCATCTAGCAAGGCCGACACTCCAACCTGAAGATCCTTTGGAATCTTTTGAATAATCGACAGAAAGTATGCGGAAGAGCGGTCCCAGCCAGTTGTCACTGATTTGTACTTTGGCGGATTCGCGGTAACGACTTGACTATGCAATCGTACTGGAACCTTCTCCGCAAAGTCCTCATCCCAACCCCGGCTAATATTCCCGAATAATATGGTAGGGTCTTTTTTTTGGAAGAACCGATCTGGGGTGCCCCTAGTTGGATCTGAAAGGCTGGCTTTCAAGCTGTCGATCTGCTTATTCCAGCCTCCTTCCATGTCTTTCCACTGGTTTAACTGCTTCAGACGACCCATCCAGTCTGAGATGCTCTTCCTGTATCTGTCTCCTTTACTATCCTCAATGAAGCCTGACACGTAATTCCACCAGGATGCGAAAAGATACCACTGCTTCTTAGTGCATTCCCGGGAGAGATTGTCAACCACAGCTTGTGTTCGATTCAGCGTCCGGAGGTCTTTAATCTGGGTCAGCGATGCCTCTGCGGGTTTCTGATTTGGATCTGTCTGCTGCTTGAAGTACCACTGTGTACCGCTATCAATCTTTTGGAACGATTGTTGGTAATTCTCGTCGGCCGCAGCTTGGAGCCCATCCAAATCATCGTCCTCGGTCTCTTGCAGCAGGAACTGAATACGCAGAAGTGTTTGGTATACATCTTGCATTTTGTCGTCTTTCGCGTCCTTATGGGCATTGCAGAATGCAAGTAAACCATCGATGGGCGTGACACCTATGGAGATTGGTTGTTTATGCAGCATTGCAGCACCAGCAGCATTCGCCAATACTGTGTTAGCTGGCTTTGGCGTGGCGCGGTCGAACACGACTCCATACTTGGAGCAATGGCAGAGAACACGCGAGGGGGCAGGCGTCTTGGAGTCTAACCATGCCTGTACATCATCCGGAATGGTTTTGACTCTCATACGGCAGTCACTGAGTCTTTCCGAATGGGTCGGAACTGATTCGCGGTCCTCTGTTTGATACGTTGTCAGAGGGTCGCTGTCTGCTGTAGAATGCCACCCGATGATGCTGTAGTCCGCGGTCGCCTTTTTGAGATATACCTTGGAAGCCTTCCCGCCGCTAGAAACGGTATATTCAAAGTTATCTACGATGCTGAACACATTCATGTTGTGGTGCGTAAAGTCCACAAATAATGGGTTCGAGGAACTCAAAACTTGGAGATCGACATGAGGGCTCCCATCTGCCACTTTGGAATCCCAGTCCAAAGCCTTAGTTTTCTTTCCAATGAAAACCTCGGCTTGACTGTCGATAATGGCGGTGTTATCTGGAGTCATACTGATGGCACTGAGGAACGGGCTTCGTTGGGCCTCGATATCGAAGTCTAAGCCGTACTGCTCCCCAATCTCATCAATGTTGCTGAGAGCGTCCGACTCAACAACCCAAGACTCGAAGTCTTTGATATCCAACCCATTTGGATAGTCTACTCCTTCTTTGCCAAGTGAACCCTTGTCTATTCTTCTTGTGACTAGCCATCGGTTTGGCAGTGGGCGAAAATCTGGGGCTGTCGTATCCGGACTGGCCCCAGACGAAGGTTTATCCCCACTTCGAGACGGGAAACCTTGTTGCCGTTTCCTCTCTGCCTGTGCGGCCGGGGTATTTTGCTTGTGGTCGGTTGCACCTCCAGCGCCAGAACTGCCCATGCGGTAGAATTGGGGGATTGTCCAGTGCAGATAAACGCCCAACCGAGATTCTTTGCGTTCCCCATTACCCAAGTTTGTTATGCGTGAGTTCAGGTCGGCTGGTGTCACCGAGTGAAGGTCGATATGGTCAAGGACGTCGTTTTCGAGAAGCTTGTCGTGGAGACGGAGGAACGTGTAGCTGGAGGCTATCAACAATAACTTTCATTTGACATTGTGGATTCATACTTTGGTTGGGTTATTGGTGCGATCTTATAGTTGTTGTCTGCGTCGCAGCAGTGTTCGGTCAGGACAAATGCATCCAAAGCACACGGTATCAGGACCGCGGTGATAGAGTTGTCAACAGATGGGTCTGCCGCAGTAGCCATTGCTTATGCAATATGATCAAATGTCACAGAGATTTAAGAAACAAGAGCTCTGAGGCCCGAAGAGTTAGTTACTCGACAATAGCAAAAAGCCCACTTCCCCCGCGAAGGGAGAGCAGGGGAGCAGAGCTCGATGGGAGCTTGGGCCAGCCTCCAGTGTCGATGGCAGCTCGTCCCAGGGTTGCATTTTCACGCAAGACATCCATGATTGGTGTTATGCCAGCCGTAGAACTACCGATGCGGCGCTGAGATGTTGCCCAGGAGCTGGGTGGATGCCAGACTGGGGTGTGTCGGCGGGGGTCAAGGGTATTGCGGCAACTAGAGCCGAGCATTTATCGATAGCTCAACGCAAGCCACATATTTCCATCCTGCACCTCCGTCCCGCCCAATCCCCATCGTCCAAAATGCATGATCATCACTCAAAGCTACCGACATGCAGCATAAATTTCAGCTGCCTGCATCGCTGGTCATTTGGACCATGGAAGGCACCACCGGTGTTTCGTATTCCTAGTCCAAACTGGACACTGCTTTTTGCTATGATCGCGGAATTAGAGGACACTCTAAGTGATCAAAAGAGCGGCTGATAGGTCTTGGTGCATGCACTCAACCCCAAGCGTCTAGTATGAGAAAAGCGAGGATGTGAATGGGACTTCATCTCGTGCCCCTTCGCAAGAACAATTGACCCGAAGGAGCCCTGGGAAGTCGGACTTCGAATCGAAGAGCAAGATGGCGAGTGTGGTTTCACCACGAAACTTGATACTCAAGAACTTGAGGAAACAAGTCGAAAAAGATGGGGCAGCAACAGCAGGAACGAGCGATGATCGGGACACCCTTCCGCTACCCGCCCTCGGAGACATGCAACTTCATTCATTCTTCAAGCCATCCCTGGAAGCAGGAACTTACTCTATCGAAGTCAACCAAGACATCGACATCACGTACAATGAGAAAGACAAGGAGACCAACCTGCCCATTATATCCCACCAGGCCCTCCCACTTGGCCTAAAGGGCGAGGCCACCGCAATTCAAACCTTCGAAGTTGTTGCTCCACGGTTTGCAATAGACCTGAAGGATATCCACAGCACATATCCACCACAAGGACATGCTGATCAGCCAAATGTGTTACCTCACATCGTATTTAGTGACGCACATCTCCCATGGGAGCGTAGCACGCCTGGCATTTCAGAAACAAGTTCTGACCCTAAAGAGGACGCGATACCCTGGCTTGCCGTCTTCCCATTCGATTGCAGCGGAACCACACCAGAAACGCAGGAATTACGGCTAACTCCAGAACAACTCAATGGAGACTATGCGATCTACCAGAAGATTGGTGGCGATGGGAAACTGGTTGAGATCAAGCAGTCTTCAACCTTCACTATCTCAATGACGGTAGCGGAGTATCTTGCTCTTAAAACTCGATCCCCTCCGCCAGTCACCCCAACCCCTGAGACAAACTCGCCTCCAAACCCTTCACCGAATACGCCAGATGCAAGGCCAACCCTTGATCCAAAGAAATTTACCAAACTTCGGATTCCACCATTCGAAAAGGACCCAGACTACTCTGAGATATCTAGTCTGGACACCCCAGTTGAGGTAATTTTCCTCTCCGGAAAACTGTTCAGACAGTTATTCCCTTTGAATGCAAGTAAATTACCGGACGTCACCCCTTTTCGTTTCCTCTCCCACGTACGGAATGTGAACACTCAAGGCATGGCCCAAGCCAGCGTCGAGGATGGCGAAACCGGGTTATTCTCGATCCTGCATTCTAAACGAACTGGGCCAACAGACATTGCCCAAAATACCCCTCCGCGTCCTCAGGTGGTTCATCTAATATCCCTTGAATACATTGACCAAATGACTGGGGTCGACGCCATGAAAGACGACGAACTCGTGGCATTCGTCTCCCTCTATCGCTGGAATTACCTATGTCAGCCACCCCTTACCGTCAACTTTGTCGACGCCATGAGAGACATCGGTGAATCAATGCAAGATACGAAAGAACAGGTCGCAAACAACCTTTTGCGGTGTCCCGAGAACGTACTGACCCAAATGCGAGTCAAAGCAGCGATTGCGGCTAAAGGAACCGGCTCTTTGAAGCAGGAAAAGGTCACAGAGTTGCAATCGGCAATGCTTGAGCGACTGTCAAACGGGTACAGTCTTGTCCGGCATCGGACTGCGTCTGGCGAAGAAACTGTTGCGTTTAATAGAGGTCCGTTGATACCCACATCACCCGCCCAACTGCAACCCAAATGGCCGTATGGGTCCAATTTCGGCCAAGATTACCAAATTTTTGACCGAAACCTTGGGATGATGGATATTTCTTATAGTTCTGCCTGGCAAATTGGGAAACTCCTGGCAACTTCTGATCTAGGATTTGTTGCAGCCTTATTGCGGGTCCGATCTATGGCTCATAAAGCGGGAGTGAAAGAGTCGCAAGTTATGGCTGCGAGTATGATCTTTGGCATGAAAGGGAAACTGGCAGTCTTCAATGACCTTCAAAACTCAGCATCTATGTTGAACGAAGTATCGAACACACCAAGCGGAGCTGCTGCCACTCCTGATCTCAGACAACGGTGGTCGCACACGACACCTATTCCTGAAGAAACAAAGGCTTCCGCGAAACTCCCTTCCAACACCAACGTTAAAAATGCATTTATTTCCGGTGTACACCGCCAGATGGTCAGTATATCAGCCATCGCTGGAACGGAAGATGTGATCTTTGACGAGCTGGCTCTGGCCGCCTCTACTGACTGGGCGTATGTTCATTCGTGGATTATGGATCGGCTCTTCCTGAGTGGACTCCCGACGCATTACTACATCGGTGATAGCTCGTTTCTACCACCCGAGAGCATTCGATTTTTCCAGATCGATACCAATTGGATGGACTGCTTCATTGACGGTGCTCTCAGCGTTGCAAACCATATGGCACGGGACGACGATCATATACGCGACGCTATCAAGAATCAGCTAAATAAATTCTTCTCTACCAAATACACCAACAACAATGACCAGCCTTTACACTACCCTCAAGTCCCTAGGTATGGGTTTTTCCTTCGCTCTGCCGTCGTAGCAATTTTCCAGGATTTAACTGTTGACATTCCATACCCGGATGCCCCAGAGGACAAAACTCAAAATGGGCGGCTACCAATTCTCCTTCAGAAGCACCTTGGAAAAGATATATTGATGGTGCTGCTTGACCGTGCCCCAGAAGACATCGTCACAATCAAGCTCTCTCAGCCTCCCCACCAGCAACGTTTTAGCGCAGGAGATGCTCTCGATCACAACTCTATCGAGTTCCTCTTCCGGAAATTGTATCGATCCACTCAAGGTGGCTTTTTCCATGAGTTTGGGGATCCCCATAAGCTTTTTCGTCCAGGCTATGTGCCACCTATCCATTCGGATACCCCTGGGCATGTTGAAGCGGATGAAGACATTACTACTGAACCTTTGTATGACTGGACTACGCGATGTCTAGACCTTCCGACCCTAGAGAAATACCTTCTTGGGGAGAATGGCGTCTACACCAAAGGAATGCCTGCTGAATGGGGCCCCGATGGAGACGGGAGGCTGCATAAGCTTTCAAGTGCGATGACCGGGTTGATCCTCAATGACACTATGAAGTATCTTGAGATCAAGGGGCTAAACTACGACAAGAAACGCAAGACGCTTCAAGAACCATATTCACTTCGTGTTAAACCAACTCTGGCTTCAATCAATGTCGTCAGCAAAAAGATCCAAAGCATAAAGACAACTCTAGCCTCCAAGTCATCCCTGTTGGACAATGTGTCCAGGGATCCGCTCCAAAAAGTACCCCAAAACCCGTCCAATGTCTCGCCATCCTCGTCTTTGCGAGCAAATGCCCTCGCTCATCCAACCACTCCAGCCCATCTTACCCGCCTCGCACCTCTCATGGGCAGCGTACCCATCACCACCAAAGCTACTGTAGCAGGACCTGCTGCCACAGCTCCACCACCCGCAAACGTCAACGCCATCGCCCATGACCGCTCCTTCAAGTACGCTATTTTCCCCGCAACCTCCAAATATATTGCCCCACTCCCCGCCCTACCGTCTTCCAACTCCTATGTCTTCGTCGATGCCCCTTTCGTCCCCGACCTCATCTTTAGCATCAACATCAACCCCATTGCAACCAACCAAATCGAAGTCATCGAAAACGGGAAGAAGATCAAAAAGAGTCTCTGGCTACGGGAAGTGCAATTTAAAATCCCAGTCGGCGATCCCGCCAGGAGAAAAGGCGACGCCGATATCCAAGGCCTAGGTCTAGTCCCGGATAACGCGTCAGCGGGCCTGCAAGGAAGAATGCTGGATAATCAGCGCTGGGTCATTCACCTTGACCCTGGAGCTGAGTATATGGTTGTGAGAGTTATCCCGCGCTCGACGAAGATGTCGACACCAGTGGAGTGGAACCGTAACTTGTCTTTTAAGCTTATGGAGGTTGATATCGCAGGATTTGATGTCCCAGGGGTTGGGGAGAAGGTGCAAATAGGTGAGGTGAAACCACCGACGGGGCCAGTGGAGGTGAGAGTTAGTGAGGTTTATGGGTTTTTGCTGCCCGACGGGAAGACGTGGGTGGATCAAGGGCGCGCGAGTTGGAGCTGGAAGGTGCAGAGAAAAGTTGGGTTTGCAAGTGGGTGGAGGCCTGAGGGTCCCAAGTAATTTCATTGAGCAGCAAACGATCTTGTTCTTAGTAAATTTAGTATATTAATTTTTTTCAGCATCAAGTTTCCGTTTCAGCTGTACTGATAAGCATTACTACACGTACACTACTCTAGTCTCAAAAGCACAATATATTCTACCAGCCACCAACCCTCCCTGCAACCCCTACAAACACCCCGATCCCGGCACTCAACCAAGCTACCGTACTCCACACTAGCGCTGGCGTCCCCATATACCAACGTCCAATTGCGAAGTCTCCTGGAGTCTCGCCAGCCGTGGGATGCTGCTCATTGACCAGACTCTGCACACCTAGTATCTGCGCGAATATTAAACACCCCGTTGCCAGAATCGCGAGTAGAGTAGTCGAAGTAAATAGTATGCTAGTCCAAATATTCTTTGTAGAATATGGCGTGTATACTCTCCGATCCCGTGGCCGAGAGTGGGCGTGGTTATGAGTTTCTAAAGTCACCGCAGTACCAACATCACCCTGCTCTCCATCCCCACCTTCAGCCTTCTGCTCCTCAACCGCCACATACTCATAGCCTCCCACCGTCTCCTCCAACGCCCAAGCTCTCTTGAACCCCATCGCCGCAACCCCAACACCCCCTAACACAGTTATCCCAACCACTACGCACCCCGCAACATACAACCGCGCACTCCCTACCACTTTTTGGCAAATCTGCCGATCATCCAATCCCGGTTTAAACCTCGCAAAACACCTTCCCATCCCGCCCTTACCTAACAAACTCTCTCTCCTACACCCCCACACAAAATCTCCGGCTGCTGTGGAGTCGATCCCTTCGGAAGGTAGTCTATCGCAGACGTAGAATGGCGAGGAAGAGAGGACGATGCCGGAAGGTAAGCCGGTAGAGTTTTGGAGGGAAGTGAGGGAGTAGTTGGGGGTGTATTGAGTGGCCAGGGTTAGGGACATAGAGATTAAATAGAGGGTGGGAGGGAGGAGGAGGGAGAGGAGTGAGAAGATGCGGAGGGGAAGTGGACGCGGTATTAGGCGGGGAGACTGGTCGAAGGAGGGATGGTGGTGGCGGGTCATTGTTGTGAGCGCTGAGTGGTAATTTGAAAATTGGAGAGTTGGAATGTTGAGGGTGTTTTTATTATAAGGAGAAACGAAAGGTATCCTAGGACTGTTGCGAAGCCGTTTTAGGTTGCGAGAAGGTGTGTTGTGTAGTTGCCGCTTAGGAGGTCTCAGGGTGCACTTCTGAGATTTGGAATTTAGTGCTTCGAAGGTCGCTATCGTCTTTGAGGCGGAGGAATGGTATCGAGGAATGGTACCGAGGAATAAGAGCGATATGGAGATAGCGGCCCCGTGCACACAAATATGCAGGCGTTCCAACGTGCAGTTGTAGGTTTCAAGCTATGCTTTCGAAAACAGCTCCGACGATAACTAGAGAAAGGAGATGGGAGCCTCGAGCCCACCCGCAATGAACAAAAAAAGACGGTGTCTGTCAAGCTGAAGCTACACCGAGTACACTACAGAGGTCACGCGGAGCCAGCAGAATGCAAGCCAGTCTTCGCAAGCTAGTAGGTCAAAACAATACCAGGTGGTGTTTATGGAATCAAAGGGCACAGGATGTTTGAATAGCTCAGCTCGAACTTCTCGGTCCAGACCAGACAGCCACACGGCAAGCTCCTGTCTGCATGCACGTTCCATGTAGCTTCTCCGCAGCGCTCTTTCGTGGCGCTGCTGAAAAAGATCCCAAACCGAGAAAACACGATTTGTCCAGTCTGTTTTCAGCTGTGCAATCATGCGAGTGAGGTTTATCCCTGTCCCTATTGATCAGAACTAAGTTAGCGTGGAGCTTGGGTCATTTTAATTTGACTTCCTTCCTGCACTCACATTACCTTTCTTCATGAGCTGATCGTACCACCCCCGATTCATGATGTGCTTTATTGCTTTTCATCCATGGTTCTGCAGCGGATTTATTGAAAAAAGGCGTTTCGTTTCAGCTGTGGCGTATGCAACGATGAGGAACCGGCCGTGTAGAGTTTCCCTGAATTCTGTGGAGAGCGAGGGTTGAATGCGATGGAGGGGCTGCCAAGCTGGATGGTGGAAGGAGGACCTGAACAAACCCTTGCGGGACTCACGATTGAATCGGTTCGCAATCAAATGATTGCTATCCGTGGGAGACACTTGCTCCATTTTCCAGCTCTAAGAGGCATGAGCACCACCCACGAGTATTGATCAAGACTTCTGCACGTCCCAAGGCAGCCAGTCTAAGCCAACGGGTTCACCAAGATGTCGTCCAAGAAAGTCCATAGTTGGCATATCAACATCAACGCTGGCGATTCCGCGATCCACTTGCTTGTCAATGAAGGAACGACTCCAAAACCAACCATCCTGGGCTGCGTTTTGATCGACGGGGGTAAAGGTGCAAATGAAAAGATCAAGACGATCAAAGACGTGATCGCAAAAATTGAGAAAGACTACACTTTGCCTGCCGGGGACTTGAACCTGAAGTTTGATAGTATAGTCATCACACATTGGTATGTTTGAAGGGCTTCCTAATTTCTTAATGGCACTGATAAACGGTAGGGATGTGGATCACTGGGAGGGAGTCGTCAATCTCCTGGTCGACGACTTGTCGACGAAACTTCGGAATGACGCTACTTATAAAAAGCTGACGAGTGATTCATACACTCTATTCAAGAAAACAATCTTGAAGAAGCTTGACGTGGCTTTCACAGATGCGACGGTGGATACGCTATTTGCGGCAAATAGTGCCAAAGTGAAGAAAGTCAGCGATAGCCTCAACATTGTCGAAAGGGAAGCCTGCGACCTAATTTACCCTCTATCACCAAATCTCGCGATTCCATGTCGCTATCTGAGGTATACTAGTACGTTCCCTACGGTGCCAGTCCTCCAGAACACTCCTCCTGCATTTAAGGTCGGCCCTGGAGATGTCTTGACTAGGTTCTACGTACCATACATGACTACCAAGCAAAAGCTCGGACTCATAGGGCCTCATCAAAGGGAAAACGCTGATGATGATGATGATGATTCCAAACCGAAGGTGAAGAGACGAAAGAAAACTCCAGCCGATGAAGATGATATGGCTGTCGACCTAGGACCCTTAGAAAATGATTACACACTCCTCAAAACCACGCTGCGAGTCAACGTTGACAATTCCTATAAGGAGAGCGAACCTAATACCGTGGCAATACGGGTTCCGCTGACTCATAATCTTGGCTTTGAATGGCCTTATATTAACAATAAAGGCAAGCCTGGCTTCACGAAGCAACGAGAAAAGGTGTGGCGTTTCAACTTCGTAGCAAAGTTGTATGATTCTGCGGAACAGTACGTTTTGATTGCCTCCTAGCACTTTAAAGAGGGGATATAATGCTGAACCTTCACTATCAGGTACCTCGGTGCAGAGCTCTTCCGGAAAGGCAACTTCGCCGACAAATCCAAAGCCAAAATGCTGCAAAATCCGGCAGACTTAATTGGACCCAAAGGCTGGGGGATGGATGTCGATGATGGGCCAGGAATGTTTGTTGTCGCGGGTGACCAGTATGTTATAGGAGACACGCCGTTGGCAGGTGCCCCTACTCTGTTATCGGTAAAGCGTGTGGTAACTCCAATAAACACGGCTTCAGGAGATACAAAGCTCACATTCAGGCCACGACTGAAGGTTGTCGATTCAACCCTCAAAAAAGGGCAACGGTATGACCCTCGGGGTGCAAAGGACTCCAAGGCGAAAAACTCTGCTTCGATTGTTTGTCTGATTCTTGCCCCAACGGGGAACAAAACGCCAAAAGACAGCTTCAAAATCTTGCACTTCTTGGGTGGTGATGCACTTTGGGATGTCGAAGGTACAGCCTGTGAGATCAACCGACGTTCGGCACTAATACGACCTAGGCGCCTTGGTGACATGGATGAAAAACCAACTCAATGGCGAGGATTGGCCTTGCCTCAGCACAGCGATCAAGCTAAGCCAGTGAGTTACCTACCGTGTCCATACACAAATTCTATTAATACCATTCAGTCATGGAGGCAAAGAGTCGACGGAGGTTCACTTGCTTGAGCAAATGGCCCCTCAGTTTATGCTATGTTCGATTGGAGAGAAGGGGGAGTACTTCCATCCTCGTAAGTTCTGAACATGTTTTCGTATCACTTGGATAGTTGGAGAGTATTGGGTTGCCATCTTGAACACCTTAGCATGTTGCCGTGGATCAAATGGCATGATCACAATGAAAAGGGGCACTTAACCGGCTCGACAGAAATTGGAATGCTCATTGAGAGGATGCTAGCCGCCCTCCATCAGATCCCTTGCCATAGCAAGCACTTTATAACATATCAATTCCAGATGCCGAGGTTCTCGCATTCATTCATGCTGCAATTGCGGCGCTCCGCACATCAGATATAGAAAAAGAGAAGGTAAAACAAGGTGGAAAGGCTGGTACATATAAGATCCCAAACCGATACCCTCCATTGCTTTTGACTAATTATCCTGGTATGGTATCATTAGCCCGATTTTGTCTTTTCTACCGATCCACCGGCTAATTTAAACCGCAGATTGGTTCTCAAAGCCAATGAAGACTACGTACGACCTTGACACATTTTATATAGACCATGGCGAGGACTTCGAATTCCAAGAAAATTTGAAAGCGCTCTATGCACTTTCTGGACTTACAAGTAACATATACACTGACTTCCGCAAGCGGTTCAACAAAGATCGCGCAGCTACGTTAAAAGAGAAAGGATTGAAAGAAGAGCAAAAGGGGACGTGGAAGACAGCCATGAAAACGGAATCGGACACAAGAAGGAAAGCAATGGGTGGTATCATACGTCAACGCTGGGAATATATATCCCCCAACCCCGCGAAAGAAAAGTTCAAGGCATGGAAGCTTATTCTCGGGATTGGTGAGCAAAGCAAGCCACGGCATTTAGCTTGGATCCAGGATAACAACTACTTCGCCATTCCTGTGCCTAACCAGCTCACCGTCACAGTGTCGCCGCCACCGCCGCCAAAGGCACCACCCGCGGACTCGGACAAAATGGCTGTGGTTCTGGCTGCGTCATCTTCGGCGGTAGTTCCGGCGACCGGTACAACCACAAAGAGTGTCTTAATCCCTCCTCGGATTGCTGTATGGGCTAGGATTGCAGAAGTCCCAGAAGATCCAGAGGCAGATGAATCTCCTTTCCCCCTTGCACCTTCCCCAGATGCTATGGTAGTTGAACCGCCCAAGGGGAAGCGCGTTCTCGTTCGCAATGCCAACATCCCGGCGGCAAACGCTCAGACATTGATTGTACCTATACCTTCAATCCCCGAGGCTGCATCTCCATCTAGGTTCTACGTGTACAGCACAATATACTCGCACGTCACTGCAGGAAACCCTAATGAGGTGGTATTGGATGTCGGTAATCCCCTAAACAACTTCCTCAGTGCTCTTGATCCCGGCTTTTGGGTGACGGATACCCTCCTCAATTCGAACAACACGGTCCTGTCGCTGGACGCACACTGGGCTCAAGGGGTCACATCCACCTTATTGAATATCAACAGCGTCACCATGAAAGGTTTAGTTGTAAACAAAGTAGCGCAGGTTACCGAAATTGGCTCAACTATTACCAGTGGGAACAAAACTCTGAGCTTTTCCACTTCCGCCACTTACGACGCTATGGTGGGTGGAACGAAGCAACACCGGGAGTTCTCTGACGCATTCTATCCTCCATACAACTTGCTTGTGCTTGGACTTTCTTCCGTCACACAATCGGCAGATTTCACTTTAGGTGATATTCTCCGACTCTTTGGGCCCCATTGGATGCAGGATGCCGCTGATGTGTTTGAACTTCCTGGCTTTGACTCTGGTTTAAAATTTGTCCTGGATGCAAGCGGAAAGTCAAATCGCAATGGCCTCTTCTTTCAAGCGGATAGCCATTACCCAACATGGCTTCGACTTCAGTTCAACGTGCCGAAAGACAACCTAGATGACTTTAAGGCCAAACTACAAACCCGACTCGACTTCCTAGGTAGCATCTCTCTTAGCGATGCTTGCGTGATATGCCGAAAGCAGTCCAAGACTGAACGTAGGGAGATGCCAAATGCGCAAGGCCAAATAGTGCTTGATTCGACCTCATCAAGCATCTCTTCATTTGTCTGCATCCAAGCCACCGTAACAATAAACTCCCTTTCATTACGGCTCATCCTTGAATATGATTCAGATGGCTCAACCAGGCTTATCATCAGGTTTGACACCGTGACTGAAAAAGGGAAACCGATCAGCGCTGCTCTGGAGTGGCTTGCAAAATCTTTTGACCTTGACGGTGATATAAGTGATCTTCTCCCTGGGTCTGAGAATATCTACGTTCTACAGGTGGCGGTCAATTTGGGGAGTGTGACCCCCGAGGGACACTTCTCAATCAAGGGCGCCTCGGTAACATTCACACTGGAAGTCGATTGTTTTGGTGCGGCGTTCTTTGTAGAAGCGACTTGGCCAAGCTTCAGGTTGCGGGCATTCCTATGGACGGACCTGAGGGATGAAATCGAACCAAAAATGCTGCCGTGGCTTGAGCCTTATATGGATATCAATCCAGCCAATACGAGCCTTATGTCACCCGAGGGACCAAAGCTCACCAATTTCCTTCCAGATTCTATGCAAAATGTCCGCCTTCCGCCTGCAGTCGACTTTAGAATCGTCGAAGCCGAGTTTGAGAGCTGGATGGACGCACAGCAGCAAATGAACCTCATCTTCCACGCCACTTTGTGCACAAAAGATGATCCAAGTGGAGGTGAGCCTGCGCTCGACATTGACACACTAAGTATGACGGCTACACGGATTGCAACCACGGATCCCAAGCGGATGTCATACGAAATCAACATTTCAACCGTTTTCTATCTGCTGCCTCGAAATTTCGACCCCACCAATCCCAACTCGTTTGCTGCACAGATCTCTGCCTCTGTCGACGTGCTTGATGGGCTATGGGTGATTAAGGCCGAAGCAGACAACCTCCAATTTGCCGCACTATATAGCTTGTTTGATTCAGATGTGTCTGATTCCGTTATGGACATCCTGGAAGAGTTCTCCATTCCACGAATACAGTTCGCTTTCACCTACGGCATGGATAAGGCTCCCAATATTTCTCTAACAGGCGCGCTTAGAATCAGCACGTTCGAGATCGATGTTGGGTACTGGTACAATTCGGCCGAGTCGTGGTCCTTCCAGGGCCAGCTTGGATTTATTAGTGATAAGGACAAGATCACCATAGCCCATATTGTCAGAGAATTTGACACCAGCATCGCTGACGTCCTTGATGAGATTGAGTTCATCAAGTCTATTTCCATTCCCGCAATCAACCAAGACGCGACGGACTTCGATTCTGCTCCAATGTAAGGCTACTCGGAAGTTGTACCACAAAATGCTAACATTCTTCTACAGCCAATTCTACATGACCTCAACGTCCGATGCTGTTATCATGTGGTTCCAGGTTGAGATCGATTCTGCGGTTGGAGCATTCACATTCCTCTTTGCACAGTACAAGCCGAAGCCAAAGCCGAATGCACAGAACCAGATGCCAGCGACAAGGCCTTCACCAAAGCGCTTAATTCGCGTTAGACTGGACCACCTGCCGACGCTGCCTAACATTCCCATTGTCGGATCAATCGGACAGCCAGTGGACTCAATTTCCTACGTGTACGTGCAGGACTCAGAAGGGATCAATCCCGCGAATAAGTCCCCTTCGGCTGGTTTCACGCTTCAAGAGATTGACGCGATCAATGCTGTGAGTTTTGATGAAGTGCCTGAATCTCGCTATCGCTGAATTTTATAAGACACTCCAAGATCGCAACGCTATCCGATTCCGCGATACAAAGTCGAATCTACCCTCTGCTAATGCATCAAGCACACCTCCTGCTACAGGCTCCTCTGCGCCACCGAACTATGTTCTTCTGCATGGGCATCACTTCATCGTAGTCACCAATGGGAAAGTCGTCGTCGACCACAAATTTGGAAGCTCCACACCCTCTACGACGCCACAAAATAAGATCGTTAGTAAGCGAGTAACTGGAGGTCCCGTCGTTCGTCCTGCCGCAGGTCCACTTGCACCAAGCCCACAAGCTACCGCGGAAGATTCTGGAGCTACCATGGGACAAAGCAAAAAGAGCTTTCCTGGCATCCCAATCACCATCAACAATTTTGGAATCCAGGTCAAAGACAAGAGGCTGTACCTCCTTATTGATGCGAAGGTCTTGCTTGGACCGATTGAGCTAACATTGGAGGGATTCGGGATAGGGATACCTTTGAATATCCCTGGAATTAGCTTTGCGGATCTAGCAAAAAAGGAGGTAATTGAGCTGTTCGATATTAAGCTCACAGGTATAGGGGTCTATTTCAACGCACCACCAGTCATGATCGCGGGATGCTTCTTCCATATTGATGTACCGGAGTATGAAGCATATCGTGGTGGCTTGGCCGTCAGCATTCTTCCTTACACATTGTAAGTCTATCTCATCCCCTACTCTCTTTAAATACTAAAATAGTATACTCTAGGCTCGCCGTAGGCAGTTATCAGCATAACAAACTTCCGAAAGACTTCAAATCTGTCTTCGTCTTTGCTCGTTTGGATGGACCTCTCTTCACCCTTGAGTTTGCCGAGATCTCTGGGGTGTCTGCCGGCTTTGGATACAACTACGATCTTCGGTTGCCTACTGCAGGGGAAATCATGGACTTCCCACTCGTCCATGGTCCAGAGTCCTCCGATGATCCCATGAAACTACTCTCAAGTCGCAAAGAAGAACGCTCCAGTTTTGTTAATTGGACAACTGCCAAGGAGACGGCATTGTTTTTTGCCATCGGCATGAAAGTCGATGCTTTCCAAGTCTTGACGGTAGATGCCGCTGCTATTCTTGCAATATCCGCAGACGATGTCAAGATTGCGCTTGTGGGCATCGCAAGTGCAAGTATGCCACCCTCGACTGGGAAGACTAAGCCACCAGAGGCATTCATCTACGTCGAACTCGGAATCGTAGCGAGTCTAGACATCACGGGAGGATCTTTACTCGTTGCAGCGCAACTTACGCCCAACTCATATGTTCTCGCGCCTGACTGCCATCTGACCGGAGGCTTTGCGCTTTGCTACTGGTTTGGTAGGAACGAGAATGCTGGAGACTGGGTCTTCACTGTGGGCGGATACCACCCAGCGTTCAAGAAGCCCAAGTACTACCCAGATGTTCCTCGTGTCGGCATTAGTTGGAATCTTAGCGACGTTCTCACCGTCCGAGGCGAATCATATTTTGCCATCTGCCCAAAGGCTTGCATGGGTGGTGGACGCTTGCTCGCTACATTCAGTGCCGGACCAATCTATGCATCCTTTGAAGCATGGGCGTCGTTCCTCATCAACTTCAAGCCTTTCTTCTTCGTCGCAGACATTGGCATCAATGTCTCTGTGGGCTGCAACATTGACTTCTGGATTGTTCATATCCATATTCATGCTGAGCTCGGCGCTTCACTTCACCTCCAAGGGCCGCCATTCGGAGGTGTTGCGCATGTTCATTTCTGGGTCATGGGCTTTGACGTCTACTTCGGAGACCAGAACAACGTGCCCGATCCTTTGAGCTGGGATAAGTTCCTCCCTCTTATCAAGCAACCTGGGCCAGGAAGCGATCCAAATAAGACGGCTATGTGCGTAATCGCAATTGAGAAAGGCTCTGCAGATGAGAAGTCGAGCAAAACAAACAGAGACACAGGTGAAAAATGGTTCGTGAGAGCGGGGTCTTTGCAATTCCGCGTCGAGACTAAGTTCCCGATCGAGGACATGGATTATGGGGATAGCTATGTGCAGAACAAATCGCAGGACCTGAAACCCTCCGTTCCGGCTACAGGGGCGATTTATGGGCGGCCGATGCAGTTGAAGGAACCGTATAAATCGCATTTAAGCGTTAAAGTTGTGCCACCTGGCCCGGCAATTGATCCCAAAGTGGATGACTCGAATCCATGGCTTGTCATGCCACTAATTAGATCTCTCCCCAAGGCTCTATGGGCCAAGTGTAAGCGCTCACCGTCTCCTATTTCTAGCGTCACTAACAAATTTGTAGATGACAAAAATGAAGACCCAACGCACGCAGGGAACTCTATCGCGACCCTCCTCAACAGTGAAAATGCCTCAGACGCGACAGTAGACCACTTGGTCGGTTTCACTTTCCGCTCGCCAGACCCCAAGCTGCCCTCATGGTCCTTCCCCGAATTTAACGCCCTCGCCGCAATGCAGGAAGGTGTCTTCCAAGACGATGGTGACCCCTTAGACAAGCCAGTTCGCAAAAACGCGCTTCTCGGCCCCGCTACGGGCATAGACGAACGACCGAAGTTAAAACCTACGCCTCCGTCGCAGACTACAGATCTTCCTGACGCCAAGAAGCCAGACATTTGGGTCGAGGATAAGAGTCTCGTAGATGGGGGATTTCTGGATGTGGGACCAAGCTTCGATGAGGTGGAAGGTGTGTGGCAGGCTGTGGATGAGGAGGCTACGCAGTTAGTAGCCGATGCGTGGGGAGATGTGATGGGCTGGTGGGGAGTGGAAGTGCCTGGGAGTGCTGGGTCTAGTTTGAGCGGGAAGAAGCCGACGTATCTGATAGGCAGGGCTGAGACTTTTGAGGTGTTTTATTTGGAGGCTCCTTGGCTGACGAAGGATGGGGTGGAGACGAATACACCTGTTACTGTTGGAGCGTAGATCTTTAGAGCGTAGACGCGGCGCGTTGAACAATGAATACTTGTAGGGAGGGCTGCTAAGTGGGGCTTTTTAAGACTAGAGTTGGCCCAAACCTGCCTGCTTTAGACTTTCATGCCCGTGTTCCCTCTCGTCCTCATGATATGCGAAAGTAGAATGCATTGATGTAAATGCGCAAAGACACCATGTACAATTTCTGCAATGCGCAACTTTTGTTCCGGACAGTCTTTTAACTTTCTCCTTTCACCTGCATCCCATCAGTAGCGATCTCTTTTCATAATGACATTGAATCGCTCAAAAGCCAACAGAGCTTCCACCCTCTAATAGTTTCTCTTCATCTTCTGCCCTCTTGACGATACTATTGAACCATGCACTACCCATCAAATCTTCCACTTTCCACTCCCTATCTTCCTTCTGAATCAGTCTGTCTGGTGACTGGTTCCACACATACACACCCGCATCAATTATTACTTTCCCACCTCCTTCTAGCTCCACCTCCACCTTCGTCCTGCGAAGATCAAACATGTTGTTCTCGAAACGATGGATCGCTTTACGCTGACTCTCCAGCATTCCGAAGACCAGCAAGCCCCAAACAGAGTCCTCGACATTAGTTGAAGGAAGCATAGCAGGCCATGGTTGCCCATTCACAGCATATCGATTGTACCCTCGCAACACGGCGGGAGTCATGCAAGATGCGACGGAGGCCAGCGTTGTGCCGTTCGTGACGGCGCGCAGACATGCAGGGAACATGAAGGAGCCAGAGAAGAAGTAGGGGAGAGGGTGCGAGAAGTTGAGCTCGGCCTCTTCTTTGAACTTGCTTAGCTGGTCGTGGGTGAAGCGGTTGCTAATGGCCATTCGTAGCGAGTGGGGAAGCGAGGAGGGGTTACTTGAGTATCCGATGCTTTTGATGATTCGATCAGAGTCGGATGGCAGGCAATTTGAACTCGGTTGGTTTGAAGTTGGCGTGATAGCAGCATTAGAGGGTCCAAGATCGAGGCTAGAGAATTTTTGGGCAAAGTAAACTTCTCGGCTCCTCTCTATATTTTCACGAGTTTTCTCCTTGTTGAAATGCCATTGCACGTCGTTTTGCACAGACTCCGATTTCTTCGAGAATTTGGTGGGTGCTGGAGGTTTCTCTTCTTGCGGATCCTTCGAGGATTGAGCCGAGATCACATCGTTCGTCCCTGTCTTTAGTCCGCTAACGGCATCGTGGTCGATAGATTCCCACTCATTTAGCTCCTCCATGGTAAAGCGGTGAACTATTTTGTTATTTCAACTCGTATTTGTCAATGGTTGATGCTTGAGTAGCCCGTAGAATAGGGATATTGATGAAAGTGCGAGCGGTTAGGATCCGATCAGGCAACCACTTAGACATTTATTATATAAGCCGATACACGTGAGTGGTAGCTACGCCATGGAGCAATTGCATTTGGATGGTATGGAAAGGATGTGGAATGTAAATAAAGGTCCCATTGAAGATAGGGATCGAACTTATGGGCCGTGTTCTTAATATCCCGTGGAAGAGGAAGGATCACGCGCTCCCTGAAGAAGTTAGCCCGTATCTCAACCTCATCTCGTTGCTAGCAACATTAACGCAGTTGAGTATCAACAATATCTATCTCATACGGCCGATAAACAGCATACATGCACTCCTGGGATGTTGGTCACTTCTTAGTTTATCTGCTCTCCCGCCATTTGCGGATTTGTGATGTACAGCTACTGTATCCTATAGGGCGGAACTCATTCCTTGTCTCACCACACGTTAGATAGCTAATTGCTAGAGCCTATGATCTTTGGCAACCATAATTTTGAGATTAGGAAATAGACCTCATCGCTCTTCGTCAATTTCGAGTGAATATCTACCGCGCCAAGCTTTCTTCGTTATTGCATGGGGATAACATCTTTATGTCCCACTTCGTGCATCCCGTGTTAGTCAGGCAGAGTAGTTTTGGATTTTTTGCTGGTGGAAAATTTTCTATTCCTTCTACGTCATTTGTCGAAAGCAATTCCAAATTTATGAATTGCTCTGAAGCGGTCAAACCGGCATGAGCGATCCTTCGCACTACGGATTATGTTCTTCCCGAACCGCTTCTTTTGCGCCAAAAAATCTAACTAGGCCACAGCTCGAGAAGAATACTTGTTTCGCTCGAAAATAGGCCCTCAGAATCCTTCTGCATCCCAGCACCTTACAGGTCTTGAGGTCCCTCTAGCATCGCGTCACGTGCTAATCTCTTTCACCCTGGAAATTCGGAAAAAGTTTCCTTTGCTGTCGATAGTCATCTGATAGAAAAATCTTGTAAACAGCTACCTTGTGGATCAGAAGGTAGAGAGACACCATAGAAACTGGTGGAGCCGATTGAGTGGTAGAAAGTGGCAGGTTTCGGGTTGATTCAGCGGGCCCGGTCTCTCCAGCGACGTGCTCAAACTTTGGTTAATAGTGACATTCTAGAAAGTAAGACCTCTCAAGAGCTAACCTAGCGTCAGGGTATTTCCGCACATGTACCGTCTCATATAATTTCAGACGAAACCGTCACGTTTTGCCTATCCATGTGCCCTCCTTAGCCTAGCCTCCTGTTTTATTTTCCGCATGATACCAATGGAAGCTTGGGGAATCTTTGCCGCGTGCAGAAACTTGCCCACAGAATCTTCCAGAAGGGTTCTGCCTAATTAACTATTACTGACCAGGGAACGGATGACGCTATTAGGGGGGATGATCCCCCAGGTATATGAGAGGTACTGCTCTATCTCGAGAACAATCTCTCCCATTTTCATAGTTTGTAGCTGAATTGGGCTCGAGATCAATCAACTTGACTTTTTCATGACTTTCGACACGCCTACCAATCCACTTCTTTTTCTCTTCAATTGACATCAAATCAACATGTCGATGCATTATTTCGTCATCTTTATATCACAAAAACTGGAATCAATATCGATAAAACATCACCATCACTCCATATACTGTTGAACTTAAATCACTGTCGACATCACCATATCATATGACAACATCATCATTGACTCCACTGTCACCAGTATGCAACTATCTGTTCTTTCTTCTTTCCGCCATTAAGTTATGTCCAGGTCATACATCAGAAGTAATCTCACTCTACTCCATCTTCAATCTCGAGTCTCGACATCACACAGCAAACTTCACACTTTACTATACTTTAGGTATTCAACATATAATCTCAACAAGTTGATGGCTAGCTGTTGAGCGTTCGGTTTGGAAACAGTCTTAGTTTGTCACTTGGGACGATCAATGGTCTACAATCTCAACATATTAATTGGTGGCTGTTGAGCGGTTGTGCTGGAAACATCAATGAACTCCAACAACATCACAAATCAGTGGGTCCCTTGGCACTTTTCAGTGCAGCGTAGTGGTTGTTCACCCATTTATACATATGTTTCAACAGTGGTTTGGTTTTGACTGAAATGTACTAAGTAGTATGTTTGCAAACTCTGCTCACAATATCCTAACTTCAACTTAATCTATCATATCACATCACTTCAATTGAAAAACACTCTATATATTGAATGGGCTCTTTCAGCTAGCTGCTTATGGTATGAGCACTTAAGTAGCAAGAGTAAGAGTAGTGTACGGTGTGCACAGCGTATGGAGTAGGTAGGGCGGGCAACAGATTTCTGGTTATTACTTGTCTCTTTCTATGTAAAGAAGACGCGAGGGATATTTCAGGAGGCGCACGCGGCGCATAGGCATCATGTGGTGTAATCACGTGATCCATCCCGGACCTGGTAGATACCATGCGCTGTGTTGCTCCTGCATACAGACACTATACATGTTATTGCTCTTTTAGTTTCTGTGCTTCATCTTCCAGTGTAGCACATGTGGATTTTTGGACCTCTTGTTTTGAATATTTTCGGTAGTAGATTCTTGGAACAAGAACATATTTAGTTTTACCATGCAGAGTTTGGAATATACGAACATTCAATAATCTTGGATTGAATGGAGTAGGTAGCATTACACTGCGCATTTTCATGTGCATATTCTCCTATCATATTGCGAACTACTCCGGCAAAAGGTTGTCTCTGATGAAGCGATCGACTAACTCATTCAGACCATGACCCAGGTCAAAGAGCGTGACGGGAAGGCGCTTTTAGATACCACTCCATGGATACATCAGCTGATTGTTGAACTCGTCTGCAGAGGGTAGACACTTCCTTGAGCGACAGAGCTGTTCTTCATGAGTATTCTGTAAAGGTTAGGTTATTGAAGCTGAATTAATTTTTACAATCGCGGACGCTATATCTATTTCTGACCTTGTTTGGATTTGAAGTGATGAAACCTTCAGATCTATTCTTGAGCACTTCTTGGCTGACATGTTTGTGAAATGCAGTTACGATGACTGCTTGAATCCCAGCTATAGTATTCTAGGGCTTATTGCTTCTCTTGTTGAATGGGCTGTCAGCTAGCTGAGCTTGATGTAAGCAAGGTCATGCGAGTGAAGAGCTGGTTACACAGTGTACACAGCGTGCGGAGATTGTAGGGTGGGCAAGTAACTGTGGTTCATTGCTATCGTGTTCTCCCTTCGAGAGAAAGGGGCTTTAGGTTGCGCGCGCACGGTGCGCGGGCATGAGCCTCCTCGCGTGACTAGCCCACGTGATATCAGCCTCAGTGCCGTACAGTATTCACTGTACGGACATCTCTTTTATCTTTTATATTTGGCTAATTCGCCAGATCAATTTTCTTGAGGCCTGATCAAGTCCACAGAAACCAAGCTAATAGTAACTCTAGGCTCATCGAACTATATAGTGCGCTAGGATACAATTTGCCAGACCTACCGTCATCAGTGGAAGGAATCTATAAGGTTCACCCTGCTAAAAAGCGCTCCAATTTGCCGAGGCTCTCCGGAATTTTGAAAACTAGACACACAACTCCTTCGTCGCAGGTAAGGCTCTGCTATCATTATTGTATTTAATTCATTGATGAACCAATGATTAGTTGTCAATTGGAGCGGGGTCGGTCACGAAGAGAACGAGAATCAGAGTATGATTGTGTGTGTGGAGAAGTCACTCTTCTCGTTTACCTGTACAATTGAAACTATCCCCAAGTTCATGCTAGAGCAAGCAGTTTCTCCCCAAACGAGGTGGAAAGAGTATAGTGTAGGGTACCAGATCGACCCACAAAACGCTCAATTTGGTCCCCATCTCAAGGTTCTATTCTTGGATTCCGGTAGACTGTGGCAAGTTCTGGGGCATCTGATACTACTTGCAGCTATTGGGGTGGAGAAATCTAACAATATGGAGATTTACATCTGTGGCTCGACGCCCGCTGAATACATATACGGCCAACAAAGATCGTATTGGATCGAACAGGCTCTTTGGTTGTTCTGCTATATATTTCCTGGTAACCCAATAACTCTGTAAGTTCATCGGCCCGTCACCCGCAAGCTATGTCTCGCATGAGCTGAGTAGGGGTCATAGGGTAGGCGAGTCAACAAGGTATTGAGATCAAAACAAGGTGAATTGAACTAGTGTATTGTAAGGTCTAAGTAGCTCGAGAGAGCTCTGGGCTGACTATATACTGTACGAAAAAGGAGCTAGTCCTAATGAGTGAATAGCGCAGTACATGGGTATAGTATCGCGTGAGACACGTGCGACACTATGTACTCATAAGCAAAGACCAGTCTCAGAAAAGGAAAAGCTATTGGCAGTGTTAGAGGACTTCCTCCAACGCTATGGTGAGACTGGTTTGGAGATTCCATCCAACGACGAAGTCATCGAAACTTCACTCAAGTTTGGGCCCTTGGTTCGGCGACGCCTAATTATCTCACTGGTCGACCAATTGCTGGAGAAGACGGCTAGCGCATATTTATCCTGTATTGTGGGAAGCCAAGCCCAGGGTTAGGTTGCCCATCGTAGAGCCCTCCGGCTTACAGAAGTGCAAGGACAAGTATCTGCTCACGTAACTGCTTGGGTTGCAGAGGTCATCGTAAGTGCTAAAGGGTGAGCAGAAGAGAGTTCTATATTCTGATAAACAAGATGAAGAAGGCTAAGTCTAGAGGCAGGAGAATTAAACCGAAATTTGTTGAAGAGATTGTTCCAAGGAAATTTTATTTTAACTTCAAATTACAGATCACGATAAAAGTTTAGAAAACCAAGATTCTGTCACCCTCCTCGAAGATATCGCTGGAGAACACTAGCTCAGCGGTGTCAACATGAGTCTCAAGAGATACCTCCAGGGTGTCTTTTTCAGTCTCTTCGTCCGTGTCTGTTGATGCTTTGGTTAAGATTAGCGGTTCCCATTGATAGGCGCCAGGTTCCAGATGCGCCGTATTCTCGTCTTTGTCCAGCCAGCCAAATATGACCTTCCGGTACTGGACAGCAACAATGATTTCCTCGTCAGACGGCGGTAGACCTCCGGAGTCTGGATTGGGAACTGAGGCAGCAGGCGTGGTGGTTATTGTGTGGATGCCGACGACCAACCAGACATCCCACTCAATTTTGATCATCTCTTCGATCCACTTGCGTACTTCGGGTGACTCGCAAACGGCCCTGAGCCATTGGCGTGGGTTTGTGAGGAAGTAAGACTTGCCCGCGGTGGAGTTTACCGTGCTCGCTATATCATCTGTCTTTAAGAACTTGGATAGGATATCAAGAAACTTCGACTGGAATGCTGCTGAGCTTGACCCTTCGAGCAGGTCTCTCAAGAGTGAATCAGGAGAGATGCCGATCCTACTCTCGTCTGGCTTTGGAACCTCTGTGCAGTACTCGTCCCACGGAGTCCTAACATCGGTAACCAGTCTTCCAAGTGCCACGCTCGGTGAGTGTATGACCTTGGGGTCGATGACGAAGAACGAATGAATACTCGAGATGGTGGAATGTGCTGGGATCGAAGCATCGTTTCTCTCAGAGGAATATCCGGAGTCACTAGTAGTATGCACTTTCTCGAAATTCACGGAAGACGTGGCCTTGGGCTGAGTAGAGTCGACGGTCTCAGAAGGGAGGATATGTAGAAGTTCTTTTGCATAAGCTGCAGCAGTCAAAGCGGCGTACGGCTGCCACTGATAATTTTTGTGTGTGTCCGAGTAATCACAAATCCCACGGATGACAAGGCAGGGAAAGTCGTTCATCAGCCCGGCTGCCTCCATCTCGAAGCATATCGCGCCAATCTCTTTACCAATCTTATCTCGAGTTGGTCCATGTCTGATTACCCGGTCAGCGCTGGCAATAGTGCCGTAAAAGACACGTGGGTATGGGTCAGTTCGCGGTGGTCTGTTCTTTATTTCTGCAGTGCTGCAATGATCGCAAACTAGATGATCAGCAACATGATCGTAGTCAGAGTGAAACAAGCGGTCATTTTCTGCACCAGGAAAAGAGAAATTATTTGCAAGTTCTGGCAGAATGTCTTGCACAAGTCGCACATATTCGCGTTCTCCTCGCTCATGTCTTTCCTGGATGGTGGCCAGCGCCGTCAATAGCAGGGTAGGGGGCTGGTTAAGGGTGCCCGACCGAATGAATCGCCCCTTCCTGACCGTCTGACCGTAGTCATATTGCACAACGCCGCCATCGTTGTAACCGGGCTTGCTGACCGCGATATCCCCTAGACGCATGTCCATCTTTTCCGTTGGAATACCACCTCCAATGCCAACCATGAGCCCGCATCGAAGGTTCGAAAAACTCCGTAGCATGTCCTTGGCCACTATGCCTGCCGGAGCCTTGCCAATTCTGCCAAGTGGAAGGCAAGCAATAACAACGTTGTGCGTACCGATACGACCGAACGTGTATGAGTTATCATCTCTAGAAGGCTGTGGTAGAGGTAAGTGTCGTTCGTCCAACATCGCCGTTGCTGCCATCAGCTCAGTATGAAGCGCAGCGATCCACCCGATAGTGTAATCGTTCGCAGTGAGTGTAGCCATGGCGTGGCTTCGGAGAGCGACCCGGGTTTGTCGCCACTTAACAAATCAGAAGTTTGTAGCTTTGAGAGTGGACATGAGGAATGAGTAATGAGAGAAGTGGTGTATTGTGTATATGATGAGACCGAAGGGCCATGAGGTCTATATACAAGCGAGGGAAGCCAAGCCTCGAGTTGATTGGGCAGCCCTCCGGGTTACAGGTTTTCGAATAAAGACGCTTCAATGCTTTGAGAGAATGGCTTCCTACTGCTAAAACTGCGTTTGCGTGCACCGCGATTTATTAGAGCGGGTGTCTAATCGGTAGAATTACCTAGCGCTTTCGCTTCTGTCCTTCCCCTTACACACATCTCATAGGAACCCAGACACTTCAGCAAAGTGCCCTGGATTAAGTTAATATCGTTATCATTGTCGTGAGATTTTGATTACCCGGTTATGACCAAAGTTGAAGCCGACTGTTAGTGTTGTGAAGGCCTCTCCGGCGTTACCATCGCCCGTAGAGTCGCCCAACCAAGGCGGCGGAAGCGCCTCCATCTAAGTCGACACGTTCAAGTAATATACTAGCTGAAAACCTACTGCTAAAATAGCTGCTCAGTCATTAAACAAGGTCAATGAGCAGGCTAGTAGCGGGATGAGGGGAGGAGCTACAGCAGCGCGCACCAATAAGCCAGTTACCTAGGCTGACCCTGGGCCTCTCACGCTGTCACCGTCTCCTAATAGCATACCTGCTATTATTCCTTTCTTTATGGCTCAGAGTGTGCTCATCCTGCCCCAACTGAGATCGTCGGGTCACCGCTTGTTGAGCCATATCCGCCGTCTTCGTCGCCACTCCTATCCCAGCGGGATCAGTTTAATATAAATATACCATAAATTCTCCGCGTAAACGGAGTGGGGCAGCAGAGGATTCTGATGAATCCGAGCGCGCATTCATTCCGATGTTGTTTATAGGGGATATAGTGACGTCGTTGTATGATATCTTAGCGTCAACGACTGAACGTCCTGGGCACCGCGTACGAGCCGTGGCGTTAGCTTCCGCCCAGATAAAGGTTGCAGTTTAGCAGTGCGTGCTGCTGTCATATCTCACTACTATGAAGGAAGCTTTACGAATAGGGATAGTTAGCTATCACGTTACCCACTTTAAGAATGTATTGTAGGTGGGGTTTAAAGTGATTCGTGTTCAGATTAATGCACTGCAGAAGCCCTTTCTGCGTAATTAATTAGTCAACAAGCCCTCATCTAAGCCAAGTAACAACATCCTAGCCAGCGCCTACTGTAGAAAGTAGCAGCTAAAGGAAACAAAGGATATAGAGCGTAGAAGAGATATTACGGCTGCTCCGGATCTGATTAGCAATTCTATTGGAGGCAAAAGGACACTACCGCGCGTTAAGCTTTCTAATACCAATAGCAAATTGTTACGAATGTGCCTTCATATAGATACCCTGAATAGCTGCCATTAGGATTGGAGGCCCTTGTGTGTGATATGAAGGAAGGCGGCCTTGTTCCCGAAGTAGAGCACAAGTTCGTCCTACAGCCTCGTTATACGAACTAGCAGGAAAGGATCATGTAGTTTAAGCAACTCTATGCCTCAATAGATAGGAAGAAGTTACATGGCCTTGGCAAACATCTACCTCTGTGCCTCTATCTCGAGAGAACAATATAGCTCATGTCCTACTAACGAGTATTTAGCCACTATGACTTCTATTGAAAAGAAAGTCATAGTTAGCTCTATTAATTCGCCCTGACAGTATTTTTCCCTTGTTCCTGCCCTTAACCTCCATTGTACAATTTTCTACTACCCTTACCCTTAAAGCCAGACCAGTCGACGTCGATCAACTTCCCCGCGTCTCCACCAACCTCAAGACCACTGTCCGGAGGACCCAACCTTAACACACATTTCCTTCCTAAGCTAACACATTGACTTATTTAAAACTATACATCTTCAGCACCTAATCTCCTTATTGATTAACAAAACCCTTCATAGAGCTTTTTGCTGTGATTCATAGAGAAGAGCCTTAGTGTTTGGCGACTCCAACCGCAATCTCTCAGGAAATCGCAGAGAGTACCATGACCCACCCTGATGACTCTCTCCACCAGCATCTGATGTTATATCTTGTCCTGGTACATCTATCTAGAGTGTATCAATGTTTCAAGTGAAGCCTCTGCGTTGTCCTTGCTGATCGATGGGGAGGGTGAGCTGGTGGACGAGATCAGACTCCCTGGGCTCGAAACATGGCGGCGGCGGAAGACGTAACGTTGGAGAGGCTTCTGAAACACCAAAATTCAGCGTTAACTTTGATCCTAATCAGGTAATTGAAGCCTCACTATATAATGACAATGCCAGCTTAATCCTGAGCGTGATATATGCCTTTTTGAATCTCTGAGGATTGTGTGAGGAAAAGAAAACATTCGTGTGTCGCCAAGGATACAGTAGAAACGTTACCGACTCTGCGGCTTAATAAATTTTGTGAGCACCAGTCTCAGCCGCCTTTCACGCGAACAAGGCTGAGAGCTGTCAACGCCATAACCAGGACCCCGCTCTCTAATCAGTCGTTCAACAAGTTGACACAGCTTCTTCCCAAATTCGACATTCGAAATACACAAATTCACTCGTCTAAGGCTCATCTAGCAGTAGCAAGGCTGCAAATCTCACCCGAGAGCTTTCCTCGTGAACGTCTCGTTTACCGGACCAAGCTTCACTCCATCCTGACCTTAAATTCATTTTTCTTTAAACAAGGCTACACACAATATCAATTCAAACTTCCATCAAAATGGCTGAGCCAGCAGAACAGAGCTCTAGAGCGCTCGCAGTGTCTCGACTATCTTTGAATCAACTCGAGTTGCTCATTAGCGTGATTCCAGCAGAACAACAAGCAATCGTCTGGCACTCGGCTGCGGAGGCCTTCGAAAACGATGAGAGCCACCCGGAACGATGGGACCGAGCAGTATTCTGCTACCAGAAAGCGGTTGAACTGTCTGATGACGAGGAATCTAAGCCGGCTTTCCTGTCGCACCTTAGCATCGCCCTCCTCGAACGAGCCAGTTCAGGTAATTCTCCCGAAACAGATACGCAACTGGGGGTCAATGCTGCCAAAGAAGCGATAGATGCAACACAGGAGAATGATCCATATCTTAAGATGTTTAAAGGGAACTATGGAGAGGCTTTGTTCAGACTGTACCGGCTGTCAGAAGTACGGAGTGATTTTGAAGCTGGACGCAACGCTATGCGAGAGGCAATACTTTTGGCTGACGACGAAGATGGATCATCGTTGGTTGAGCAGTGGTATGGCGTACTCCGCCAGGAACTGATCCACCGTGCGATGGCAACGAACACACAAGAAGATATCAATGAGGCTCTTGACCTCTTCGGAGCTGATACCCCAGACTTTCAAGACGATGTGGACTTTCAGTACCACCACGCCGCCCTCTTGCAAATGCGGTACCTCGTCTCGGGTTCAATTCCAGATCTCATACAATCCAGAGAAACCGTTGATCATCTCCTCACAATCAATCCTGAGCACGAAAATTATGGGTTAATTCTCAATCTTCAGGCGCAAAACCTTCGTTTCTTGGCTCGAAGAACAAAGGAAGTCAGGCATTGCGATGAGGCCATCGATTTGCTAGACAAGTCAATGGCTTGGTTTGAGAAGCAGGGACATTTGAGTGATCAAGACCGAGCAGCATTGCTAGGCGGCAAAGCGACTGCATTGTTACGCCGATACGACCTTTCAGGGGAGGACGACGAGAGCAATGTTACGGTACCAAGTCCCGACTTAGACTTGGCAATAGAACTCTCGAGGCAGGCAGTAAATTTATCCTCCGCCAGCCCGGACAGCGACAAGGGCAACTTGCTGGGAACGTTGGGCGCTGTTCTCTCATCGAGGTACAGTACCAAATTGCCACTGACAGCTGATCTCAATGAGGCCATCACAGCTCTTCAGAGCGCTCTGAAGCTTCAGACGAGAATGTTCCACGCGCAGTCACTCGCGGTCCTTGGCAGATGTCTCAAAGCTCAGGCAGAGAAGACCGACCATGATTCGGATTGGAATCTGGCCGTCCAGGCCTATGAAGATGGGGCCGCATGTCTTGAGTCGCCCGTATATTATCGAATTTGTGCCGCCGATGATGGTGGGAACTATACCTACAGTCGCGATCCCGCGCGAGCCTTTCGCCTATTCGAGACGGCCGTTGATCTTCTTCCTCTCCTTAGCCCTGCTTCCCTTAATCTGGTCGACAGGGAGCACAATCTGGTTCACTTTGATAATATTGCATGGTCAGCTGCCTCCGCATGCTTGGATGTGACAGGCGATGTCTACAAGGCAATTCGCTTATCAGAGATTGGTAGAGGCATCGTTGCAAATCTTCGACTTAACCTCGACACTGACCTCACCGCTCTCGAGGAAAAACACGACCAGCTTGCCGAGGAATTTTTCCGTGTTCGATCAGGGTTGAGCTCCACTATTTCATCTATGGAAGAAAGTCTCAGAAACGCATCGACAAACGCCCGTGACGCTCGACTTCAAACGGAGAAGTTCAATTCGATACTTTCCAAGATCCGCAGTGAACGCGGATTTGAGAGCTTTTTAGACTGTCCAACCGAGACTGAACTACGAGATTTGGCTCAGCCAGGACCACTTGTCCTATTCAGTGTAACAAGATTACGGTCTGATGCGCTGTTGATAACCAAGGATAGATTGAAGTCTGTGGCCCTGTCGAATTTGGCGTACCCTGATGTGTTGAAATACGCCGAGCAGTTCATCGACGCTGTCACGACGCGCAGTGTGAAGAGGTACGCCGAAACAAGCAAGAAGATGAAAGGAGTTCTCACGTGGCTGTGGGACGTCGCTGTGGGCCCAGTCCTTGAAGAGCTTGGATACACGACTACGCCAAAAGCTGATGATGAATGGCCCCGGATATGGTGGATTCGTTCCGGCGTATTCAGCCTTCTCCCACTGCATGCTGCCGGCTACCATGATACGGAGCCTCGTGTTTCTGCTATCGACCGAGTGATATCGTCCTACACGCCTACTATCAAGCTCCTCCAGCATGCGCGAAGACCCATGAAGCCGATATCTCCTGGAAAGCAGAAGATTCTTGTCTTAGGGATGCCGAAGACCCCCGGCCAAGACGATCTCCTTGACGTTGTCCAAGAAGTTTCGGAGCTCACAGATATGTTTCCCCCTGAGCCAGCTACAACTGTCAAGATGAATCCGACCTGCGATGAGGCACTAAGTTTCCTTGGAGACGCAGATATATTGCACTTTTCAGGTCATGGGATCTCGTCTACTGTAGATCCATTGATGAGCTGCCTCCTCATGCAAGACTGGCAGACTAAACCCTTGACAATTTCTCACCTGCTCCGTCTCAACTCATTTAGGGGACAGTTTGCCTACCTATCTGCTTGCCACTCAGGTGGCTCCCCAAATAGTGGGCTCATGCTCGCGGATGAGTCTCTCCATATATCCTCTGCATTCCAGCTGCTCGGATTTCGTACAGTAGTTGCAACGCTTTGGCACTGCCATGCATATCACTCCAAGACAATTGCGAGACACCTTTACAAGTACATGCTAAACGAATCGAGGACTGTGCTTCCACAAAGGACCGCGCTTGGGCTGCATTACGCAATCAGAGAACTGCGAGATGAGCTGCGGAAGATGGCCGGCACGCGGAAACTGAAGCCAGATGATCCTTTGATATGGGCTGCCTACATTCATACGGGTGCATGAAAGGTCGATAACCAATTGTTGGAATGGTTTTCAGGATTTGTAAATGCTAGACTAGTTATTTCCTTTGCGGCTGTTTTGCATCCTCAACAGAGCTCCATCTCTACGTGGAATTACAATAGTAATCAGGGACATTCTCTTGAAATCCTTCCGACAACAAGTCCAGCATTCGTAGCCCGAGCAACAACGAGAGCAACATTGGCTTCACGTAAATCTCCGCAGCATGGGCTACCGAGCTGACGCCGTCCCTATGGACCGGGGCGTCTGTAGGTAGCATTCCATTTATCTCCCATAAACAATTCTATGATGAGGCACTTTGGCTCTTCGACCTCGGACAGACATCTTATTGACTTGCGGGCCGAACAGAGTGCAATTACAGCTATATATGCTGAAGTGGATTAATATATCTAGCTTGCTTGTGGTACATAGTGGGTCGGCAAACGTCTCGGACTAGCTTGAGTAATCTGGTTGTATTTGCTCGTCCCTAAATATGTGTTAGCAGTAACTATATAACTATCAATATTATCAGTAAATTAAATCTCACCCAGGTAACTGCCTCAAGTTCCGCAATTGCGACAAGGGAGTGGAGAGATGTTGATTGAAGATAGCTCTGTTCGACTGCGGCGACTACGTCGAGAGGGGATGATTCACTTACATTCTAGGACACAGCTGAATGTATCGCAAGGTGAGCCTAGATGGAGCTGATGGAGCTGATAGGGCATATATAGAGAGGTGAGCATGCAATTAGGTATTGAGAGACGACCTAGGTAGATTGAGGTGTAAGGTCTCTAGAGCGAGAGAGAGCTCAGAGGTAAATATATAGTAGCTAAAAGAGCGTTAGTCCTAAACAGGAAAAATGTGAGAGGTGAAGGACCCACATTCACCCTGAGCAGGGTCACGTGAACTAGTCTCACGTGTGACAGAATGGTTCATCAGGAGGGTGAGCATCTAGAAGATCTTACCCCCTAATAGGCTCCTATTTATCTACATTTGAGTGGACATAATCATATCACCTTGGGCCGCTTGCCCTTTACCAATATTATCACTTCACCCACTTTTGCTCGTGACCTTTCGCTCACCTACGCTTATATCTGAAGATTGTGAGAACTGTCGTCTGGACAAAATCGCAGCATATTAATTGATGTATTTGCGGTTTTATACGCCCCCAAACTGCGACTAGCATAAAGATTAAGTATTCTATGTTTTTCTTATAGGAGTTGTCTGTATGCTACTTCAACTATAACAGAAGTTGAGTCAGCTAGCAAATTGATTAAGAAAGCAATAAAATGGACATCCAAGAGGGGATACCAAAACTCGATTAAGATCAGTGTGTGAATACCAAGGGAGGCATCCCCTGTCTCGAAGTCTCATCTAACTGGTTGATAGCCAGACAACGTGAAACTTTTGGGGATACCAAGGCCATGAGGGACTGAGTTGACTGCTGAAGGAGCGGGCTAGACAGCAAGCTGCTCAGCAAGCCGCACATGACTATAGTAAGCGGCAGTGGCTTCATGCATATGAGTAGATGGTGGAGTCCGGAGAGCTCCGCAATTGCGAATAGCCGCTGGTAGTCAGCACTATAGAAAATGAAGACCTACCCACATCCTCATGTCTGAGCCCTCCCTACTCTTTTGAGTCGTGCTGTTATTTTCTTGAACTCATCTTTTACTCCATGGCCTCTTCAGACTTCAATTTCGAACACCGTTGAACATGTCTCTCAAAATTATCCCTCCTCCCCCAAATCTTCTGTGGCGCCTGACACCACTGATTCGAGCACTTCCAGCCTTCCTCGGAGCCAAACATGTCCTTATGAACTCTCGTCTTGTGTCGCTAGAGATCGGCGTTTAAGTGGAACTTCACTTGACAGGATGCAACAGGGCAGGTATACCGGCGCTGGTGTTTGCGATTGATGTGCTTGTTTTTCTGTCCAGATGCCCGAAAAGGGAGGTCGCATTCGGTGCACTTGAAGGTTTTTATGGATATCGGGGTTATAGAGGATTTCTCTGTAGGTTCTGCAGAGGCAAGTGGTTCATTTGTAGTGTCTAACGGGGGATTCGGGGCAGTAGAAGGTGGTAGTGGCTCGGTAATAGGAGGGGACGAAGTACACAGAGCTCCTGCTGGTATTTGATATGCACCCACCATATCTAGGCTAGCCCCTTTGTCTGCTGACTGACACCGACAGGACTCTAAAGTGCTTCCTGAGTTGCTGGTTGGCGTAGAGGAGAGAATAATTTGCAGCGATGAACTAGTGGGAGTTGGACAAATTGCTGACATTGCTGCCGAAACTGTGTTCGACGATTTCAAAGACCATGGAGTTCCTTCGGTGTGCATAGGCGAATATATTCCTTCTTCTAGCTGACTAGGCGTTGATGAAGATGGCAGCCTGGAGCGGTGCCATCCACAGAGGCTTTTTCCTTCCAGATTTTGAAAAGAGACTTCTTCGAGATGAGTCAACGATCGGGGTGACCTGATATTTGACGGCCGAACGCTAGGTAAAGAATCTGAGACGGTGTTTATATTTGGACTGGATGTATCTGGGTTTGAGGAGGGCATTGCATTTGTAGTTTTCATGTCCTCGGCAAGGAAATCTTGTAAATGAGGGATCCCTCCGTCGACGCGTACAGTAATGTCATGATATGTTTTTGGTGGACACCGTTTGCTATCGGAGACCACTGAAGCTTCGCATACTGGCTGGGAGTGTGGTGTTGGACAGCTCCTATGAGTGCGGGCAACATAGGTTAAGAAAGAAACAGAAGCATAACAATCCCTAGCGACACTCCAACACCGACGGTGATCTTGGTAGTGCGCTTCATGACAGCGATAAATGGATATATGCGTCGGTGATATGGTGATTTGAATAGAGCCCGCAAAGAGGCGATGTTCGGCCAGTGAAATAACTGACGAGCTGGAGGCATACCCTCTACTTGATTGGTCAGTCTTAACCGAAAGTGTACAGGTAACGAAAGTGGAAGCAAAAGGAAGCACTGGTCTTGCCACCAAAATGCGGATGTAAACACTATAGAAATTCATCCTGCTGACCTGTCTTTTTCAGGTGATAGGAATTCGGGATTTGGATACTTGCAAACCACCCCATCAAAGATGGCAGGTGAGCGGTTCGTTCGTGTGGAAGAAAGTCGATGGTTAGATTGAAGGCTGATTCGCAAGTTTGAAGCGGGAGTTTTTAGCGCTCGATGTGCTCGATGTACTTGCGGTTTATATATTTGCTGTAGAGAGGTGCTAGTTATGGGCTGAGTAGCTTAGGATGCCCTGGAAGAGCCTGTCACAAGAGGATAAGGGTAGTCCATTCAGCAGTCTTGCTTACCGAAGCGGAGGATCATACTCAGCGCAAGTGAATTGCCCCGATCGATTTATAGGTTTACTCTCTAAACACAGCATAGATGCCCCCAGCAGTCTATTTTTCTCATCCACTGGCTCATTTAGATTCGGTTCGTGCCCAGGCTTTCGGGGGTAAATTCTCATAGAGTCAAAAATCAAGCATATTCACATCGCTCGAAACGGCGTGAAGGCGATTTCCAGTGGTTTAGCATCTTCTACTGAGGTGTCTGGTGCCTCACTAGCGCCAGTTATTCATAGGACGGACGTTTTTGGAAGGGGTGAACATTGCCAATGGGTGAGAAACTCCCGAAGCCGTCTAAAAATGGTAGGATTAGGTCTGAACTCCACCTCCAAGGGATAAATAGACCTAGGAGGCGGAGAGATCTATGGAGTTCGGCGTTTCGAGAATTGCGAGGACTCCTCCAGTTCACCTCGACATAGATCTTGCCCAAAATACAAAACCGTATATGATGACAGATCGTATACGTCTGCAAAGTTGTTGCTTCAGAAAATCAACTTATCTAGATATCCACTATTGTTTTAGTGTTACGTGGCCCCGTCAGCAAATTCTTTAATGGTTTGCATCTTCTGTTGAAGTCTTAAACATTCCCGTTGAACGTGATCGGATCTGAAGATATTAGTAAACAACGCACGCATCGTGGATGTAGGGAATTTGGAAACTAGGGGAATGTAACCCACAATTGTAAGAGAATAGAGATGTGTGGGGAAGAAAAGGCTGGGGTTGGCTTTATATGTTCTTCACAAGGTTGGGGTCTTCCTGACACCAAGTCACTCTATTAGTCCTGCCAAAGGCAAACCAAACCAAAACATACAGAAATCTCACAGGAAGTATGAAAATAAGAAAGGGAAATGCGGCACAACTTCCCAACATCTGACCTTCCAATTTAGAACTCTCGCGGGCAAATCTCCGCTCTACCCTTCTAGACTATGCAAGCATTCCATGTATCACGCTGGTACAAAACAGCCTTTCCAAAATATTAGGCAAACTCCATTTAGATGATTAGGCTATGCAATCCAAAGAAAGTAACATGTCGTGGTATCAATACACAGGCGGAACGCTAAAGACGCACATGAAAAGAAGAGGAATGCAAGTGACTAAGCGCGGCATATGCAGACACGTGGGTGTAGGGGTCCGTCTAATGTTCCTTTTGTTCGAGCTCTTTGATGTATTTTACGAACGCCTTCTTATGAACCTGCAAGGTGTTAGACTTTGTAATATACTGAGATGGACCGAGGATGAACTTACTAAACCAGCATACTGTCCATCTCGGAGTACGCAAATGTATCTTAATCCAAGCTTGACAAAGCATTCGTACACCAAGTCCATGGGCGAGTGAACGTCTAATGACAGGGGCGCAGGATCAATGTATGGTGTGAAGTCTGTAGGATCTTGGTCTTCCTCTTCCTCTTCATGTTCGCGCCCAGCGGCCCATCCAACCTGAGTAGACATCAAGCAGAGGGTATTGTCTTCGTTTTCGAGCTTATCGAGGGCAAATTCCAGGTCAGGAGCGGGGATGAGGCCGACGAGTATCCCATCGCGGAGGATAGGCAGACCCCCGTCAATTTCACCAGCCATGTGTAGATATTGTTGCTTCTCTCGCAGCTCGTTTGCAGACACCAGTGGGGAATCGGAAATGTCGATAATGCGTTCCTTACGAACCCGTGGTGTGATATCGCCGAGTTCGCTAGTGAATATAGGTCGAACCTTGTTGTCGAGAAAAGGATAAGAATTCATGTCTGTTAAAAGGTCGTAGATGCTTAGTGGCTCTATAGCATCCGCTGTCCATTTTGCGACTAAAATGCCGAGGGAAAATGGTAGGACGTGGTCCAAGCTGCCGGTAAGCTCGAAAAGGATGACAGCAAGTGTAACGGTCAGACGTGTCACTCCTGTCATTGTAGCGCCAGCCGCGACCATAGCGTAGACTCCCGGGACAACACAAGAGCCTGGGGGTCCTTCTGGGTCACATGAACCGAAGAGCCCTGAGTCGGAAAACCTCAGAGCAAAGAGCTGAACTGAGTGACCGATGATGCGACCAAGTAGACCGCCAACAACCATGGAGGGTACGTAGATGCCTGCGGGCACCTTTATCCCGAATGTAATGACGGTAAGGCCGGCCTTAATGACAAAAGCAACCAGCAAAATTTTCAAAATTTCCGGGATGTGCTCCCGGGTCGGGCAAAGCCCGTCTCCGTTCTCGGTAAAGGTATCGCAAGGACTAGCCAACTCAAACAAGAGTTCCGTAACGGGAAGCTTCGTATATCTGTTCCAGAAGCTTAGTATTCCCGTAATCAATGCTACGAGGAAAACCTCAAAAAGGGGATATTTCTTGATAATCGGAATGCGTCGGAAGGTACGAGCCCAGATGCGGGATGCTTTAATGAAAAGAGCACCAAGAACGCCTCCCAATACTCCGGTGAAAATGAATGCTATCATTTCGAAGAACTTCCAGTCCGTGAGGTACCGGACCTCAAACAAGACGATTTTGTTCGTCCCGTAGGGGTTGAGAAACTTAAGAGACAACGCAGCTGCCTGTGGCGACGTTAGCAATAGCACTCACAAAGGACGCAAAGAATACTTACAATGCAGCAGAAGAACGTTCTAAATAGAGTCTTAGGTGGGAAATAGTAGCTGACTTCCTCGAGACTGAAAAGAACTCCTCCGATCGGGGCGCCAAACGCAACAGCTACCCCGCTCGCAGCACTCGCGCTGAGGACCTCCCTTCGCTTGCCGTCGTTGTGATTGTACTTGGAAAACAAACGGCAAGCAATGTTACCGATGCAGGTAGCAATATGAACGTACGGCCCTTCCTTGCCAAGGCTGAGGCCGGATGCAACACTTAGAACGAGGCCCAATGTCTTGATGATTAATGTCCGCAATCCGAGGTAACCGTGAAGCACGAAGCCGCTGTTGATGACCTTGACTTCGGCCACGCCACTCCCGGCCGCCGAGTAGTAGACCATTGGAGGACGTTCTTGAGATTCGTGGTATTTAGTTCCAGGACTGGGGCTTCGCTTCCGGCCCTCATCATGGCGCTCGGGTTGGACGATATCGGCGCCGAGGTTTTCATCTAGCGTAGACAGCGAGATTGCCGAGGGAATCACGGTCTTCGTGGTGAGGGTGAGCAGGCAGGATGCCATGGCGAGGGCAATCATAGAGACGCAGAAGGCAACGAACTGGGTGCCCGTGGAATCTAGCCGGTCGGTCCGGATCACTCTTGACCAGTGGAGCCACTCATCGCAGATGGTGGCACCGTCGCAGCATTGCTTCCTGCTCGAATACCATTTAGTTGTGCAGTATCCCTGTTTGTAGTCGAACAGGATGCTTTCAGTCACGTTGACGAAGTAAGCTACCATGGCGGTAAGGATGCCGATGAGGGCGACGAGAATCCAGCCCTGGGCCCCATCAAACCATGCAGCAATTTTCCCGCGGATGTCCTTACGGCTGCGTAGGGCCTTGACGCGGTATGCGTCTGCGATGCTATCGTGGACCCAGTCAGTCGACGTGAACTGGTCGTACCAGACGCGATCGTCCTTCCAGAAGGAATTCTTGGAAGCCGCGAGGTTCTCTGCGGGGAAGTGGTTAGCTACATGGCGGAAGGTGCGAGCGGGTATAGCCACATACCAAACGTCCCTGTGCCCCGGCGGTCAGCACCGGAGCCCAGTGCATTCACCAACCGCTGGCTGAAGGAGCGACTGAAGGAGCCAGTCCGGCTGTGCCTGAGTCTCGCGTTGCTGATCGGGTTCTGGCTATTGACTCGGACCGAGTATGGCCGCGGGGTGCCTGGCGAAGTGGCCGGCATGCTCGTGTACGATCTCGAGCCATGCTGGTGGCCGAGGAGGCTCGATCGCTCTGTTGGCGTGTGTCTGGAGAGGTCGACTTCAGAGACGCGGTGCTGCCTTAGCCGGCGGAAGGTCATGGTTGGCGAGGTCGGTGTCGCGCTGCCGTACGTGTCGTGCTGCTCATGCTGCTCCAGCGACATTGTGTCATCGTCATCATCGCCTTCATACCCCCCATGGCTGCTGCGGTGCTCGACGCTGCGGAATGAAGAAATCGATTTCGGCATCGTGGACGCGGGGACAAGGTGCGGTCAGGAGCTGTGCAGGCAGAGCGGTATTAGTAAAGACTCCGTCAGAGACATGATGCACAGCCAAAGCATTCGGCCAGGTCATCTGGAAGGCGAGGGCAAGCTATGTAGCCTGCCATATCATGGGGGTGGTCTGAGTGCCGTGTGGCTCATTCCCGGCGCCCCGTTTCGGATAGGGCCCAAGATTCTGGAGCTACCTACCAGCTGGGTCCAGATACACATCTCCTTCTCGAACCGAGCAATGGCGCTGGTGGTGTGTCTTGTAAAAGCAATACCCTTGCATCTAGCCTGCTGCACAAGATGTGGACATTTCACACGGCCAAACAAAAAGACACCCGCAAGGTCGCGAAAGGGCAAATAAGGCAGAGTGTTGACTGTCCGCAGGACGGGAATTTGGCGATTTAAGTTCCAAGCGCTTTACACGCAGAACCAGCACATGTGACCTGCCATTCGGTGGATTCGGTGCAACTTTACATCGACTACGAAACGTCATCCGATCAGGGTCCATTCGGGCTCAGTCTGGCTCTGCTAGCCGCTTCCAGCCTGGGGCCGCGGCTAGCTTTACCAATCGCTGACCGTCGTGGTGAATGTCGTCAAGCTTCTCGCGCTTGTCCTGAGTTTATATTTTCCTTTGCACTGACAAACGTAAACCCCGCATTGCTTCGCCTTGTAGCCGAGTCTCTTTTGCATCTCTCGTCCTCTTTCATAATTGCGACATCTTTCTCGATCCGAAATCCCATTACACCCAACCGAGGTCTACCAATTTCGGCTCTCTGACCTCCCACCCAGATCTTATCGGCGATCCACTCTTGAGACCACCCACCCCCCTCCTGCTCCTCTCTCAGCCCTAGTGCTAGTTCGCCGCCGAAGGAAGCATGGTGAGTAATTTGAGAATGATTGGGTGCTCTTTGTTAACAAGACAACCATCACGCTAGCCTGCATTGTACGAACAGTTCTTCCTTTTTGGGGACTCCATAACGCAGGACTCATATAATCAGGAGCGCGGCCACAGCTTCTCGGCGGCTTTGCAGCATAGTCAGTAACCCCCCTTGCAATTTGAGTCCCACGTCTTCTGCTCGCCTTTCTGCTAGATATTTCTCTGCTCAATTGGCTAATCTCTCCAAGTCTACATCCGACGTCTAGATGTCGTCAACCGTGGCCTCAGGTACCGGATCTAAATTCACTAAGCGTGAAGCCGATATTAAAACCTAACAGCGGCTATAACACCAGGCAAGCGCTCACAGTGCTGCCCAGCATATTTCCTTCCCCCGAAGAAGTCCGCATTCGATTCCTGGTACGATATTCCGGGGATTGAGTGTTGGCTCGCGGGGGCAAGGAGAACTAACTGACCCAGATGATCTTTTTCGGTGCCAATGATGCTTCATCTCCCAAAACCGAGAACAACCAGCACATCCCGCTGGAAGACTACAAAGAGAACCTGCAAAAGATAATCACCCATCCCCTTGTCTTAGCGCACAAACCACGGATTCTTCTCGTTGCACCACCCCCGATCAATGAGCATCTACAATTCATCTCCGACAAAGCCAAGGGGTACAGCAGAGTCTCAAGAGTCGCTGCCACAACTAAAAGCTATGCGGACGCTGCCTGCGAAGTTGGGAAGAAGCTCAACGTGCCTGTTGTCGATCTGTGGAGAGCTTTCATGTCTAGGGCTCATTGGAATGCTGCCACCTGGAATACGGGTGACCCTCTTCCTGGATCCTTGGATATAGTTCAAAACGATGTACTGGCGGGGCTCATGTATGACGGTATGAGTGACTCTCAAGTCGTCTCGATGATGGTATTCTCACGGACGCATAGGTCTCCATTTCAGCGCTGCTGGATACGATGTCCTGTTTGAGGAGACGATGAAGGTAATAGCAGCCGAATGGCCGGACCAACTCCCAGAGAAGTTGCCGACGGTCCTTCCTGGTTGGAATGATGTCGCCGCCTGGAGTGCCTTCGAGACATCTTAGTAGATATACATTCGAGGAACTAGATGTCGCTTGACATATATATATACTGGTTCTACAATGTATCTACTATAATACAACTGATATGTACATATCCGACCCCAGGCACGTGTGGAATTATATCCGGCTTCGTTCCTTGTGTCTGGAAGCGACACATAGACAGCCCACACTAGCCGTTTTGGTGGCGCTTGCCTTCCGAACTTCTGAACATCATCGGTGCAGCAATCAAACTCACCGCATCCTAGTATCCCAGTCCTCTTCCACGCTGCAGGCAACCTTCGTGACTCTGTGACTCAACAACACTACTTTGCTCGTCACCCACTCTTCTAGACACCTTGTGATACCCGTCCTCCCGCTTCCCCCTTCTACCTTCTTATATTAGACGACCGCCGACCGCGACCAAGGCCGCCAAATTTAGATTCAAATCGCCCTCCCCCTCTTCTCCCCCCTTCCCTTCCCCCCGGACCCCGTTGACGACTGCCCTCCCGCTGTCTTGTAATCTCACGTTGTTCGCGACTTGAGCCCAAATTCTACTTGCGCGCGCGCTTGTCCTTCTCCCGACCACCAGTGCGCTCCCCCCGCTTCCGCGACCTAGCCTATATCCCTGAACCAACAGATGTCCGCACCGCGGTCAATCCGAGACATTGACGTTGTGCACTGAAGAGCAACAGGCGTAAGCCTCGCGGTAGTCGACGGCTCGGCCGTGCGTCTGGGACTTGGTGACGGAGGAGAGCCTGCCCGCTCTGGGCTTGTGGAGAAAGGCAGCGCCGTCTCTTCGCTCCGGATAAGCAAGGGATGCTTGGCTCTCTGTGATGGATCCAGAGAGCGTTGCATTTACTCCCCGCGACGACTTGTGGCGTTTCCAAAGCGAGATGCTCCGCGTCCAACAGAGCCAAGCTGAGCTTGCCGATCGTGTCTCGCGACTGGAACGGAGGCAGGAGGAAGACTCACGGCTGAAAAATGTCTGGGGTACTTCTTCCCCTTTCCCCTCTGTTCTGGGCGGAACTCCGCAGCAAGGTGCGATGCTCCATCCCAAGTCCAGCTCTTTTCGTTTAGCTGACTGGCCTCAGTTCCACTGCAACAGCCGACTGCAGAGCACTTCTCCAACTTCGACGACCATTCAAGCAATCTCATCGGCAATCTTCAGTTGGATACCGACGATGAACCCCGCCGTATTGGAACTACGTCCCGCGCGAACAGCGTTCGGTTTGACGAAACTGCCAACCATGGTCACTGGGCGCATGCTTCCAGGTCGTCTCTGGATCTGATTCCCCGAACAGGAAGCGGCATGGGAGGCCATCTCATGAGTGAGAGGAGCTATTCACACAAGTCCGATGGACGTCAAAGTTCAGCAGGCCATTCCGTGCATTCGGCAACGTCCGGACGAGCAAATAGTTTGACAGGCTTCGGGCTCAATACTCCACTGGAACCCCCTGGGCTAGCTCCTGGGCTTTTCATTCTTGGCTCAGTTCCTGCTATCATCAGGTGCTGGCTCAATACTAACTTCAAGCACGACTCTCTTTTGTATGCTGCTGTCTGTAGTGGCTCTTATGCTTCGTATTTGGACCTTCGTCTCATCAACAGCCTTGGCTTCGAGGACCAAATTACCAAAAACAACAATGGAAACAGGAAGATCAAGCTTTCTGTCTACTTGCCGGAGGCTGTTCCAGTTTCAGCATCGTCTCGTTCGAGTAGCCCGGCGCCTCAACTCCCTTTGTTGAGCGTCGACTTTACTGTCATTGAGAGAGATGAAGACAACCCGGAATCGAAAGCTATTCAGATTTTTCTAGGGAGCGACTTGTTGCGGGCACACAACGGCGACATTCTCTTTTCAACCAATCATCTCACCCTTTACGATGATGACCGGAGCAAACTGCAGATCCCCCTGGTTCGCCCGGAAGACGAACGAACTTTCAAGTCTCTTTACGTCACGAGTGGGCCCCTGAGTTCATTGAAGCAGGAGCAACCCCCTCAGAAGTCATCATCTGCCCCATCCGAGGTGGGCACAGTGGGTGAGGGCTCTGTGGCAAGCTCTACGCTCGAACTCTCAGTAACTAGCGCATCGAAAACTAGTGGTTTAACTGGAATCGCAAATTCTGAGGATGGTGGATCAACTGGACGTCAAAGTATGGAGCAGCGCCCCTTTCTGGGCCTTTCCACAATTCGTACCGAGCCGAAGGAAGGGGCGGAATCTAGTCCAGCTAGCGCTGCCCCGCGCACATCTCCAGCTATTTGGAGTAACTGGCGACGTGACACTGAGAAGCCCGGCACCATGGACTGGGCCAACGTGGGTAAACCCACAAGTTCCACGTACCAACGCCAGAACGCGGGCATTAAAGTGTTGAAGCCCACGGCCAAATCTGGTACCCGCACGCTTTCGAGTAGCGTTTCGCAAGCTTCGTCCCCAGCTGCGGCTGGCCAGTCCCGCTTCTTTGACGAAGGCCGCCGTAGGACAAGTAACGCGGGCGGAAGCGAGGCAGGCGAACCGCAGTTGAAGAGGTCGGCATCTGGGGAGAAGGGGAAGGAAGCTCCGCCTATGTTGACGAAGACGCGATCCGCTAACCCTGTTGGTGGTGCTTCTGCGTTTGCGTGGTTGAACAACGGAAGGCCAAAGTGAATGCTAGCTGGGAGCAACAGCCAGAGGTGGCCATGGCTGCCTCTTTCTTCATTGTATTATCAATTTTTCACGAGCAGGACCTGATGATGATATCTTTGGGCTAGGGATTTGGTGATGGAGACCACCCTGGCACAGCTAGCTGGCACCTGTGGGAACAACCACGTTTGATACCAGGCAGCGGGAAAGCTGCCGTGTGATTCGCAACATGCTTAGTCCATACCACCATAGATAGTTTTACATAGTTAAAGACGTACGAACAGAATTGGTGGGCACTGTGCAACGTGCTCTCCGTGGGCAGCTTCACGTGCTTGCCTATCCTATCTGAACGGCCCCCTCCCCGACGCGACTGGAAATATTAGTGTTTACAGATGTTGAGAGAGTCAGAAGGAAGTATTGGTTCGAGGCAGACGCGCCGCACGCGTAAGATTGTCCAGCTGAAGTGGCGATGCGGTGAGGCTCCTGTCATTCACCCTGTGCCTGTGCAGTGCAGGGCCGCCAAGCAAGTTGGTGCCTCCCCTGGTTTGCATCCAGCCAGGCTGACGTCCAGCACCAGCAACACCCACACTGGCAGCCGGAGTACATTCACTTGCACTCACGCCTTCCACTGCGTTCTCGCTGCTGTCACGTTCATCTGTTCACCTGAAAGCATTCCGGCCCTGTGAGCGGCTGTCAGCGCCAAGACCCCGGACCCATTCGCTTGATTTTGCAGGGCGACGGCCAACTCCAAGAAGCGGACGACCAGTCAATGTCACAGCGCTTTTTCTCACATCCCACAGCCCTCTTCCCCTCCTCGGGTCCATTGTTGCTGCTGCACAGGCGCACCGCCTTCCTGCCCCATTTTTCGAAGTAGCAGCCAGCTGTCCGCGGGTGCAGTCACGCGTTTTCCTTCAACGGCTGCCTTACAGTCTGCCCTGGGAGCTCCATCGGCTCCACAGGTTGCAGGCCCCAGAGATTCACGACGGCGTCCACAAAGAAGCGGAGGATCGTGACCACCACCCCCTCCAGCGAGCCTACCAACGATCCCAGCGCTGCACCGCATTCGCATTCACCGCATGAGGGCAGTGGGTTAAGATCCCCACGCTCGTCCCCGCTGCCCCCCTCCTCCACCAGCCTCAGAGCTTCAGCGTCTCCGCCGCGCTACCTCCCACCGCACATGCACGACGAAGTCTTCGAAGCGACCCAAGACTCTGGGAGTCTTGCTCGAGACATCAACGCCAGCGCGGCTAGTTCTCCAAGCGAAGCCTACGCCAACCTAACGCTCGAGAGCCGCGAGCACTGCGGCACCATGGCCCAAGACTCAGATACTGCCCCCCGTGCGAACAGCCTGTCAGAGCAACCGCTGTCCCGGCCGCCGCCCCGGTCGTCGTCCCCTGCCAAGCGCCTGCACTCCGATATGGACGACACCGGGAAGGAGAAGATGGACGTGGACAGCCTCACGCCGAGCACGCGCCGAGGCAGCGGCCAGGGCAGTCCCCGACCTACGAAGCCCCTCCCCGCCGCCGCTCAGCGGGGCATGCGGGCGACCTCAGTCGACATGGTGGACGCTGCTGCCAATGGCGAGAGCCTGTCGAGCTCCGAATCAAACACTGCCTCCAACCCCGAGTCCACGGCAACAAGTCTCTCCGGCACTACCCCCGCGTCCGGGCATCTACCTAGTCTCGATGAACAAGTTACGAGGGTCTCCGCAATCTGTTACAAGCCGCTTCAGGAGGGCCAGGAAGGTTATGTTGTTTCCGATCAGTGGTTGGGGCGAGTCTGGGCCCGGACCTCGGAGCATATCAGCAAAACGGAAGAGTTTCCAAAGTCTGCCAGGGAAGGAGACATTGGACCTGTTGACAGTTCAGATCTTCTTGACACAGGTCGGTCCAATCCGACGCACATAAGCCCATTAATAAATACTGACTGCAAGCCGAAAGCTGCTTTGCCCGAGGAATTGGCTGACCAGAATGGTGACGAATTTGTGCCGCTACGCCCAGGACTCACCATGGGCCATAACTTCGAGATTCTCCCAGCCGAAGCCTGGGAGTTAATCATGGGCTGGTATGGTCTCAAGGAAGGTAATCCAGTCATCCGGCGGTATGTCCATAACACTGCCGTCGGAGAATTCCAGGAAAACCTGCAATACGAAGTATATCCTCCAATCTTCACCATTCGTAAGCTGCGTCGATCAACAACCGATGCCCAGACTCTGGCCGACTCAAAAAAACGGAGCCCAAAGGTAGTTGCAAGTAGGAGTGACAGTTACATGCAGTTTCTGAAGGCTGCCAAACAGGCTGCGGGCGTTGACATGAAACGCAAAGTCCAAGTATGGAGAGTTCTGAATACACCTGGCCCTACAGGGCCAGAGCCACAACAACCATCTGGCATGTTGACTCCCGACTCCTCACCCCGGAACGGCTCTCCAGTAGCGTCACCACCGCAGAGGCTAACGCCTCCTCTTCTTATCGATCTTGCCAGCTTTAACGAGCTTGCCGAAGGTACAGAGCGCGAAATGGTGAGCAGTAAAGACGAAACTGCTAACGAGAAATACAATGGTCATCTGACGCTCGGTGTGGTCGGCCTTGCAGAGGATCAGGTCCTCATTCTTGAGGAAGATGAAAAGGGAGCTTTCGCTTCAGAGACGTCAAGAAAGGTTGGCAACAAGAACAAAACTGGCGGTAAGGGCAACAAGACCCAGCAAAGCAATAGCAACAGTGGCCGAAATAGTCCAGCCCTATCGGGTCCGATGACGAGAGGGAGGACTCGAAGTGGGAAGACGAGGGGTACCGTCGGCTTGACTAACCTGGGGAACACCTGCTACATGAATTCTGCGTTACAATGCATTCGTAGCGTGGAAGAACTGTCGTGGTACTTTTTGCGTAAGTTACTACACAAAGAAATGAAGTAAAGTGGCTGATAATTTGGCAGAGGGTAACTACAAACACGATCTCAATGCAGAGAATCCTCTCGGGCATGCCGGTACTATCGCAAAGTCATATGCTGGTCTCCTAGCATCTATTTACGATGAATCTGCCGTTTCCTCATTCTCTCCCAAAAACTTCAAGTTGACACTTGGTCGAGCTCAGCCATTGTTCTCCGGGTATGGACAACAGGACTCTCAAGAATTCCTCAGCTTCTTGGTTGATGGGTTGCACGAAGACCTCAACCGGGTGAAGGAGAAGCCGTATACTGAGAACCCTGAATCGGACGACAAGACAGTCCATGACCCTGAAGCCATAAAGGCCTTGGGCGAGAAGTTTAGGGAGATTCACCATTCTCGCAATGACTCTGTTGCAATGGACCTGTTCAATGGTTTTTACAAGAACACTATGGTCTGCCCGGACTGCGACAAAGTCAGCATTACCTTCGACCCTTATAGCCTCCTCACTCTTCAATTACCAATTGAGCAAACTTGGCAACATACCATTACCTTCGTTCCGCTCTACGGCCCCATGGTCAACATCGAAGTTGACATTGATAAGAACGGTACAATCAAAACCTTAAAAGAGTACATTTCGAAACGCTTCCCTGGCACCAAGTGGAACCGTCTGATGGGCGCCGAGGTTTACAGTCACAAATTCTACCGGGTGCTAGACAACAACAAATCCATCGCAGAATGCAACATTGGCACGCGCGACGATATCTTCTTCTTTGAGCTTGATAGCGTACCGACCAACTGGCCACCACCGAAGAAGCCCCACAAGTATCGTTCCATGATATTCCCGACCGCATCTTCGGAGGAGGACATTCCAAATTCGGGGTCACCACTTGCGGATAGAATGCTCGTTCCAGTTTTCCATCGAGCCCAGGGCATGACTTCATACCGACCCCAACAATTCAGTCTCGTCCTGTGGCCTTCCTACATTGTCGTTAACCGCGAGGAGGCCAAAGACTATGACACTATTCTAAGGAAAGTCATTGCCAAAGTTGCGCAGATGACCACTCGACCGATCTTGGCAGAGTACAATGGAAGTTATGCTTCGCTCGATCAGTCTCGGGCCGGCTCAGATACAGTCCTAACTACCGAGGAGGATGCTTCACCCAACGGCGATCCTTGTGTTCAGGATGGCTCCGTTGAGGGCGAGGATATGGTTGAGGTTACCATGACTGAGCCCGCCGAAGCCTCCGCTAACCATCCCATGAGTGAATCGAGCACCGGAACACAGGATCAGCTTCCTGAGGTACTTCAACCAGGAGGGTTCATCCCTCCCGAGTTCCGAGCCATGTTTACAATGAAGCATACTCGCTCTGGAAAGGAGATGGTACCGACCGGTTGGAACTCTGTTGATCATAATAAGGCGTATGAAGAGATCGCAGCACGTGTCCGCCAACGACCCTCTCGCCAATCTTCGGTGCAATCACTCGAGGAGAATAGCAACCCTTCGTCCAGCGAGGAGACTGAAGACAATGCGGAATTCTCGTTCAACGCTCAGAATTCCCTCCAGGTCGCGGACCAAAGTAGTGAGGAAGAGATGCAGTCCATCGAAACACCGTCTGCAAGTTTTAACCGTGGTGGCCGACAAAAGAACAGCAAGAAGAACAGTCGGAAGAATAAAAAGGCCGCGAAAACTTATTCCAAGAAAGGTAAAGATCGATTCTTAGAACAGCCGTCACAGTCCTTCTCCGAGCCCGAATCAGACGATGATGAGTCATTGCTCCGTCTTGGTGAAGCTATCGTCCTTGAGTGGAATTCAGACGCCTACGATGCGCTATTTGACGGCACCAATGAACAAGATGTCCGGGGAATGGATACTCTCAAGTTCATTGAGACGCTTAAAGACCCAGAGCTGCAAGCAAAGAAGGTCAGACGCGCTGCTCGAAAGAAGCATGGTATCACTCTTGAAGAGTGCTTTGCAGAAACATCGAAGAGCGAGGTCTTGTCTGAGGATAATGCATGGTTCTGCAATCGATGCAAGGAATTCCGACGCGCCACAAAGACTCTTGAGATTTGGACTGCTCCAGATATCCTGGTCGTTCACCTGAAGCGTTTCAGTGCTCATCGTACTTTCCGTGATAAGATCGAAGCCCTGATCGATTTTCCAATTGAAGGACTAGATTTGAGCGGTAAATTTGGCTTGCCCGAAGGGAAAGCGCTACTGTACGACCTGTTCGCCGTCGACAATCATTTCGGTGGACTGGGGGGAGGCCATTACACGGCATATGCACAGAATTTCTTTGACAAGAAGTGGTACAACTACAATGGTTTGTTTCCTTCATCTCTATTCATAAGATGTATATTAATCACTTCCAGATTCCTCTGTAAACATGGTCAAGGATCCCCAGTCCGTCGTAACATCCAACGCTTACCTACTCTTCTACCGCCGCCGCTCGTCCGGCCCTTTAGGGCCCCCCTACATCCAAGAAATCGTCAACGCAGTCATGAACCCCGACTCTGAAGAAGCTGACGACTCAGACGCCACCAATAGCCGCAACCCATCACGCTCTCCGGCGGGAAACGGATTGCGCCTCGGCGACTCGTCCCGCGATGGGTCGTCGAGCGCTTTCAACGGAGCCGCAGCGGGAGCCCTGCTGAGAGGCGGTGGTTCAACTTCAGCAGGGAATCAAGCATCGAGAGGAGCAGGAGTCGGAATGGCGGACGATGAGGTCATGCATGATGCGGAACAAGAGCAAGAACAAGAACAACCTCCGCCATACGATGAGGGCTATGCGGATGATGATGAAGGCTATGGCCGTTGTGCCGTCAATATCGCAAGCACGTATGATCATCTCTACCCCAGCCCTGGCTGGGGCTTCGGAGGTGTAGATAACTCTGGCGTAGAACAGGTGGATGTGGGCGATGACGAGGAGGTGTATGACGAGGATGCGGCGTCAGCTGCGCCGAATATGGGGTCGAGAACTGGGGATGAACTGGATCAGCGTATGTTGGAGGATTTTGGCGATGAGATTGAGGAGGGGATTGGGGAGGGGATTAGGGCGAGAGATAGTACACCGTTATTAGAGGAAGTAGACGCCCCAGGTTTGATGGAGGTGGGGATTGAAGCGAGAGATACCGTGGATGATCAGGTGGCAGATGTCTTACTGGATGATGATGAGGGACAGGGACATGCTAAGATGGATTAGTCGGAGGTTAGAGTAGTGATGTCTGGCCTGACACCTGGGGCTTGATGAATGTGTTGAGTGTGATTAGACGGTGTAGGTAAGCTTGGTTGCATGCATGGGTACTCTTTTGCATCGGTAGTCCAGACTATAGGATGGATGCCCTTTTGAGAAGTATCTCTCTCTCAACTTTTCTTTTGCACTCTTTGTACTCTCTATTCTTCATGCATGCTCAGAGCATCTTAGCTCGGCTTTCTCATTAGACTAGATAGGAGGTGGTGGTGAGAGATAAGGGATGGGCTATATATACAGATTTGAAAAGACGGGTAGAGGGTGGAAGGTACGTGGTGTGATTTGGGCGTTGGTGATTGCATTGGTAGGAGTTCAATCGTATTGTGTTTATCTGAGCTTGGGTTGTGTGCTCCTTGTGAGTGTGATTGAAATTGTGATTGAAGTTGGCGGTGTGGTGGGTGTAGGTAAGTAGATGAGGTGACTGGCTTTGTTTTATCCGGGTCCTTAATGGTTAACCTACCTAGGAGCCGTCGTGTCCACGCCAACCTTAGAAGACTAGAAAGTAGGAACCTTAAATCGTCTTCAATCACATGGCGGTAGCAACATCATAGGTCCAAGCGTATTGCAGGCAATCGAGTCTGGAATATCGCCCTTTGACAGGCATACCCATTGCCTTCTTCAAGATTGAGCGCTCATCAACAGTTTATTAAATACTCAAGTTCAGGTGGTTCATCAGTGGCGTCAGGTGGAAGAGCTGTGATCGCCCCACCAATCCGAGTTGCAGGCGGCGTTGGTATGCCTCAGCCCTTCAAAGTCCAGCTAGGTAACATCGCATTTATGGCCAGCCTCCTCCACACTCCAGACTCAATGATATTCATCCCAAATGCTTGCGATACAAGCGATTTCAGATGATCTAAGCTTCGCTCATAATGAAGCACACAATCTCTGTTGCGCTGCGGGCAGCACAGACAACAATATCAACGTCGACAATCCCTCAATCCACAACACAAAGCTCAACTACTTCCAGTGCAACGACAACGCGCTCCCCTATTGCTGTGTCCGCTAGCTTGTCAGGGAGTGCTGTGGGGGGGATCGTTGCTGGAGGCGTTATAGGTTTGGCAGCTATCGTTGTCCTAATTTGTCTTGTTCTGCGTTGTCGAAAGGTGGAGAAAAGAGAATATGATGCCCGGAAAGCTGAACCTACCGATCTTACATCACTTGTCCCTGAAACTTTCCCACAAGTTCCGGGATGGACGAGGCAGAGGCAAATTGCTGAGTTGCCTGGTGACTATCCACTTCCAAGAAGTCATAATCCAACGCCTATCACGCCAGACAGAATTGTGGGAATTGATAAGAATGATTACCTTAGGAATTCTCCCCCCCAATCCTGTAAGAGACTTCCGTTTTGTTGAATTTTCTGAGGCTAAGTTTAAATCAGATAATGAACGGCCGGGGCTTGTAGCGACTCCTGCATTCCTCCCTGTGGATATCAACGTCGTCCGGTGCCTAAATGAAACCATAAAAACACCCACAACAACGATAAAAACACCTGTTAGGACTTTCAAACCCTCGGATGTTGAATATGGCCCGAACCCTGTTATATACGCGCACATGTGCGACCCCACTCGCTCTCCAACGTCCCTTCCGTTATATTCGAGAAGCCCTTACTTGGAGCCTCCTGAGGGAATCGTCGAGAGTACCTCGATTTTAAGGCGAGGCTACGATCATGAAGAGTCCGTCGGAGGCTCTGCAGCGGGGCCGTCACGTCCATCATATCATCTTTCCAATCATCTATCAACCACGATCCCAGAGAGTTCCTCCTCCAAAAAAAAGCGATACCAAATCATTTCTGGTGCTTAATGAAAGTGCAACATTGGCGGCTGACGAGTCGGAAGGTGAGTTTGGATCAGAGCCTGCATCTGTAGCTGGTGGAGGTACACCAGCGACTACCGTAAGACTCTCGAGCTCATATCACGATATAAATTTGTCTAGGATAGAGCGGAATAGGTACGTTAACGAACCACTCGATTTTAATGGCAAGTACCTGACCCGCAACTAGCAAATTTGTCGAGAATCCAGAGCAACCCTGCTTCGGGGACCCAAGCACAGATTTGTTGGTATTAACGGGTTTAATGCCCGCGGACTCGTCATCAATAGTAGAATATCTCTCGAATATGCCCACAGATGCTTTAGAAGCAATGGATTACACTCCAGGCCCTGAATCTAATGCTTCTGTATCTACTACATGTCCTAGCCCTCGTCTTAGTCCTGGAGACATGGACTCTAGCCCTGACTCTCGATCTACACCGAATTCATCTTCGCATAATAGCACGCCCGGTACGGCGATAACAAATCTGACAACTCCATCGAGCACTCCTCTAGATGCTTCTGGGGTTTCATACAGTTGTACAGAGTGTACCCTCAAATTCCGAACCTCCGGTCAACGAAAGTAAGTTGCAGTTCGTCACCCGTTCTTACCGCGTCTAATAAGCGAAAAGTAAGCATATCAATCGCAAACACCGTCGACGCTACGTCTGCCCCGTCGAAAGTTGCCAAAAAGCCTTCAGTCTAAACGCCGACCTCGAACGCCACAAACGATCTTTACATCAAGAGATCTTAGGCTTTAACGGCACTATCCTTAGATGCCCGAATCCAAAGTGCAATTCTCCAGAGAAACGGTTCACTAGGAAAGACAACCTCGATCGGCATGTGCGAAGGTGCTTGGAGTCAACTAATCCGAAATAGGCGGCCATCAAAAAGAGATCAGCCAACCCATTGCGGGACATGGACGGACCCATGCGAGCGCGTCTTTGGGGTGTGCAGCTGCATCAAAATTATTCCGGTTCTTTTTGAATGCGATGACTTTCTATTCAATTTGAGAGAACTATTGGCAATGCGTCCTCCAATATGTGCATAGAGAAGAACGGTAAACTCAACCTCTTATGGTATTTTAAGAAACCAGGCATGCTGACCAACCTCTAAGATGTCTACGGTCTGTATTTCCCCGTGCTCTGCAAGACTTTGAAGAGCAACGTGCCATCTGGGAAATGCAATGAGATCTCGAGAGGTAATCAGCAGACATATATCTTCCTCATCCGGCTCAACGACTCTCGACATCGTTTCGCGCTGATGAGAGACTAGAAAAACAGGAATGAGACGTATGGTTTCATTTAGACATCCGGACAACGTAAGTTTCGCTGAGGAGCATACTGGGACATTGGGCCGTCATTTTCCGGCTGGGGAGGCCACCCGGAAATGGAGTGAGAAGGCTCTGCGCGTTTTTGTCCTCATTGTCGCCATCATGCAGCGGCGGCGGCTTTGTACGGCACCAGACATACCTTTCCAACGGGGTGAAATATCATGAGATATTAGATAAGAGGACCGCAGTGATTATTAGTGGGAGGGACAGAAGATTGGGAAAAATCAGCCCCTGCATGGGATCCAGCCTTGCGCAACCTGTACAGAAAGCCTGACTAAATGTGAAAAGTGATTCACACCACTCTCATCATTCCTTGAACTTTCTGCCTTCGTCTTGCCGAATATGCTTTTGCCTTGATGTTTCTCTTGCAGATAGGGGAAAGCACAAATTCTATGGTGCGTCTCTTGAAAAGCAACTAAATTACGATGCTATCATCCTTCCTGTTCCGGATTGTCTCTCGCAGCCACACAGCAAGAGCAGTCGGCCAATACAACCAATTTACAGTTCTGGATGGTAGGTTAAGCGACTCTTCTGAGCAATAGACCGTTGCAGACACGATGAACATAGCGTGGCTGAAAGGATAGTGGGGTGGTGTCACGGTACCGCCGATCTGTAATCTGTGGATCGCTTAGTTCCGATCTAATTCTTTTGCTCAGTTATTCTTTGTAAGTGCCTAAATAGTTCGCCCTAATATTACTCTCCGTGACCGGGGTGATTGGGAAGCCAACATAACGACGGAAATGACAGGCGCTCGGGCCTGGACAGTCAACATTAGTAACCACATGGTCCAAACTGATGCGCTGAGATTTAAAGCGTATTCAAATTTAAACCTACCGATACACACAGGTTCAAAGAATGAGTCGTCCAGGGGTAGATTTTATCTTTATGCTATGTCGGAGGCGTCAGTTATTGTTCCTTCGTTTGCTTCATCATTGATTTCAATGTCTTCGTCCCCGGTGTCTTCGAACTGGAACTCGACTTCCTCATCCCGTAATTCGATTGCGTCAATACCTAGTCCAGTATCGGCAAGGCGAAGTCGAGGTTAAACGTAGGCGCGACAATCGGGGTTATATTGGGCGGATTGATGTTCGTAGGAATCCCAGTTATTATTACAGTGTTAATTTTGGTACTTCGAAAGACAAAGAACATGGACTCAATCAGCGCACAGTGGGTATTGAAGTTCAGAATGTTTGATAACGTGGGCAAGGAAAGCTCAGAATGGCTGGTGGAGGTGGGTGGGTGTAGGTCGCGGGTAGAGATACTCCGTAGATGGATAAGCAAGGTGCTAGGTCCTTCTTTAATGAGCAAACACTCGTTTCTAAAGCAGTACAGGAGGCTATCAGAAAACCCTCTTCGTCTTAAGTCGACCTGCTGCCTGAAATTGAAACTTGTTCGAATACACTAGCCGTTTCGGTTAGCATATTTTCCTGATCCGTGCACGAATTGCTGCGGGTCGTGCTCAGAAGGATTGAACGATGCCACGAATGCAAATGAAAATCAAATCCGAAGTTCCTGTTGCGGCTACAGAGAGCAGGGCAATCACACAAATCCTAACTCATTTCCTTAAGATTAGATCGCGTCCCCATTGGTAACAGTGGAAGAGAACGTGCCCGCATGCTCTTATTACTCTTCTTATTAATGTTCCGTAACCCTCGACTGCGCGTGAGATTTTCCAGAACAAGGCGCAATCAAACTCTCTCCTTTGCTGATGAAAATTTCGGATCCGTAAGCCAATGAAGGAACATCATATTAGCCCCCAACGCCTCTTTGACACTGCCTCATCCCTCAAAATCGCGAAACACGATCTGACAGCAACTCAAAAGGGCGGGTAATCCTTGAACTAACTCTGAAGCTTTCCCTCATTCTCAGCACACTTCTTCCCCTCAAAACTTGATATACAAGCCGTCGCGAACTGTGTCTGTTGCGATTCTGGACGAACACCAACACATGCACCTACGATGCGATCCAATTTCCTCACATTAGGCTATTATGTCAGCCTTGCTTCAGCACAATTCCAATTCACAGTTCCAGATCCAAATGTTACGGATCTCAGCGAACATTGGGCGGTTGGGGATACAATGAAAATCGCATGGCAGGAAGGATGGCATGGAGTTCGCGACGATCCTGGTGTCACGGATCTATGGATCTCTTGGTTTCGATCGGATTCGTATTCGCTATTGCTTCTTTGTAAGTCGATTTTGTTTCTTGCCTATTTTTATCGGTCAGGTCGGGTCGCATGAAGAACCCAACAATTCCAATGATTCGATTGGACGAGACCTGAAATACAAATGGAGACTTTTGCTGACGAATCGGAACAGCGAATGTGACGTTCGATTCATCCGGTAGCCTGGACTGGAAAGTCAACGTTAGCAATGACGTTGTGAAAACCGATCCGCAATTCGTATTACGGTTTAAGCCACACTCTAATCCGCCTCTGTTTACGTCCACCGATAACGAGTCCCCGAGCCGAGGCTTCATTCTTCTCACAGGTAACGAACAATCATCCTCCGCTTCCTCTTCTGCAACTGCGCCGTCTACGTCTACGTCTACACCGTCTTCTACCACGGCATCTGCCCAGTCGTCGAGCTCGACAAGTGAACCCAATGCAAAGAAGAAGACGAATGTGGGAGCAATTGCGGGAGGAGTGCTAGGCGGATTGGTATTCATAGGGCTTTTATGCGCAGTTGCATTATTACTTCTCAAGCTTGCTAAAAATAAGAAGAACGCACGGGATGCAAATAGAGGAGGGCAAGAAGGGTATGGGGGGGCAGAGTTAGAGGAGGGGCTACCGAGACGAGAAATGATGACTGGACCGAGCGTGAAGTACAGCGCGAACGGGGCGCCAGCGACAGAGATATATGGAAGGGAGGTTCCAGTTGAGTTGGAGGGAAACCATACGGAAAGGAAATGAAGTAGTGCAAGATTTCATATCAAAGGTTTTAGAAGCGTAATTGTTAATTTAGCCGAACAAGGCGAGCTTGGACTTAAAGTGAACGAGATGGAAATTGTTTTGGATGACTCGATTGAATGGCATAGCATCGGACTCCTAGGCAAGCCTCTCTTGCGCTTCCGAACCTATCCTACACACCTCCCATCACTATCTCCGTCGGTATTTAGGATGTTTCCCGGTTACATAACGACGCACCAGCAGGACTCGTCGCAGCCGCAGCAGTCGCACTCTTCACCACAGGAGGTCTTGATCGGCTTGGGCTTGAGGATGGAGGAGATCGAAGAGGTGGTGCTGCCAGGCATGATGAAGGAGATGGGTTCGATTGACTCCTTTAGGCCTAGGAGATATGAGTTCCTACCTTCCAAATGCGTATGGAATGAGACTTACGGGATTGAAGCTCGACGAAAGGGAGTGAAATAGAGGCTGAAGGCCGAAATTGATCAGAGTCCGCCGAAAGCTACGCAATGGAAGAGTGGATGTTGGATGGAGGAAAGAAAGGAGAGTGCTAACAGGCGTGGGCAGCCGTCCTTTATCTGCGGCCAGAGCCATCAGCTCCTCACCACCCTCCACCTAAGCCTACCAATCAAGAAACCATCACCTTCGTCATGCACTGCAGCATCCTCCTTCGTAATCCTCACTCATTCGCCTACCTGTCGCCGGTCTGCATTCTCTGTTTGCTCTGTGAAACCCGCATATCAGGGCGTGCTAACAATTCCCTCGCAATTGGCCAACTTCCCTCCATGCGCAGCCTTGCACCCCACCGTCGCCACACTCTTGCATCAAAAATCGCATCGCTAATACCATTTCAATCCAAGTCAATCAACGGAACTCCAGCTGAGCCACCTCAGCCCCCGCTGTGAAGCATTCCAGCACCATACCATTGGCCGTTTCCTCGGCGAGCGGGTAAGCCGCGCAATCAGACCCTCCCAGCTGTCCTTGTGGTTGAGGAAGTGCCAGGGTTCCCGGCAACACTAAGCCTCACCAAGCTTTAACAAGCGCCCTTGGCACGAAAAAATCCCTCATAAATGCTAGGTTCAAGCTTTGCCAAGCTTTGGAGCTGACTTGGCGGTGAAGGGCATCCTGATTTTGATTTCCAGGGGTATGGGCTTTAGATCTTCGCGCCGAATTTGGCTTATGTGGTGGCAGGAGAGGATGATTCTGTTGTCCAGGTGGTTCATCAGCGGTCTGCAGATGGCTGATGACTAAGAAATTTAGGTAGCTGGCATAGGCAGCTAAGCGGAAGCTGCACAAGCAAAGCGTGCAACGAAAGAAGAAGCAGTCATTTCAACTTGTATCGGGGATCCTCTAAGCGTCATGTCACGAATGTGTCGCGAAACAGCCAGTGCTAAGACTCTTCCAGAGTGAGAGCCAGGGAAGAGTTGATGGATCCCTAGAGGAAGAAAAATGCGATCTAAAAATAGCGGTAGAGCAGGATCTATGTTTCTCCGCGCACAGCCAAATCGACGGCTATTGGACATTTCGAAACATGCCGATAGCAGCGCATCATTCGGCTGTCCCTCAGTGCCTAGCCAAGATGACGGGTGCTACTGCTGTACAGCCTTTCCTCACTCTCTTCTTCCATCACCCTGAGTCCCACCTTGCACCCGATCATTAGAATAAAGAACGCGAGCGATGTCTATGGCCAGATCGATGATTGCATCGTCATCCCCGGCTTACATACCACGGCGGATGGATAGCAACTTCAACTTTGGCTCTCTGTCAATGCACGGTATGTATATAACAAGGTTCGGACCTCTGTACTAACACGCATAGACTAATCTGTTCCAAGAACAGAAGCTCTTCTCCACCATGACGTTCGCCCCAGACCCCGACTTCGTGGATTGGCCCAAGATCCTAGTGTGGATCCATAATAGGTCCGCTGGACAAGGAGCTCGCGCACCACTTGTAGGTTTGGGTGGCGTAGGGTATTTTAACTCCCTTCACCTTTTGTGCGCCGCTTCTAATAATATAGAAGAAAGTCACAACTTGCCATACACTACTGCCATTCTATCCGCGATGAGTCACCGCAAACATTCGTATTCTGGGTGCATGCTGGCGCTAAATTCCGGTTCGAAGAAGCGTATAGAGGAATTGGGGACATCCTTAATCTTCCAGAGAGAAATAATCTAAGGTCGATATTTTAAAGCTAGTTAGTGATTGGTTATGTGGTGAGACAAGTGGACGACGGGCGATGATCCTCAATAACGCTGACGATGTCGAGACTTTCTCCCAATTTCAATAGCGAGAGCACAATAGGCCTTCAAATAGCTCATCCGTGTCGCTGGTGGCGTATCCCCCTCAACCCTCAAACCCGCAACGGATCTATTTTGATCACGTCTAGGAATAACGACGCGGCAGCAAGGCCGGAAAGAAGCTATAAGAATATCGGAGGCGTTCTTGACATAGATGGGGGCTAATTCCTATAGGTTTGTAACAAGCTGCTACCCACAGTGACTAAAGAGGGAGGGATAGAGCTGCTTCATGCTCTCGACTACATCCCTCTTGCAATCACTCAAGCTGCTCCATGCATAAATCAGCGAACGCGTATGATGATATGAGGCTATCTGAATGAGTTTCGCGCTAACTATAAGAAGCGAGGGAATATCTTAAACTAGGATTCAGGTGATAAGTATCGTGACGAATCTGCATTAAAGTCAGTAGTAATAACTTAGCAAATTTCGTTTAGCCATATCTGACGACGATTCTGAGAGCCTACGGTCGTACTCCCTTATCACAGTAACGGCCAAGACTAATATACGTAAGATGCATGCGTTAGTACAGTTCTACACCTAAGTCTAGCTATCACCAATCAACAATACGGGGCGGCGGTCGAAACGCCAATTTGTGCCACTAATGGTATATGTAGATGAAAGGAAGCTATAAGTCAGCGCAAACGATACAATGAAGGCGCTGATACCTAGGGAGTTTATGTTAGGGCTAGACGACAACCGGACACTGGCGAACTTCATCATTTTAGTGTTAATGTTACAGTACTAGGGGAAGTACGGCGCGGCGGAGAAGCTGAGCTAGCGAGCACTAGAAAGAAGAGAGAAGGTTCTTAGGCCTAGGCACCTAAACACGCTCACCAGCGCCAGCCGCCTTGGGTCAGTATTAAAGAGCTAGGGCAAGTATGACGAGGAAGAAGCAATCCACCGGCGAGCACTAGAAGGATGAGAGAAGAATCTTAGGCCTAAGCACTCAGACACGCTCACTAGCGTTAGTCACCTGGGGTCGGTGCCGTGGAATCAAGAACAGTTTGCAGAACCTGAAGGCCTAGAGGTGTCAGTGATGGGAATAAGAAAGAAGGTACTTAGGAATGAACACCCAGACACGCTGACGGCAATGGCTAATCTCGCATTTACCCCCCCCAAGTCGCAAAACTGGAACTAAAAGGCCTTGTCTCTAAATTCTCTCAGTAGGCGAAGTGGCTTTAGGTTACTCAAGAACACCGCCATTTGTGATTAGCCATGAGCTGTTGATAACACCCTCTGCTGGTGTTTGAAGGGATGATGCAACGGGGGTATAGCGGACGCGAGTCGAATTTTTACTATAAGTCTAGAGTTTACTCTTCAGTCATGAAGAGCTGTGCTGAATTGCAGGACCTATTAGGAGTCAGACAGAGTGAGAGTGCATGATTGAGAATGAGCAAAGTAGACTAATTATGACTCATGTGTGGCAACATTGCGCTACGCCTCATTCGGATTAACACTTGATGTTGCCGAGCAATCATGTGACTTTCAACGATCTTCGTCATTCTTCGTATAATTACCACTCTCCTGCCTATATAAGCCCTTTTTGGCTTACTATAATTAATCAACTAAGTTCTCATTGTCTGTAATTACCCCTGCGCCTTCGCACCTTACACAGGGGCACCTTCATATTTACACATTAACCGATCTATATTCAGGCTTCCACTCTTCCTACATCTTCCAACAGAAAAAGAAGCAATTTCAGAATGACTTCGAAGTTGCCTATGTTTCCTTGCAATACTTGCTCTATTACTTTCAAAACTAGCGAGCTTCAGCGTTCGCATATGCGACAGCCTTGGCAGTAGGAATAACCGCGAAGCATTATGGTGTGGGGCTAACAGTAGCAGTGTACATAATCTAAGGCGTCGTTTAGCTGAATTACCAGCATTATCGGAAGAACAGTATGATACAGAAGCCAAGAGCCAGGAAATAATCCCTCGACAGAAGGACATCGATGAGAAAGGGAAAAAGCGAATCTCCTCATGCGATGCCGAAGTCGAATCTGATTCCATTTCAGAAGATATACCTGAGGCTGAATATAAGATCTCTAAGAAGATTCCTCCAACGCAATGCCTCTTCTGCAACCTAGACTTGCCGACTCTTAATGCGAATATAGACCATATGTCATCCCTACATGGCCTTTTCATCCCCTCACCAGAGCAATTATCAGACATGGAATCTTTCCTTGGATACCTTGCAATCATTATATTCGAATATAATGAATGTCTCTATTGCGGTCTAGAGAAAGGCACTGTGGATGGGGTGCAGACACATATGCGAGATAAGGGCCATTGCATGATCAAGATGAACGCAGAATCTGAGCTTCTTGACTTTTGGGAGCTTTCCGATAGCGGGGATGAAGGCCAAACCGAAGATGTAGAGCGTACGAAGAGTGCTGCAATCAAGCTATCTGGGACAGAAATGAGGCTTCCTTCTGGGGTTGTTATCAATTCTCGCTCTGATGCTACTCAGATTCGTACTAAACCGGGACTTGCACAATCGAGGACAAAAGATTCGCAATATAGAATCAAGAGAGCTGAGATGAGGACTACTGCAGGAGAAAATCAAGAGATGGCAGATAAAAAACAAAGTAGACCCTCACGCAGCAACGACCGCCGTGTCGCTGTTCGTGGTGAAATGGGGCTGGTTGGTATTCCGGAGAGCCAAAGGCGTGCTTTGCAGATTACCGAGAAAAAGATGAAGAGGAGGGAAGCAGTTGCTAAAGCTGCACAGCGATACGCGGCGGAGCAGGAGCCAATTAAGGCAAAGTACTACAAGGTAAGAGACTAAAGATACAGAAAGGTTGGTTTAATAAGTGATTGCTGATCCATGTACAGACAGAAGCTCCTATATACCAGGCTGGATAATCAAGCTCAAGGCCTTTTATATACTCAACCGTTCCGCTTCCCTATATTTGCGGTAACCACACCCTTCCCAGGAAATTCCTTCATGGAAGCCAACAAACTCAATCACGCATTTTCTCCTGGAGGATGAGGAAACCGCTTTTCCGGTTGTAGATAATCCTAATAATTCGGAAACTCATACGCCTCAAAACGCGTCCCGGTAGCATCCTCAGTCTTGAAGAATTCAAAATGGTTCTTACTCATCTAACCCTCACCCTGCAACATTGTAAACATCCTCTTCCCAGACTCCTTGATTCGATCTAGGAAGGGAATTCCATTCATATCATATGCGACATGGTGGATTACTGGAGTGACATTGTGCTTGTCCAGCAATTCTTGGAAGATACTAGGTCCGCTGACAGGCTGGATGACTTCGTAGACCATGGCTGGGCTCAGATCTGCGAAACAGACGTGACGGGTGAAGGGGCTGGATTTCCCGCGATATGTCTCGTTGTGGTATTAGAAGGCGTGAAGGAGTAACAGCGCCACGGTCCAATACCTGTTTGCCAGAGGCGGGCGATGGTCTTCTTGTATTCCGATGTTACTATATATCTCAATGGGTTGCCTAGGAAAGACTTCGTGGGGCCTCTCTGTATGTCCATATCTGGCTATTATGGTCCAATTGCGATTGCGATAAGTCCTTGTAAATAGTTCGCATTCCGCAAAAGATGGGTGCTGTGTAATTAACTACATGCTATCAGGTCAATTTTAAAAATCAAAGCAGGCCTTGTGTATCGTTACCCCTAAGGTAAACTAACTTAAATAGAAATAAAGCCAGTGTATAAGAGTTAACCTTTAAGAGAGGGTATAGTTATAGTATCTACAAGTAACACTGAAGAACCTTCTTTTCTTTTTGTCTAATTATGTGCCTGCGCATGGGCTTCGTGCCGCGCTTAAGCTACCTTCTATTAATATCCGCGTTGCCTTTTCTGCATTTCTTTCTTCTTTACGTAACGTCTTAATTATTGACTTAATACTGTACGTAGACCTATTAACGCTTCTTTTAAAAGATTCTTAATCTCTTGCTTGTACCTCTTGTTCATGTAAACTAGGTTACAGAGGCAGAGCTATTAGGCTTCATGTTTGCTCCTGCGACTAGCTAGTAGGCTCAAATTAATCCTTGTTATTAACTTCCTGATCCACTGAATATTTAGACCTAGATTCTGTTTATATGTAGCTCTAGAGCTTCAGCTTGTGGTGCTGGTGAACGGCAATTTCCGTGCGTCAGGGCAGACCGTGCAGGTTTCAGCTGATAAAATTTATTTAGCAAACCACGTAGCTTCTCAGACCCTCATCCCACAATACACCACTTCTCTCATAACTCATCTGCCCTACAAAGCTACATATGTTAAAGTTGTAAATTCTCGACTATGCTTGCCATGCTCCCCCACTCAGGCCTGGGCGGGCGAGAGATTTTCCCTTGGTCTTTGGCCCGCTGTGGGACCCGATAAGAGATACGACGCCCTGCAGATCTTGCTGCGGGATTCCAGGGAAGCAGGGTCGGGAGGGATTGCGACCGCTTTAGAGCCTGTGATGTGACGCGCTTCTGAGCAAGCTCCACGATAGAACGGCCTAAAGTGTGTGTGCTTAGGATACTTCGGGTATTCGGCGTCGTGTAGACTCATTTCTAACGTTTAGAAAGAAGATGCCAGAAAATTGGACAAAAATGGGCGGACACTTATCTCGACACTTTTTCGTCGGAAGAACTGAATCCCGATTCTCTTCCCAATCTATCACGTGAAATACAGCCTTGGCCCTTATTCTCGCCGTCAAAAATGAATTATTTATTGTAGCCTCTTAACACCTCTATCAACCCAGGTGTGCAGAGCCTCATCCAAACCCCCAATCAGCAGCCGCCATTGTCCCCCTATCCACACAATGGCAGGTACCATCCTTGGCGCCCCGTTTTACTGTGATATCAAGTTTCTAGGCGCCTATCAGCTTCCACAAAACTTGTTTCACTTCTTAGCCTGACTGCAATCTCAAGGATCGTTGGCCTGCTCAGGGCCTATCGCCTTGTCGTGCCCCCTCGCAGACTTTTTCCTGGTACCAGCCACGGCGGGTTTATACGGAAATACTTCTATTCTTCCCGCCACTTCAGGTCCGAATTACTCGTTAGGAACGTATAACTCTGAGGCGTTACTTGGCTAGACACTACAACGCTAGGCACCCCCTTGAAGATCCTTTCAAAAGTTCCTCATGCTGTGGCTCGAAAACTGCCATACATCACGTCACTAAGACTTGCCTCCATAATGCCCTTCTAAGCAGGGTGATGTACCGTCAGTACCTCTTATGGTAGCAATGCCCCTAGTGGTTTTCCAACCTCGGAATGTATCTTCTTCTAACTGCAGGAAATGAAAAAGGAGTATCGTCATATCGCAGTACCCACCTAATACGCCTCATTACTATCAGCTTGTTCCTTTTTTGCAACATCTTATCAGTCGCAATATACTTGGCGGCTTGAAGCTGAACGTGTGCGGAAGATCCCACCTTGGTAATGCTCCAACGTCTCCGCCTGGTCGTCTAGCTATGGCCTCTTCTGCTAATGAGCACGCGAGGAGCGATGTGTTATGCCACCGGCCCGCTACCCGTATCCCCATGTGGAGGCTTCCTCGTACGAGACACTTGCTTGTGTCCATTAATAGTCTTTACCGCGGGAATGTGCCTCAGGATGCATATCTGGTGGCACATTTAGGGAGGTGGGCGTCGATATCATATACTCAAACCATGCCGTAGACTCGTAGTGGCTCACTCCCCCTCGCCGTGAACTGTGTCCTTCGTTACAGACTGGCTTCCCTCACTGCTGGTCCTCTGAATCTCTTTCAGGTCAGTTTCGTGCAACTCGTTCGCACTGCTGGACATTCATTCAATATTAGCTTGCGTCCCTTCTTCCCTAGTCTGTCGCTATTATATCGTCGTTGTTGGCCTCTGAATGGCTCCGCTCACTGCACGATACCTGTCGAATGACAATATGCTTTCCTATTTTTATTTCTTTATCACTCTCATTAGCTTTGCCTGGGCATCTCCATACGATCCCCGGGAGCTCGACTATAATCTTAATCAGAATCAGTCAGCAGTTTCGCCCTTGGACTACTGGGGGTCATGGGACAATCATACATTCAACCCTTCACCACGAAACTGGAGGTTTCCTTTTTATACATTTTTCCTTGACAGGTGAGCCTTATTTAAGATGGACATATATACCTGAGACTGATGCATATTGCCACAGGTTCGCGAATGGTGATCCCACGAACGATAACGCCAACGGCACTTCGTTCGAGCAAGATATCTTCAGCAACCAGTTCCGCCATGGTGGTGATGTCTCTGGTCTACGAGATTCGCTTGATTACCTTCAGGGGCTAGGAATAAAAGGCTTGTACATTGCCGGCTCTGCCTTCATTAATCAGCCTTGGACAGCCGATTCCTTCTCCCCAATTGATCTCACCGTACTCGACCACCACTATGGAACGATACAGGAGTGGAGAGATGTGATCAAGGAGATCCACAGCCGTGGAATGTATGTCGTGCTCGACAACACGTTTGCGACCATGGGAGATCTGGTTGGCTTTGAAGGGTACCTGAACGACACTACACCTTTCACACTCAAGGAACACAAGACTGTTTGGAAGAGTGATCGTCGGTACCTTGACTTCGATATCGGCAACAATTACAATGAGACTTGCCAGTATCCCAGATTCTGGAACGAAACCGGATTTCCAATCGAGAAGTCGTACACTGATCAGATGAAGGGTTGCTACAACTCTGACTTCGACCAGTATGGCGACACTGAAGCTTTCGGAGTCTATCCCGATTTCCAACGTCAACTGACCAAGTAAGATATACTCAAGCAGACTGAAATAATTATCCCTCTAACTTCAATAGATTCGCTTCCGTCCAAGACAGACTGCGCGAGTGGGTCCCTTCAGTCAGACGGCGCATCCAGCATTTTTCTTGCATCGCGATCAATATGCTTGACATCGACGGTTTCCGTTTTGACAAAGCCACTCAGGTAACCGTTGATGCGCAAGGAGAATTTGGCAAGCATATCCGTGAGTGCGCTCGAAAGTTGGGCAAGGAGAACTTCTTCATGCCTGGCGAAATCACGGGCGGTAATTCCTTTGCTTCAATCTACCTTGGAAGAGGTCGACAACCAGACATGCTCCCGGCCAATTTGTCGTCTGCTGTCGCTCTTACAAGCCAGTCCAACGACAAGTACTTTATTCGAGAAAATGGAAAGAGTGCGCTCGACGCTGCGGCCTTCCATTACACCATATATCGTTCGCTCACTAGATTCCTTGGCATGGACGGTAATTTAAAAGCGGGCTATGATGCACCACTTAACTGGGTTGACGCATGGAACACGATGATCATGACTAACGACCTTATTAATGCAAATACTGGAGTTTTCGATCCGCGACACATGCATGGTGTGACCAATCAAGACGTGTTTCGCTGGCCTGCTATCACGAATGGAACGGAAAGGATGCTGTTGGGCCTTTTTATAACTACCATTCACCTTCCCGGCATTCCTAAGTTGACTTGGGGAGAGGAGCAGTAAGTCTAACAGACATCCCTTCTATGTATTCTCCTAACACCCACTATAGAGCCTTTTATGTTCTCGATAGCACTGCCAGCAATTACATCTACGGCCGACAGGCGATGACCAGCTCAGTCGCATGGCAGATGCACGGCTGCTATGCTCTCGGATCCACGCAGTACTATCAAATGCCTTTGAACGCTACACGACGTGGTTGTGAGGACGACAATGTCAGCCTCGATCATCGTGATTCCTCACACCCTGTCCATAATATCATCAAGCATATGTACTACCTGCGTGAGAAATACCCAGTGCTTAATGATGGGTGGTTCCTCCAGCAGCTATCTAACCAGACCTATGAGGTTCAATACCCTGGTAGCTCTGGTGTTGAGACTGAAACTGGTATTTGGAGCGTTGCTAGGGGAGAGTTCGCTGGCGCTCAGAACCTCACTGGACCTTCATTAGTCTGGTTGGTATACAGTAACAAGAATGATTCTTCGACGTATACATTCGATTGCTCCGACAAAACCAAAGCGCTCATCGCCGCATTCGACGAGGGCACCACAGTCAAGAATCTCTTCTACCCCCACGACGAAATCACGCTCAAGTCTTCGCCCGCTGCACTTGGATTTGGGGGATCTACGAAGAACAACGGATGCATCGACAGGGTTGACATGAAGTCCTACGACTTCCGAGCCTATGTCCCCAAGGACCAGTTCATCGCGCCTCCTCCGATGATTACCCGTTTCGTACCTGGTCACGACATGAGACTCGTCTCCAAAGTTGCCCCAGGTAATCAGGAAGAAATCGACATTGAGATCCATTTCACTGCCGAGATGAACTGCAACAACACCGCCTCCGTACTGGAAATCAACTCGAGCACGGAAGATCGTCGGATCCCTCAAGTGGACTACGGTACCATCCAGTGCATTAAAACGGACGCTAATGGCACTGATGTCCCAGGATATATCGGCAGCATACCTACTGCATGGACCTTCAAGGCGAAGCTGAAGAACGTTTCTAACGGTATCCACACAGTCACCGTACGCAATGCGACAACACCAGATGGAGCTTTCACAAACTCGGCCGACAAGTTCATGTTCCGCGTCGGGCAGTTAGATAACCCGATGATTTTCCCTAGGACAGCCAACTACACTAGAGCATTGATCCATAAGAACACAGAAAACAACACATTGTGGATCTCGCACAAGGCCGCTGGTGCAGACAAGTGGCGCTATTCGATGAACTGGGGCTCGTCCTGGAGCAACTGGGCCGAATACCACGGAGGTAACAATACTCTCGAGGAACAAGCGTGGTCTGGTACCAAGAAGCAAGAGTGGGAAGACGAGCACATCATCGCACAGTACTGGAGTAAACTGGCTGGTAGCAGTGCAGTCATCCAACATGCCGATCTTGGTAGAGAAAACGAGCCCCCACGCCGCTTTCCCCACATGTTTGCTCATGGACCATTTAATCAGTACGGCTTTGACGCCGGTCTCAAAAATCAACTGAAATTAGGATCTGATGGGCAGTGGAAGTTCCATTTCATGAGCGAGTGGCCAGATATGTTCCAACTCAATGTATGGGGCATGAATCCAGACGGACAGCCGGATGCCACAGGCGTTTACGGAGACATCAATGAGGATGGCATTCTTGATCGCTTACCTCCCAGCTCACTGTCAAAACTTGCCATCAACGTTACTAATGTGCCTCCGTCGCCATACCTTGCATACGAGCTTCACCTAAACGATGGAACGTACCGATATAAGCTCGTTCCCGTCGGAAACATACGGCACCAACTCGTACTCTACATCTCCCTCTTACTTGTACCCATGCTGTCTGCCATCCTGGGAGTTTGGCTGTATATGCGTGCGTTCTACGGTGTCAAGTTCAACGAGACTGGTGTTGCGATAAAATTCTCCCTGCTCTGGCTACCATTCTTCGGTAACAAGAAAGCAAATGACAGCGATGACGATGATATGCTCACCGAAGTCGATGCCACTCCCGCTACTCTCATGACGGATAAGCGACGATGTGTGCTCATCGCTACCATGGAATATGATATCGAAGACTGGGAGATCAAGATCAAGATTGGAGGTCTCGGAGTCATGGCTCAGCTCATGGGCAAGAATCTCGAACATCAAGACCTTATCTGGGTCGTTCCCTGTGTTGGAGGCGTTGAGTACCCACGGGATCAAACTGCTGACTCGATGGACGTTAATATCCTGGGAAACAGCTATGAAGTGCAAGTCCAGTACCACGTTCTCCGCAACATCACTTACGTGCTTTTGGACGCCCCTGTCTTTCGCAAACAAACAAAGTCCGAACCATATCCTCCGCGTATGGACGACATGGACAGTGCTATCTACTACTCTGCATGGAACCAATGCATTGCGCAAACACTTGAGCGCTTCCCCGTCGATCTGTACCACATCAACGACTACCATGGTGCAGCTGCGCCGCTCTATCTGCTCCCTAAAACCATCCCCTGCTGCTTGTCTCTGCACAATGCCGAATTCCAGGGTCTTTGGCCCATGCGCACCGTTTCCGAATGCGCCGAGGTGTGCAAAGTGTTCAACCTACCGCAGAAGATAGTCGAAGAGTATGTTCAATTCGGTTCCGTATTCAATCTACTCCATGCCGGTGCTAGCTACCTCCGTGTTCATCAAAGAGGTGTTGGCGCCGTCGGCGTCTCCACGAAATACGGTAAGCGGTCGTGGGCACGTTACCCCATTTTCTGGGGACTTGCGAAAATTGGCCCTCTGCCCAATCCCGATCCTACCGATACTGAAGCGTGGAACAAGAAGGTGTTGAAGGACGAGGACATCCAGATCGACGAGGCCTTTGAGGCCGCCAGACCTGGCCTCAAGCGACAGGCGCAAGAGTGGGCCAACCTAGAGCAGAATCCAGACGCGGAGCTGTTTGTCTTCGTCGGTCGTTGGTCCACTCAGAAAGGTGTTGACTTGATTGCGGATATCTTCCCTTCCATCTTGGAAGAAAACCCAACCGCCCAATTGATCTGCGTTGGCCCAGTTATCGACCTTTATGGGAAATTTGCAGCGCTCAAGCTGAGTAAACTTATGGTCAAGTATCCTGGAAGAGTCTTTTCCAAGCCCGAGTTCACTGCCTTGCCTCCGTACATCTTCAGCGGTGCTGAATTTGCTCTCATTCCCTCTCGCGATGAGCCTTTCGGACTTGTCGCTGTCGAATTCGGACGAAAGGGCGCTCTTGGTGTAGGCGCTAGAGTCGGTGGCCTTGGGCAAATGCCCGGATGGTGGTATACAGTCGAATCGACCACCACTACCCATTTGCTAAAGCAGTTCCGCGGTGCAATTGAATCAGCGCTCGCATCCAAGCAAGAAGTCCGCAGAGTGATGCGCGCTCGTTCAGCGAAACAGCGCTTTCCAGTCCAGCAATGGAAAGAAGATCTAGGCATTCTACAAAGCAAGGCAATCAAGAACCACGACGCGGAAGCCCGCAAATGGCGGTTCTGGCCTCAATCGACAACCAGTGCGTCTCGAGCCACATCAACTATCTGTGATCCCGCTATTCTACATGAGAAACAGCCACAGCTACCAATGCCGGGCAGCAGTGTCACGGAGTTTACCTCACTCCCACGACCAGTCGGATCTAGGGCGTCAAGCTCCCGCTCAACAGTAGATGTCAACGGTATCCCCATGCCCAGGAGTAGGCAAGGCCTGCCCCCCTCGGGGCTTGGAAGGATGCTATCACTGGGTCGCAGGAAGGGACCAGGTCATGTCGACGGGGACGAGGACGAAGAATGTGATTTTGTTGATGCTAACGCGCCAGCACGCACTGACGAGTACATTATAGGGGAGGAAGAAATTGAAGTTATTCCTCGACAATTCCACGAAGGCCGTCCCGTGCCAGCTGCACCATTTGCCGACCTTTCCCCTCCTCTCCAAAGCCCTTGTCACAGTCCAGCTGTTTCCATCTCCGATAGCGGCTTCAATTTCTCAACTCTTACACCACCAACGCCAATGTATATGCAGACCGCTTCCAGTCGATCCTCTTTGCTCGAGATCGACGTCATCGTTGGTGACAAGACCGATTTTAATCTCCAGAAAGTCGATCCTTTCTTTACCGACTCAAACGGCGAGTTCTACGGTATATTTGAAAAGAAGCTCGCTGGACTAAACGGCAAAAATTCAGTCTCGGAAATGTGTATCGAGGAATTCATTGTACAGAGCGAAAAGCAGTGGTTCGACAGATTCCGCACCGCCAAACTGAACTGGATGCCCCCTTCGAGTTCGGCCTCGAGTACAATCGCTCCATCTCGACCAAATTCTCGGGCCGGAACAACCGTGACGGCTGAAGAGCTCAACGACAAGGACGAATTCCTTCTTGGAGTGGATTACAAGCCACCAAGAGGATTGAAGAAGTACATGCAGTACAAGTGGGGCGACTGGCCGTTCTACTCCTTCGTTCTCGCCATTGGTCAAATTATTTCAGCCAATTCGTATCAAGTCACTCTTCTCACAGGCGGTATTGGTCAACAAGCAACCAAGCTGTACGCAATTGCGACAGTTTATCTCGTAACGTCTTGTATATGGTGGCTGTTGTTCCGTCGCTTAAAATCTGTCTATGTTCTTTCTAGCCCATTCGTTATCTACGGCATTGCCTTTTTCATTCTGGGTATGTCGCCTTTGGCTCCTACCGCTACGGGACGCTTTTGGGTTCAAAATGTCGCGACTGGTTTATATGCAGCCGCGTCATCCAGTGGATCTCTCTTCTTTGCTTTGAACTTCGGCGACGAAGGTAAGCAAAGGAATACCGAATCCTGTTGTTTCTATTTAGCTAACAATAACTAGGCGGTGCCCCTGTCCGAGATTGGGTCTTCCGCGCCTGTGTCATCCAAGGAACCCAGCAACTTTACGTGACCGCACTCTGGTACTGGGGAAGCCTTCTCACATCCACGAGCTCAGCAACCTACAAAGGCTACGCTGCTATGGTCACCTCTCCCAAACTCGCCGCCGTTACCGTTCCTCTCGCTGTTGTAATGTGGATCTTAGCCGGCATAATCCAATTCGGCCTCCCCGACTTCTACCGCCAGACACCCGGTTCAGTCCCTTCGTTCTACACCTCCCTCTTCCGCCGCAAAATCGTCGTCTGGACCTTTGCCACCGTCCTTATCCAGAACTACTTCTTGTCCGCTCCATACGGACGCAACTGGCAATACCTCTGGTCCTCCAAAGTCGCGCCGACATGGGCTATTCTCCTCCTTGTTGTCCTCTTCTTCGTAGTGCTTTGGGGAGTCTTCCTATCCATATTCGCCGCACTCAGCACCCACCACTCCTGGATCCTCCCTATCTTCGCCATCGGCCTCGGCGCCCCACGCTGGTGCCAGATGCTGTGGTCCACTTCTTCCATCGGCCTCTACCTCCCCTGGGCCGGCGGTCCCGTCTCCTCCGCCCTCGTCGGCCGCACACTCTGGCTCTGGCTCGGCTTGCTCGACACAGTCCAAGGAGTCGGTTTTGGGATGATCTTCCTACAAACGCTGACGCGCCTCCACGTCACCTTCACGCTCCTTGCTGCCCAGGTGCTCGGGTCCATTGCCACGATTCTCGCGCGTGCTACCGCACCTAATGCGATTGGGCCGGGCGACGTGTTTCCGGATTTTTCGGCGGGGATCCAGCAGGGCCTGGCGAGGCCGTGGTTCTGGGTTGCACTTTTGTTGCAAATTACAATTTGTGTTGGTTTCTTCAAGTTCTTTAGGAAAGAACAGTTAAGTAAGCCGTAGTTGTGACGGCCTCCTTGTATATTGTTGTACTACACCTGACTGGTCTTTTGTTATTATTGAGACGGGAATTAAATCGTAACATAATCTAATTTAAAACAGTTAGAGTTACAATAATATTCTACCAGAGAAACACTCTTACATTTGAGTGACAACTCCCTGAATATAATCGGTCCATGTCATGCTTGTAGTCTTCAGTCGTCCAAATCAGTGTTCTATATAAGATTTTTTAAAAGTGCCCTTTGCAGTATTATCTAATAGAGTTGTTTCTAAAAAATATTATTCTTAGGCTTGTGTAAGAGAAACATACCTTACTATTATAGCATTAAAACTAAGCTATACCCTTGTTATTTAACCCAAGTGTGTACCTAAATGTCGTTCCGTAAAGGAAGAGTATCTGTAGAGAGGGCTTTTGTTTTAATATTATATAAAATACTAAAGCTTACATAAATGTAAACTTAGTTTATGTTGAATGGACTCTTTCAGCTAGCTGCTTATGGTATGAGCACTTAAGTAGCAAGAGTAAGAGTAGTGTACTGTGTGCACAGCGTACGGAGTGGGTAGGGTGGGCAACAGATTTCTGGTCATTGCTTGTCTTCTTTCTGCGTACGGATGAAAGGGGAATATCCACACGTTCGCGCACAGGTTCGCGCACAAGCATCACGTGATATAGTTACGTGATCCTTCTCGCGCGATAACTAGTATCCAGACCGTAACGCTGCTGCTGCGTACGGACAGTTTAAGTATTAATTAGAAACTTTACTACTAAGGATTTAACTAATACAGGTTTCTAGGCACTACTTAACTATACAAGATACCGGACTAAGCAAACCAGTGGTGGAGGAACTAAAATAGAGCTGAACATCTAGCTAGCTGTATCAATGACAGGTTTCCCTTTAGATTCTTGTGTTTCTTGCGACAAGACTTTTACGCGGTGAATTTATGCTACTTAACGCTAAGATAACACGCATCCAGACTACTGACCACACCAAGTTGGATTCATCACCATAGTGAAAAATTTCCATAGTTCGCTCTCCCTCGCTTCCGTGCCCGTGTCCCATGCCTCCTCATTCTCCAGCTGATCCATCCATCCCCTCTCTATGTCCCTCCTCTTCTCGCCCCCCTCTTCATTCCACTCATTAAACATCCTTCTCGACTCTCCAGCCACCTCCTCCCGCTTTCTTTCTAGGTCACTCTCGTGTCTTTCAAAAGCGTCTCTTAACTTGTTAGGCAATATATCGAACCGTTTCTCCTTGATTGACGGGACGTTGTGCGTCTCGATCGCATGCATCGTCCACTGCCCGGCCTTTTCGAAGTAAGCATTGCATCCAGACTCTGGGCATAAGAAAGGCTCTTGCCTTCCCTCGTCAAAGTGATGCCGGTCTAGCGCTTCGATGACGAGAGGGCCTAGAGCGAAGTGTTGTAGAGCAAGTCTGTTCCTCAAATACCTAAGTTTCTCGAACTCGCCGACAGGCCCGTGGAATCTTTTCATTGGCATGAGGATTGTTTTTCGATTAAAACATGGTGCAACCTTTCTCCATTCGCCGTCTAGCGTAGGTCGATAAAGTGATCGTTGCCATTTGTTCGTAGGCAGGGTTATGGTAGTATTCTCAGGGAGAGAACTCGCTTCCTCGAGGACAAACGCTGAAACGTCGATCTTAAGCGGGCAAGACTCAACAAGAATTTTCAAGCAAGGGAAGGCAGGCTTGTTATAATCCTTGTCCGATAGAGACTCCCAATTCTGATTGATTACCGCCCTCCTCACTCTTGGGAATCTCTTCTTCAAAGTATTCCAGAAATTCCTTACTACATCTTGCCGGATATCTCTTATGCCGTCGTGTAGTGGACCTATCCTATTATCAGACCCATGTTGGTACTCGACTTCGACGTTCTGCACGTGAGCAAGAAAAGGCAAGTCGTAGCATGTACCGCCAGGATACCCGCCCTCAAGTAGCCAGTGTGACTCGACAAGATAATACGTATTCGGATCTGCCCAAAAAAGTTTGGCGGCCTCGATGCGAAGCCTGGAAGACACTCGCATTACCTGGAAGAGGGTAGGGGCGGAACAAAAGGCCAGGATACGGAGCTGAAGTTCGGTGGGTAGTTTGTTGAATCGTGGGAACGAGGCGATTTGGACGGCATTAGTCTGAACATACAAGTGAAAAGGAATGCGTTCTTCCCCGTCGAGTGTTATGTGTAGGTTCCAGTTGAATGATTTCGTCCATGGCGGTTGAGGCAGCATGACACGTAGATTGCAGACACTTTGTTGTGTGAACATTTTGGTTCGGGGCGCAAGAGATGGTGTGGAGTCGGGAGACAAATGTTGTCCGCGAGTAATGTCTTCGAGCTCAGCCGCAAAAGCCCTTCGGTTTTTGTGGGTCCGCTGCTGAGAACTGCAGGCTTCAATGGACTGTATTTGGGGGGCACAGTGCTTTCGGACATTTGACTCTAATCACTTCCTTGCTATTGGTCGAATTGACGAGTAAGGACCAGCGCCCAAACAACAAAGATTCTAATATTAGGTAGCCAGAAACGGGTGGCGCACCGCGCCACATGAAGCAGGTAACCGCAACCAACAATCTCCCACCAAGCTGCAGGTCGAAACGGTCTCAGAAGAATATTCGCCCGGTTCGAAGGATAATCAAAAGGTCAATTGCTTAACGATGCAAGAGGCTACAAGAGTATAATTTCGTAAACGCCGTCGTAGTCGATAAATCCCTACACGATAGCTGCTCTACTCTCTCTCGGCAACAGCACGTGATTGCACTCAATCATCTATAAAATCAAGAAAAACTGTACTTGATACAATAGAAACGCCTGTTCCTACGGCAATCCATCAGATCCTATCTGGCAGCCAGCACTCGATTGCTCCTGATCAGCTCAAAAGCTAAGAAGAGCATTACATAGTACGATGCTATAGGGGGGTCTGCCCAGAATGATCTCGAGTCTCGCATCATCCAAAGAAGAGAAAATGCCTCACGGATGCAGTCTAGGCGACCAATAAGGGAGGGGGTGCGGGGTTGAGGGAAGAGACGATGGAGGGAGGAGAGTAGACTAGAAAGGGAGGCGTGCTGTTATAACATCAATGTTAGCAACAATCGAAGTTTAAAAAGCTAGACTCAGGGTAAAACAATATCAGCTGCAACACAAAAAGGACTAATACGGAAGGAAAACTGCGCATCAAGAAAGTCGGGAAGGGGAACAAAACAATGCCTAAGACAATATCCAACAATTCGTCAATTGTGATTAACGCTGGTGATGGCCCCTTTGCTGAAGTACTATTGTGCTAGAGGTATTGCCCTTAGCTTAATAATGCTGTCCGCAGCTACTGCTAGGCGTATTGCCTCAGTACTCAGGAGGAACATCTAGCTCTGTCTTATTTGGTATAAGGTCGTCAGCAGCGTATCTCACCCTTTCATGCTGTATTAACCTCTGCCTACAATTCTCTCCCACGCCGCACAATATCGCCCGCAACTTATACTCACTTATGTTGTACAGTATTGGCCGCCGCTTATCATTCTATTTTATGCTGTACGGTACTGGTCGCAGCACCTACTTTTAGCCCTATATAGGCCTTATCATACATGTAAATAGCTTCATCGTTGACTTTTGTCGAATCCGAGGAGATGTGTAACCCGGCCAAGCCACTATCTACTAATGACTGTACTTCTCTATGTATCATGACTGCCTAGAGGCTCCACATGAATAAAACACACTTCCACTGCACCACTAGCCTTACAATTACCGTACTAGATAAATTTAGCGGAAAGCTAGGGGATCTATTTAGCTTTCCAAGGAGCAACCTCATGCTATTGTCGCTCCGGTAAGTCTGGCGTTCAAAGATCACACCGCGACTCTGGCTTGAGCGCCTCAGGCTCTATAGATTCGGACTAGCATAATTTGCACGTCCCATCCTCAACCCTCCCTGTCGAATACAGGGCCCAAAACTGGGTTTCAACGAGCTGCTCAGCCTCGGCTCAGGATGCCCTCACCCAGCACAGCCATAGCTCAGGCTGGAGCACGAGTAGCTCAGGTTCCTGAATGGGAAAGGAAATTGCTTGGGTGGTGCACATTGGGATATCGTACTATCTGTATTAGATTGTAGGAGAGATTTTCGAATGACCAGACAAAAGCATCGGAGTTATTTGAGAGCCTGATAAAATTTGTATCAAGGATAGTGCCTATAAGGATAGAAATGAAGTTGTATATATTGAGGCCGAGCAATGAGGATAGATTTTAAATGAAATTGGTTTTCTCCTAAGGGCCTCTCTTAGGACCTTGGCTACCAGCTCACTGTCAGACTACACGCTTCCAGTTCTCGAACTCATAAATCCTTCAAGTTGATATAACGGCTTAAGCTGTGCCTTTCGCTGGAAGAATATATATTTCTTGATCCACCAAGGCAGCCAAGTGCGTAGTTGGTAAGCGATATGCCGACCAGTTGGGACTCCAAAGATGAAATCGAGTTCTTCGAGAGTGCGTTGCCTGCGGGAAGCAGGTAGTCAGCAATCTCATTTCAGAATTGACCCATGGGTGAAAAGTCTTACATAGTTTCAGGGACGAGAAAGAAGATCATTATGAAGGCTAGAACATTCAGGCCAGCGTAGAATGCAAATGCTTTATCAAATTAGCAAGAGATCAAACGTGACGATCATCGCACATACCACCGGTAGGAGTGATCTTGGCGAGCAGGGACGGAAAACTCAGCGTCAACGCAGATCCAACTGCATTATTCACACATATCGTAAATGCGCCACCGATTTCTCGATGTGAAAGTGGAAAAGACTCGCTAAAGTAGATCGACGGAAGAGGACCCATGCCTAACAAGTGTAAGACAGCTTCAATAACGGAAAGTAGGAGTTGTGCTCACCAGGACCGTATAGGGCCGTGAAGAGGAAGATAAAGAAAGCAATGAGCGGTACCCTCGCGCTAACTCCCGTATCGATTAGGAAACAGAATCCAGCTGCGAGCAAGCACCATGCCATGTTCGGGAAGGTCACGAGGAGGAGGTTGCGCCGACCGAACGTATCCATAGTGTACACGGCCGGGATTGCGAATACAAACATGATCAGACCAAAGCCCATAGATACCAAGAGACATTCCTTTGGACTGTATCCCGCCTCGGCAAAGATGGTTGAGGAATAGAAAGCCATGATGTTAATTCCAGAGAACTGTTGTGAGATGACAACAACTGCACTGGCGACAGTGGCGCGGCGGAGTCGAGGTACTGTAAGAAGATCCTTGATACGACTACTGAGCGAAATACCAGCAAATGCGTTGTGTTCCTCGGAGATTTGGCAATGAGCGTAGTAGAGTTCTCGCGCTGCAATGACCTCAGTGTTTCGAACACGGCAGAGAGCCTTAAATGCTTCTTGATATCTTCCTCTTTTCAAAAGCCATCTTGGAGACTCAGGGCAGAACCAGACAAATACGACAATGGGTATAGCCGGTACGAAGGCTGCAGCTAACTGGAAGCGCCAAGCAAGTTCCCCAATACGGAAGAAGATGAGGTTCGAACACTGCCCGATGAAGATTCCGAACGCTACCCATAGTTGGAAGCTTGTGACCATTCCACCACGGATAGATGCAGGGGATATTTCTGCGGAATAGATTGGGATCGTGGAGATTTTCACCCCCATGCCCAAGCCCATGAAGAGCCGACATAACAACAAGCCCCACCAGTTTTGCGTAAACGCTTGAGCTAGCACAGGGAAGATACAGAAGAGGCCAGTCAGGAAGATGGTACCCCGTCGTCCTAGTGCGTTGTTGATCGGGTCGGCTGCCCACGCACTTGCGAGTCCAAAGAGAGTAGGTCCAGAGTTAATTACACCAACGAGCCAGGTATCGTGCTCGATACCGAATTCCTGTGGAAAAGAAAGATTCTACTCCGCTGTTAGCGAGGAAATTACCGAAGTTTATAGTGTGAACTCACTGCGCCATTCGCACCCGTATTGTCCCATCCTTGAATCGCCGAGCCAAGTGAGCACAAAGCAATGGCATAGTACAAATCTTTTGGGAGATGCCATCGGTGGGTTGTTTCTCGGCGGATGTGGTACTTGTCCTCCTCAAGTAGCTCGGGAATGTTCTCGTAGTCGGTCGGCTTTTGAGCAGCTAGTGCACCCTTCCAGAATACCTCCCTTTTCTCTTGAAATCCCCACGATTCGCAGAATGCATCGACCTTGTCCCGGAGATTGTCTTTGGGAATTCCGGCCAGTGGATTAACAATCTTAGCGTTAACATTACGGGTATAGTCGATAGCAGCATCGATGTTCTCAGTAGTGACAATGTTGTCAACCTTGTTGTCGGTAGAATGAATGCTAACGGAAGCCATGATCGAATGATGATATCCCAGGAAGATGGTCAGTCTTCTCTAGAGAAGAAAGAAATCGCTGTTGGAGGAATATGGGCCTTATATAATTATGCATTTTACACGGAGAAATCGGCGGGAACAAAATTGGCCTTCTGGCCTAGTAAAATGCCCTGTGTGCGCTCCCTGACGCCAGACAGGAACTTATTCAGTGGCTGGCTTGACACAACGTGACCAACTTGCCACATGGCTAACATTTTGGGCCTAGATCGTGCATAGAAACCTGGGGGACCCCGTGGGGCACGCTCCGATTCCTTTGTTTCCCCAATGGCCCTGTGTGCACCCGCTCGCCAAGACGCGAATTACTAATTACAAGGCGTGAGACAGGAGGGGGATCGGCGCCGAGAGTCCCTTGCGGTTAAGAATCTAGGGACCATGTATTTTTTTGATGTTGTATCAAAATGAGAAACTCTCGCATATTGAACGTTTCACAGGAGAGAGAACGCTCCCCGGAAATGGAGGAGTGTCAAAATCAGGACCAATGCAGAACATGGGAAACTCTTCGGTGTCAGATCGATAATTTCGCCGGGAATAAGACCGAGAGACTCAGTGCCCTGTGTGCGACAGCCGCCAGATTTTCCGACTCCACCATGCCCTGTGTGCAGCGCCTGAAACAAACACCCAGCCATTGGCTAACTCATCTTAATAATTCTTCACGCTGACGCAACTGTGCCCAACAAGCAATTTTAGGCCAACCAAGTTCTTGTGCGGCCTGAGATCGCTAGAAAATCTCCACAAAAACTTGGCAGTGCCCTGCGTGTGCACCATTGTTGATAGAGCACGTGGGTGCTTTCGCAAAATGCCATCGATATATAGACTCCAACAATGTCGAGATAGCTTCTATCAAGAAAACTCCATTTAAACTTCCCAATCGTTGAATCCAACACCTTTAGCACATCTCTCTATATCAAGAAAATGGGCAGTGTTGAAACGCAATCATGGCTGCAGAAGCTCGAGGAGCAGTGTAAACCACCTTCCACCTAGTTTCAAGACTTCCTCTAACATAAGCAGTGAATGTCGATGTCGACTGGATGGACCCAACATACTCCAAGAACCTCCAAATCATGCCAAATGACATGACCAGCAATAACCTTTGGGTCAATATTCAAATGTCACACCCCAACAACAAAGAGCTCTTCAATAGTTCTGTGAAGGAGCTGAAGAACGAGGGCTGGCTCGCTATCTACAATCGCATTGCTGTTGGATTGTGCAAAGCGAATATCAATAATATCAAGGGTCGTGTAGCGCTGCAGGTAGACCCCCACGAGGCGTACAATACCCAAGCTGTATTAGACCACGCTCGCGCGTATGCTCGTGAATTCGAGCGAGCTGGAATCCCGAAGACGAGGTATTTCATCAAGATACCATCCACAGGACCGGCATTGAATGCTGCACCCGCCCTGGAGGCCGAGGGAATTCGCACCCTCGGTACGGCGTTGTTTAGCTTGCCGCAAGCCATTGCGTGCAGCCAGGCCGGAATGCTCTACATCAGCCCGTACTATAATGGTAGGTGTAGTTTATTGGATATCGTGGCAGGAAACTAACATAGAAACAGAAACTCGAGCGCACGACGATCTCAGTCTATGGCCAAATGTCGAAGATCCTGCGACTCAGCACACCATGTCTGCGCGTATTATCCACATTCTAGAGACTTATAAGCGACTGTACAAAGAGACGGGCAAGGATCAGCCTCTTCTGAAGAATGCGAGGTGCGACATACCGTAGAAGTGAGCAGAGTCCTTGCTGACTATTATAGCTTTATTACGCCTAAAGAGGCGATGGCCGCTGGGGAGATGGGATGCCACTCGGCGACGATCTCTCACACAGTACTGGATGAATTGGCGAAGCTCCCTTATGATGGATCCAAACAGCCGGGAGAAGGGGTTCCAAAGCCCGCTCATGCATACAAGAACGCTCAGCCGACGCCGGAGCGGCTGAAGATATTGTCTAACGTTGACCCGTTGGCGGCTGCGGATTGGGATGGGAAGCTTGCAAGCACCGACATCGACTATCTCGCTAACAACGGCGCGGAGCTTGAGAAGGCCATTGAAAAGGATCCAATCACGGTCCAGCGATTAGATGATGCTCTGAAGCTCTTCCAAGGAGGGATTAGCGAGAGCAGGGGAAAGATCGAGGAAGCCATGAAGAAAGTATAGATGATCCTTTCACGCCAGGAGTTCGGAAGGCGCACTCCTCACGTGCGAAAGGCAGACTGCTGGGGATAGATGTCTGTGTGGGGGAATAGCCCGAGGGGTGGATCGAGGGAATCATAAATAAGGTTCTCGAATAGAGCAATATGATCCTGGGTTCCTCCAGTGGCCCCAGACTTGAAATGATCAAACATTTGGCAATCCAATTCACTACCTGAGACATCTGCAGTGACTGCAGGCTTGATTGGATTCATGAGATTAAGGCTAAGTGAAAGATTGTCCGATGGTTGGCTGAGATCGTGGCCATGTTCTACCCCAAGAATGTTCCCGGTGTGGAAAACTCCCGTGCTAGGAGAGCCGTTCAAGGCAGCAGGAAAATTCAGGGATCCGTCCAAGGTCTGGTCAACCGAAAAGGGCACCAGCTCCGGTATCTGCCGTTGCGGGCACACTTCTTGTGCTAGAGTATCCTTTAATACAGGCATATCTAAAACGGGAAGGTCATGAGCATTTTCGGAGACCTCGTGATCGTCACTGGACCCATCCTCGATTGGATTGTCACCAAAACCATTAGGGAAGGTACCGAACACCTCGTTTTCCATGTTTAGAAATCTCTGCAGTTGCTGGCCCATTGGCCTAGCGTTCCTCCGCGCTACTGGCGCTCCGTTTGCTGATCGCCACCGGTTCACTTCTGCGAGTAGTTCATCTCGTTCCGTTAAAATTTGGCGAACCTCTTGCGCAACAGACAAGCACATTTTTCTCTGGGTTATATGTCGAGCGATGCTTTGCTCAACAATCATGTGCTTGTTAAGTCGCCGTGTTCGAGCCAACGAAGGCATCTGCTTCGCGAGATCCTGCTGTTATGAGCAATGAAGGAATGAGAAGTTGAGAATGCGGCGAAAATAACTTACTATCAACCTGTCATTAAAAGCTTCACGTCGTGATTTTTCGAAGACTCGGTGAGCAGCCCGATCCTCGGGTGTCCACACCCGTACACGCTTCTTCTTGGTCGCCATTTGCGAGTGGCTGAGGTCACAAACGAACGGCGTCCGGTGTCAAATCAATCTGGAATGGGTAAGGCAGTCATACGAGGCCCGCTGGACGATAACGAAGACGTCAGAAGTTCAATGTCGGAGGCAAGATTGAGGCGAGGACAGGTGGAAGGGAATGTTCGACCTCGGAACTTCGGGGACACTTGGCCCGAAGGAGAAAAGAATGACGCTGCATCTGACTCATGACTTCATCTCGACTCTGATCGAGACAGTCAGTCCAACTTCTTCATCGGCCTCTGGGTGATATCGTTTTGCTATGGACACTCAGCTGATGCTTCAATTGGCCCAGCCAGACTTCGGGAAATCACATCGTTCCTACAAGATAACGACTTGTTCACGTGAGGCATAGTAGAGATATTTTTACTGCGTAAAGCAGTGTATAGCGGCGCCTTCCATTTGCCAAAGGTTCAATTAAAGTTTTCGATTGCATTTTCAATGCAAAACTTGAATATTGTTGATGAGGGAGGGAGTCAAAGCTGACAGTATGTGCTCTACGCAGACAGGATGAGAGACCTACGGCTAAACCCTGTTCACTAATCACCACCCAACTTTTGTTCCAGACGAGAAACGCAGGCAACGCCATCATTACGCAAGGTGGCTTTTCCACGACACCTTCAAATTAGCCCATTAAAGCCTAAACTACGAAGAATGCGATCCCATTTACCAATCGGCGAGTTGGAGATGGACATAGATATCGTCCGCCGCTCGTATCTCTATTAATCACTGTACATTTGAGCGGAAGGGTTGTAATCGCCAAGAGCTGGAAATACCGATTCCTACGACAGGCAGCCTAGGCGGAGTGGGCTTAGCGGAGCTTGAAGACACTTGGAAGGCAGGAAGAGGGCGAGCTGTGACGGGAGGGCTGAAGAGATGTTACGAAGAGGTGGTGGGACACGCGTCTGTTGAGCAAAAGGAATCCGCGGGTTGCGATGAGGGCGAAGAGGGGAAGGGAGTAGTGTGTATAAATCTATAGATGCGACAACCTTAGAAGAACAAGAAGCATCGATCCTTCAAATCAACAACGCCTACTCATACGCCGGTCTCAGCTTTCCAGAACCGCCACAACAACCACAGCTAAGAATGACCAAGCTCATAACCATCTTTGGCGCCACCGGCGCTCAAGGATCCTCGGTTCTTAATTCCCTTGCGTCAAACACCTCCCATCCCTTCACTCTCCGCGGTATAACCCGTAATCCATCTTCCTCCTCAGCTCAAAAGCTTGCAGCTTCGGGGGTCGACGTCGTCAAGGCAGATGGCTGGGACAAAGATTCCCTAATTTCCGCATTCAAAGGAAGTTGGGGCGTATTCGTGAACACTAATTCTGATGACGCCGTGTTCGAGAATCCGGATGAGAAGAAAACGGAGTTCGATCTCGGTAAGATCATTGTGGATGCAGCTGCTGAAGCGGGGGTACAGCATTTTGTGTACTCCGGAATGGCTTCTGCAAAGGAAACCTCAAAGGGGAAAGTATCGGTTGATGCATTTGACCGTATGGCGTGTCCCGTCTTCCCCTGTTCCACGTTCTTTTTTCTGACACAGCCATAGACAAGCACGCCATTGCCGTCTATGCGCAATCCCTCAAGACCTTCAAAACTGTTGCAACTCCCAGCGCAGGATGGTACCTAGAGAACTTCCTGCTTGAGGATATGGCCCCAATCTTCGGTGGGTTTCCTTTCATACCCTCCGAGAACGGAACTTTAGTCTTCCGGTCTCCACGTTGGGGTGGAAAAGAGGATGTGCCATTCATTGCAGTGGGTGATGACTTTGGCGACATTGTGCATGGGATTTTCTTAGAGCCGGAGAAGTGGAATGAGGCGTTAGTGCAAGGCGTCAGTGATGTGAGGAGTTTCCAAGATGTGGCTGCGGCGTATGAGAAAGGTACGTCCCCATTATTCCATTCTAGATAATGGTCAAGATGTTGACAGATACAGCGACTGGAAAGAAAACTGCGTTTGAAGAGATCTCGAAATGGGAGGATCTGGAAGTGTATGGTATCCGAGCTCTTGAGACCGTTAAGGGGATGTTTGGTTTTTGTCAGGAATCTGGGGGGCGCTATTATGGAGTGGAGAACGAGAAAGCAACGGCTGCGCAGTTAAAGAAGAGAGCCGCCGAGGCAAGGGGACAGACTGGTGAGGAGACGAAGTTGATGACACTCGAGAAGTGGTTTGAGCGGGGCTTTGGGCAGAAGTGAGCAGCTTGTGTGAGCGTTGTGTGTCATTTTCGTTCTTCTTGTACGGCTGGTTCACTGTCATCTAATACTAGTCACTATTGGTCTCTGAAGTAACGTTTGGGCCGCACACCGGCACATAGTCTAGCAGTGAAGACAAATGTAACATCTAGGCTCCCGTAGTCTTTGTGATAATTCGGCAATAACCAAGCTTCTAGACATCCGGTCGCAGGGCTGGCTGCACAATTATGCGAGTAACATTGTATCACAATGCAAGCGCCCGCGGTAACCACTAATTCAGACCTTAGAAGGAAAATTCCTAGTCAGTTGCACAGACCAATTTAGCCAAAAGAATCGAAGATTTTGGATCAGCCGTACGCTTCTCCTTCACCTTCATCAGATGCTTTCATGATTTCAACACCCATTTGGGTATTCTCTCACAAACCATAGTGAGCGGTATCCGGTGGTGACTCCGTGACCCTGTGTAGGCGGGAGATGAATGTTGTAGTCCCGGAGCAGGTAACCTGGAAATGTGGCATCACTTCGGCTCTTCGACGTTGGATAGAATAATCAGATGGATGAGAAAATTGAGAAACTCGTGCCGTGCAGATTGATCGTGCTATCCCTTACAGCTGTACCAACAACCTCATGTATGTAGCGGGAATAATCCAGAGAGCTAGTTGATAAGCGCTATACTCCAGCCGTATCACGGCACCCTCGGGCCATAACTTTTCTCTCTCGCTTCTTGCATATCTCGTTCTCGTACGCCACAATCATGAAGTTTCCCAACCTCATCATCCCATTCCTGAACATGGTCGCGGTCCTGCCGCTTGTTTGTAGTCACGCTATCCAAACCCCATTCACTCTTAATATCTCCGAGGCCCACACTATCGTCAAGCACTGGAATCTCCCAAAACCACTAGAAGACGAGACGTGGGCGAAGTTTGTGTACAAAGGAAACACCTTGGCGAAGATGTTCTCCGCCGACGATGCCGGTGCTAGCGCTTTGTTCGATCCTTTCCTGGGTTCGGCTGCTAGCCGCTTCACCAACTTCCCCAGTACGTATCCCTTGCCTCCAAAGGCAGCACAAATTTAAACTAACTCCAGCGTGGCCAACAGTACGTAGTACGTTACGTTTAAGCTTTTTTCTGCTAGTAACTTCTTAATTTAGTAGTACTTTTATACGTAAGCAGTAAATTAATTAGCAAGTACATAATATAACAGTAACTTCTTAAAATTCTTATACTTTTGTACTTTTTATAAGAAGTTTTGTTAGTCTAGGTTAAAATTATTCTAGAAGAAGCTTTTTAGCCTAGATAAGGTCCTCTAGAGTAGTTAATTTACTTTTTATAGCTCTATAACATAACTAGTTTTTTTAGAGCTGTAGAGCCTTAATTATACAACCTGCTAAGCAGTTTTTATTAATTATAACTGTTCTCTTACTTTTAGAGAAGGCTCTCTTACAGTTGCAGCTTGTTAAGGGTATATAGAGGAAATTAAGGGCAATTTTAAAGAGCGTAGGGTAGGAGTAACAACTAACTTTAAGCTACTAAGTAAGAGGTAATTAGAATAGCAGAGATCCCTTTTTAGCTAGAGAGAGGTCTTTAATGTAGCTGTTATAGTATTATTAAACGCTAGTAAAGTTGTAGATCTTTCTCTTTCTTATTACCCTCTATCTCTAGCTTGTTAGGACAACTCTAATAAGCAGAAGGATTAAGATAAGGCTGTACGCCTGCTGCAATAGAGGAATTAAGACATCTAGCTTATTATAACAATTAATAAGATAGGTAATAGGTTAGCAAATAAAGAGGTATAAATGTCACGGTTATGTTACAGCTATCCAACCCCTGAGTACCCTAAGGGCTTGGCACGGGGTATATAGGCTCCTCGGCCTCCGTACCTCTGCCTCCGACCCTAAGGTTTACTCTCGTTACCCCCCCTATCCTGCATTCCCTCTCTGTGACCTGTGTTTCCTGCTCGATACCTCTCACAATAAAATAAGAAGCTTTTCTAGGGCAAAAGTTAACTATTTTTATAGGGGGCTATTTAGCACACTAATTAGGCTACTGTGCTATAAAATGCAGAGTTTTATCTAATTGTTACTTTAAAATGTAACCTTAAACAAAGCTTTTAATGTAATAGCTAATAGGGTCTAAAAACAGAAGAGAAATCTCCTAAAATATAACCTCTCTAACCTGTACTACAGGACGTACTTAGCAATTTACTGTACAAAAGTTACGTCTCACATTTTGACTACTTTTGTACGCCTCACGTGATTACTACGTTCACGTAGTTACGTTACGTACTACGGACTGTTGGCCACGCTGACTAACTCGGTTACCATAAAGGCGAATTCGCCAAGTAGGGCTACATTCAGAGCCAGGATACTAACAGGGATCTGTCCGAATACCATTGTGGGCTGCATGATATGATGATCTATCTTCGAATCTCCTCCTCGAAGAAAGATTGGACCTTCGCTACGCTCGACCATGGAGAACGCAATCCCAAGCCACCGGCGCTATCGATCGATCAACAGGCCTACATGGTCAATAGACAGCCTCGACCCGTAAGCTGGAATAGATTCCCTAGTAACACGCTGCTGAAAGATAATACAGGTCACTGGTACGAATTATATCTCTCCAATGAACAGCAAAGGCGGTAGTGGGTAAGTGAAAGCTTGTTACACAAGTAATACTGTGGCTAACCGTTTTCAAAGTTATTATTTATGCAGCTTCGTACAGGCCGCTCCAGCCTGCTAATGCAAAGACGAATGTCATGTGACATTGTAGAGAATGTTCTGCTTAGGCAGTCTCACCATGATAATTGCCGAACCTTAGGAAGAAAAACATGCTTGAATGAGAAGAGACGTGATATAAATTTGGATCTGGGGTATTAGGGCCACCGAAAGAATCGGCCATCCTGAGAAAGGCGCATCAAGCCTTCGAACTGCCTCTACAACCTGAGATCAGAGCCGAGCTCTTTCTCCAGAGGGTTCAGCAAAGCACAAAGTGGAATTGACATCGATACCGGTGTTCCGAATGGGCGCCGCAGGTTTGTGTCAGTGGCCAAGAGTAGGTCGTTTATGCCAAGCCACTAGCAGCGGATCAGATAAAATTTGCAGCGGATCAGATAATTATCTCGGCCTAGCACCCTCCTCCTCACCAATCAACTCCATTCACTCCCAATCACAGGCCCTTCGGTGCCTGACCTGTGGAGTCAACATGGTCAAGGGATCTAGTTGCTGGGTCTGATTGAATGCCGGTCGCCGATGTCGCTGTTCACTCCACTACAGCCATAAAAGCGGAGCCACCCTCGCCAGTGAGGAGACTATCTCATCTTATCAGATCATCAACCTATTCTGTCATCTGTACTTTCCATCATGCATCTTCCGAAGCTTATCGATGCATTAAATACGCCTAGCCCTCTCGCAAATCTTTCGATTTCATCGTCACACCGAGTCCTGGTTATTGGAGCAGCATACGGTGGCATCTCTACCCTTCTTAACCTCTTTGATCTATCACAGGGTAAGGTTCGGGAGAGTGCTTATCCACTTCCAGACTTCAAGGGCCAGAAGCCCGAGAATGAAGTGGAGATCACGGTCATTGATGAACGTGATGGATTTTGTACGTAACATGTCATTCACCTCTACACACCTCCGAGCACTGCTTTTTCGCCTGACTCTTCTTCTGCAGTTCACTCAGTTGGAGCACCCTTAGCACATGTCTCTAAAACATACACATCAGCAATGTGGAAACGTTACTCTCAGCTCAACGAACTCCGACATCCAAATCTGCACTTCAAACATGGTTCAGTGCAGAAAATCGATCCTGAAGTCAAGATTGCGGAGTATATCGACCGAAGCGGACAGTCTCGGAGGCAGAGATATGACTACTTAATCATGGCAACTGGATTGAAGAGACATTGGCCAGCGGTACCAAAGAGCGGCAGCTATGCCGAATATGTACGGGATGCCCAAGTGCTCATTGACAAGATTACTGGGAATGGCCGGGTGCAGGAAGAGAGAAAGGTAGTGATCATTGGCGCAGGTAAGTTGGGCAACAATTTTTACTAACGTCCTCAACTTACATGGCTTAGGGGCCGTTGGTGTGGAGTTCGCTGGAGAGATCAAAGCCAACTACCCATCCTTATCAGTCACCTTAGTCCATTCCCGCAGTGAAGTCTTGTCCTCCGAGCCCCTTCCCACCGAAGTCAAAGAACGCGTGAAGCTACTACTGGGGGAGGAGGGAGTTGATCTTAAACTCGGAAACCGTGCTAGCGTCGCGGACCTTTCAGATGGCAAATTCCTGGTCACGCTTGCCAACGGCGAGAATATTATCGCAGACGTCGTTCTTGATGCTACCAAAAAAGGATCCCCAACAACTAACTGTCTTCCAGCGGAGTGCCTAGATGACGAGAATGGGATCAAAGTCAACTCGTACTTGCAATTCTCGTCATCTATTCCGAATGCGTTGTCACATTTCGGTGTAGGCGACGTCATCACTTGGTCTGGTATCAAGCGGGCAGGTGGTGCGATGGTAATGGGGCAGGTCGCTGCCACAAACGTCTACGCCTCAATCCTCAATTCTGAAAACGTAACGTCTAAGCCTTTTCAGCTAGGGGAGCTACCCGAATATCCTGTCGTCATCGGGATTGCTGTCGGTAAGCAGTGCCTAACGTATGATAGCAAGCAGGGAGTCAAATGGGGAGTACAACTGATGAAGGACTATTTCCAGGACGATTTGGGATGGGCATACTCCCTGAAGTATCTCGGGCTGACCGACGTGGATGAGAAGGGTGAAGACGCAAGTAAGCATACTACCGTCGAGATCGCGGAAGCGAAAAGGGTTGGTCCCGAGCCTGTTCCAGCTGCTGCTGCGTGACATATCTTGGTCGACCCTTTTCTTCATGTACCTCAATAACTTGAAACCCGACTTATTAAAGAGTGTTAGATCAATTTTCTTTTTCTCCAAAATAGTGACTGGAGCCTAACAGGTATATTCGAATTAAATTATCTCCATCGGTCTGCGTAGTAGTACCTGGCTTGCAAAGAAAATGCTATTGGACAGGGTAGAACTTCTTGGAAGCCTTACCATTCGTGAAGACTCCGATAATAGGTAACCAAAAACCATTTCAAGACCCAATTCTGCGCCCTTTTAAAACTCTCCCTAATTCAAACAAGAGGTGTAATTAATCGAATCCTACGTGTCAATGTTCCCTAGTAGATGTGAATGTGCTGTGGTTCGTTTCACATCCGCCCACCACCAATTATGAAGCGAGGTACCCCCCAGCCGCAGGTGAGTGATTACTAGGAATCGAGAAATAGCGAATGCATGACCAAGTGTTATGAAAGTTTTGTGCAGGTACCAATCATGATTAGAGATGGTCTAAAGAAAAGAAAATTCCGTACAGCGCACATGCTAAACAGATGAAAAGCTATAAAGGTTGCACAATTGTAGACGAAAGGGAGAGTGATAAGGCATCCAGGCCTGCGGTTGCTCCCACCCTTTGTGCGTGGCAACCAGGTGGATGCCGCTCATCATTAATCTATCACGCAAATTAGCTTGCGCAAGAACGAGGTATTACCCACACGTACGATCCTAAGTGCAAGGCTGCTGTGCTTACGGGCATTTGCAAGGCTCAAGCCACAACTCGGGTCCCAAGCAATCTGACATCTCCCATCGATAATTACTGTGGTAGATCATCCTTCGACAACAGTGCCACCCTGGCCGAGTCAGCCTGCAGGACATCCCTTGCAAGCCATGTGCTTAGTTGAAACAGGCAATGCATTTGATCTTTTCTGCGCCTAATTTGGCAAGTCACCCTAGCACTCCTAGGCGGCTGCACGATGAGAAAGGAAAGACTCTGCTGCACAATTAGCAACTCAAGACAGAGTGTGGAAAATCTGAAGGCACTGTCCATCGTAACAGCAGCATCAGTGGTAATTAACTATAAAGGTAGGGCGACTGCTAAACACCGTAGGCCCCCAAACTATCGGAGATCTCGACCATAAGTTGGGTGAGTTAGATTCTAGGTCTGCGAGCGGCGAACTACGCGGAACTTTTCGAAGACTCTGGCTCCCGTCTTCCGCGCATGGTTGTCCACCATGTCTGTGCGTTGCAGATTTCGGCAGGGATGTCGATTAAGGAGCTATGCAAGTACAGCTTAAGGCTGTGGTGAGTGTTCACCGAGGGCTGCGTGAGGGAGAACTTTAGGTTGCACAAGCGAGAAAGGTAGGCGCCACAAGTAAGAATTAAAGAGTGCGAAAAGGAATGAGAAAGCAGTCGACGGGTGCTAAAATACCCAATTAGCTCTGTAAAGCGCGCCAGAGCGTGAGGAAGCGAGAGTTCGTAACCCCAAGCAGACAACGAGGAGACGAAATTCTCGAAAAGGTGCTTAGATTGAAAAGGGAAGCCGAGGATGGACAAGGACGCAGAAGGCCCCTCGACGATCGCCCCAGCGGACTGGGGTTCAGGGTGAGAGTTTCGACATAGAGCGTCTCGAAAAAAGACGTCAAGATTGAGATACGCTAAGATCTGGAAAAGACGCTAACATTGTAGATACAGAGATCTTCGAGAGCTTGCAAAATTAGCTCCCGTGTAAAATATAGCTATAAACAATCCCCATTGCTACCACGGTCAGATAAACAAATTCCCTTTACCCAAGAGATGGCTGCTACAAAAATGCCCAAGTTTGCCAGCAACTCTCGTTGTTAAATGCATTGATAGCAAGATCACCCACCTCCCCTACGTGAATAAATGGCTACCACAAATATCTACATGGTGCCCTGCAAATTGCGCTTTCAAAAAAGCTCTAAGTAATTGATATTGCTACCAGTGAGTCAGATAAACAGCTTCCATGCACATGCCTGCAAAGAATAGGCGAAGGCGGTGATAATACACTGGATTTGACGAGTCTGGTGTGGTAACTACGGCTCCCTCACCTGCTCGTACGTCTCGGCCGTCTCGAGTGCTTCCGCTGCTCCTGCCGTCATCTTGCTAAGGCTTGGCCCACGCCCGCCGTTGCTGCTGACTACCCTGCAAGGGCGTTCTTGTCTTTCCGGTAGGCCAAGCGTTGTAGGCTCTAGTTGGTGTGCGATCGGCCGGGATTGGTGGCAGAGGTGCTGCAGGAGCAAATCTTGAATTTCAGGCGTCCTTGCAGTTTCCAGCCTCCAGCCTTGTGAAGCTAGATTGAGGGTGGTTCTTTGGCTGTCGCTATGGGGTGGAAAAGTAATCAATCTCCTTTGAGCAGAGGCGAACTTTTACCAAAAACAACGGCATGCCTGCCTTAAATCTCTACTGACGAAATGGGACTAACAAAAGCGCAGTTTCAGCTTAAGCGAGCCAAGACGAAGATGCAGAAAACGGCTGATTGGGAGCTCGAGCCGAAATAGGGAGTGTGAGGTTGGTGGCGCTTGACACACCGGTCTTGAGGTCGCAATGACCTGCATACGAACGTCGTAGTGTTAACCAATTTAACCAATCAGCGATGCGCCGACCTATTCGTCAGCTGTGGACCTATTCGCTAATCATCAGTCCGATGCGCGCTGGTTTGTACAACCTGTGAGTGCATAGAAGTGGGTTTTATTTGACAACAGCTGAGTAGAGAATATTGATAGAGTGAGAAATCCTCTGTGGAGAGGTGGGTTTGTATAAAAGCCTGCTCCCATCTCTCTGCGAGCACCCACTGGCTCTATCAAAACTTCCTGATAGCCTATGCCTTGTCTAAATTTACATACCTGTTCTAAACCGTTTGAGTATCAACACTGCCACTCCCTACCCTTGGGGATGAGCACATGATGTCTAACCAAGGAGAAATGCGTCCTCAGGGTCAATCCGACCCTAGCAAGCTGTATGTCCCTTCGTGGCACTTCTTCTCATTCCCTTCCGTCTTGGCAATTTACCATTCGCCGGCTGATACACGTGAATAGACATAATAGTACCCAAGCTGAAGTTAGCAAGGAAGGAGTTTGCGGGCTTCCTAATCATTCTCCCTCCTCTCACATCCACACTTGGGTCAAAACGGACAGCATTAACGGGAACCGCTCCGAACAACCCTCATCTCAACCAACTACAACCTCGACTGCCCCCAACCCACTCCAAGCCCTCACATTCGCGAACCTTGCAGCACTCAACCGATGCTACAATGACAAGTTTGGCAATCTTGCAGATATCTTAACAGCATACAAACTACGAGAGAAGAATAACGTGGCATGCAAGGAATATGGTGTCGAAGTCCCTGACTGTTGTGTGCCCGGTCAACATCAGGGGAAGACGCCGATGGAGAACTGGGTGGAATCTAGGTGTGATCCTGGGATACTGTCTCATTGCTCCTACAATGGCCGGAAGGAGGATTTGGGTGTGGAAGAGGCTGTCGAGGAGGAAGAGCAAGAACGTGATGGTTGAATGCTAGTATAAGCCATAGACCAAAACGGGGTCTTAGAGGGGCCGTTGACTTTGGGGTAAGAGTTACTAGAACATCCGCCTAAATTTTTCTTTCCGACTTTAGTTCAATCCATTATATGAGCCGACTCGCGGGAAATATGGAACTCGTGCCGTACCAACGAGGAAGCGACGTCTTTTCCTGGTCAATCAATATTTTGTCTGGGAATGAGAAAAGATCTCCGCTATTCATATGTTTTGCCGACCAAAAATTACTCAAGTTGACATTAAGCCAGCCAAGAATTTTAGGGTTCTATGTTTGGGATCGCCGCCAATCTTCCGTAAAGGCTCTGAAGCTATTGTCGTTGGAGTCGGTTTGCCTGAACGTTGGGTTTTGGGTTTGGTAAGAATGAATGCCGTCCTGTAGTGCGAACAGTAATTTTTTGTCGCTGTGCTGGACTTCTCTCGTTGGTGATGAATCAAATTACTGAATGTCGAAGACTGCCGTCCATTGCAACCATTCTCCCAGCACTGAGGTTTCAGTTGGGCACGTCGTATTCAAGCCACAACACCCTAACTCACGCAAAAAGCTCTGCGATTAGAGTTTCCGTACAGAAATAGGGACTACACATCCACCTTGCGCTTCAGCACCTTCCCGCTGTCACAACAGCACGCTTTCGCGAACATCCCAATGCTTACTGCTGTACTTGGAGGATTCCGTGAAGACATAAGGAAAGCTTGGCATGTTGATGCGAACGGAAGATTGCAAGCTGGGCCTTCGAACGAGCTACAGTAGATTATGTGGACCTGGATGGAAAATGAGATTATGTATAAATAGGACTGCATCCCATCACATAAGGTAGGACTTGACAGATGTAATTCTTGACAGGAAAGTTTGCTACCTCTGAATGTACTCCCCAACTCTAGCGCGAGATTTGACAAATAAACTCTGTTATATTTGTGTTCCATGTGAGGTGATGACATGCTGTAGTAAATTGAAAAAGATTGCTTGAACTAAATCCTTCCCTGTATCAAGGATAATAGCTATTAGCTAGTAATAAGATCATTCTGCAAAGGGTAAGATGGGCCTGGTGGGTTGTGATAACAATCCGATCGCCTCAGATAACTCCACAGCCGAGAATGCAATGAAGCTGCCCTACCTTCTCGAGATGTGGGCGATGCCTGTCGCGAAACTCGAAGCCAAGGAGGCGAGGAACGCTTGATCCGCAAAATTGCGAACCAACAAACCGGGCTGTGTTGGGCCTAGCGGATCCGCATGAGGAAACTTGCAGGGGAGACCTATTGGCTGGAGGAGAGTCACGTGGGCGCTAAACCGCTTCCAGGCTGCGTTCATTCGTCCAACACCAAAAGATGGAACTCCAGGATGACCCAGAGAGTATTGGATCGTACGTCTTGGAAGTGCACAGATGCCCGCGGGCGGCACATAAGAGGCCGGTAAGCCGGGCAGAGAATATTTAACAGATGGCTGTTTCGTCCGGAACTTGGAGCTTTCAGACCTCCCTCTTTCCTTTTTTGGACGGTTTTGTTTAACTCTGAGCACTGCCTTTGTTTTAGCTCATTCGCAGCCCTAAAACCCTATTTTATTTTGTCGCGTCGAAATTTTGTCCTTTTTCGTTGTGATTCAGCAATTCCTCGAACATGGTTCCACAAGATACCGCTGCGAAGAGACAAAACTCATGCGGCATGGACCCAGATACAGCATCGTACGTGATCTTCGAGAGCTGGGTATTACCCTTCTTCGCCTTTGTTGAATAGCCGACTGTGTTATATGTTCTTCTCGCTTTTGATAGAAAAGTGTCATAGCTGACGCCCCTCCATCAGTGACAAAGCGACTTATTCAAGTTCGGTTCCTTCGTCAGATAGACCTAAGACGCCTGAAAAGACGATGAGTCAGAGGGGGGTTGATAGGACAAAGCGACTTCCCAATTCTCATCTGTCTTCAACGCCACTGACATTGTCGGCGTTATTCGCTCATGATACGTGGATCCAGGACGGTCCGACACAGGAGGAGCTAGAATCGAGAATTGTGGGGATTCAGAACGCTGCTAGGAGTCTTGGTTTTGATTTACCGCGCGGCTATCTAGCGCTGGAAAGATGGGAGTTGGAGTGCTGGACTGTCGCCCAAGGTCAGCTGTATGATCGTATCAGTGAATGAGTTGGCGGAAGGTATCCCTTTGAAGGATCGTTCGGAACTCGAACCAATTCACATACATGATCCTGAGTAGATTAGCTGCTGTAGTGCGTGAGATCAAAATTAAAGGGAGAATACCCTCAATCTGCGGTTGATGGCTCCAACATTTAAGCCTTGGTACAAATTCGATCCGAAAGCTGGTGATATAATATACGGCTGCGAGTCGCCCTCACAATAGCTTGAAGCCCATGCAATCTTTCGTCTTTTGTATCGGCCAAATAAAGTGAAGCGACTGGCCATGCGTGAATACCGCCTCTTTCTTCGTGAGCCTGAACGGGCACCCCGGCCATCCTTAGCAATGCAATGAGCGCTCGTGTCTCAGGGCCAAGTACCTCCTCGGACCCGTAAATGAAGTACCACCCCCTCTCCGGACTGGCGCGTGTCCACTTCATTATATCCGTACAGTTGCCAGGTGACACGAGTGGATCGTCGGCTGGTACTTTCGGTCCAATGTACTGACGACCGTAGAGATCAAGACTATTAGAGTTGAGGTAATCGCTAGCGGTGTTTCGGTTGTTCCGTGAGATAATTGTGACCCATGGGGAGATCATGATGGCAAATCCAGGGCTCTGGTGACGGAGTTCGGGGTGATCTGTGATGTAGAGAAGGAAACTAAGGATTAGGGTTGCACCTGCTGAATCCCCTCCAACGCAAATGCGACTCGAGTCCTGTGCGATAGAGAGCACGTACTTGTAGCCTGCTAGCGTTTCCTGTAATTGAGTGGGGTAAACGGCATCAGGGACGAGGGTATATTCTAGGGCAAATAACGCTGGGTTCCTGTACCCAGCATCCTTGAGCAAGCTTACCCATGCAAGAAGAAACTCCATGTAGAAGTAGCATGAGCCCATGGAGAAGCCACCACCTCGTGGATCATCAGTGGACGAAGCAGCCACTGATTCGACGTTGGATGCTCACCGTGGCAGTAGTAGACGACGATGTCGGGCTGTTCTAGTTGATTACTCGTAATCCATATCCCACGAAAGCCAGGCTGGGTGAGTTAGCTGCCATTTACAATCCAAGATCGGGGAGCTTACGCGGTCTATCTCGCTCCACGCAAGGGGTGAGGAGAGGAAGCCATGGCGGAGCATGCGAAAGCGAAGAAAGGGTAGTGCCACGGCCTTAGAAAAGAAAACACGTCCTAGAAACGCTGGCATGAAGGCAAATGCATATCGAACACAGCGGATAACGATGTCTTGAAAAAAGGTTGCCCGCTGCACAAATGGACTTCGGTATTCATAAGGAGTTAAGTATCGTTCTCGTACGAATTGATATGGAAGAATTAGGACTTGCATCGCTGTAAACATGAATATTTTAGACGATTGAGAGATCTGGTACGTACTCAACGATGGCAAAGCCCCAAGAAGCCATGTTGCTGTCCGCCAAATGCCGACATGGGTTAGTAATTGCGGTGCTAGGAAGATGAAGAAGACAGCGCAGTCGAGATATGAGATCTGACCTAGTATCATCGTCGATTGGCAGTGCGACACGTAGAGGAACAATGATGCTATTGCGGCGTTGGGCGAGCCATTGATGACAATCGATGCTAGCCCAGAACAGACTTGGCGCAAAGCCGAGGTTTCACCTGACTAGCAACATGTCGAGATGGCCGGTGAGAGCGAGGAGAACTTTTGGCGATGTCAAAGAGTGAAAGAAAGCTGGAGGAGAAAAAGCTGACAAGCAAGCAGGGCCGGTCAATTCACGTGACCATGGCTTGGCACCAGCTTGGCAACGCGCGCGGAGCAGTTTTCTAGCAAGCGACTCCTCACTCTCTGACCATCAGCAAACTCTCTCGCAACCCCAGGCATAAATCCTCCACCTCTTGGCCACGCTCGTTCGAGGGGCCTGCAGCTGAAGTCTCTCACTTATTTTCTCTCTCTTCCTTCCTGTTGCATGGCTTAAGCCTCGCGCTCCATATTCACGGTGGTTTTCCGCGACACAAAGGCAGCGAGCTTCCGGCAGCCTGTGACGGCGGACGGCCTCGCCATGGCCGACGCGGCAGCTGACCCCAAAGCTGCCCCACTCTCTGAGGAGCTACGGCAATATGCTCTGTGAGTTCCTTCTCTGTTGGTTGATGCCGCCGCTCACGCTCTGATAGCACCTTCTCGATCGAGTTGCTGCCCAAGAACTTCTCCTGCGAGCGCTGCAAGAACATCTGCTTCGATCCATGGAAGCTCCTTTGCTGCAATAAGTCCATCTGCTCATCATGTAAGCTTTCACTACTCCCCACATTGACCTCCCCTGTGCTCTAACGCGTCTCGCCAGGCCAGTCGGAGTTGACAAACGCCTGCCCGCTCTGCCAGCACGAGCCTCTCGAGGCTGACGGGTGTGTCGTGAACAAGGGCCTTCGCCAGACGATGCGTGCTTGGTTCACGAATAGGAAGAAAAAAGATGCCAAGATTGCAGCCTCGGAACCTGTGTCGACCCCACAAGCAAGTGAGGCTGCAGACAAGCCAGTCGAGAGCATCGAGGAAGCGCCCAAGGCACAAGCTGCAGCAGGCATCCAGCCCACGCTGGCTGGGGATAATGACGGTCAGGAGGCACAGCGGGGAGCTTCGTCCGCGCCCCGTCCTTCTATAGAGGTAATATCGCTTTCACCTGTACGTCATGGCATTGACTAACGCCGCGGCAGACATCCACTGCACCCCACGGTGATCATGCACAACGCCAGGGCAGTAGCATGTCCCAGACCGTAGTCCAGAGCACTGAGCCGACGTCGTCCGTCGAGGACCCCAGCGTTGCATTAGGTTCGATGGAGGGCACAGCGGACGGGATAGCTGGCAACACCGCTATGTTTGGCATGAACGGTGGGCAGGCATCGATTATGGGTGGATTTGGCTTCAATCAGACCCAAGGCAACTTCAACCCGATGGGCTGGAATGGCATGAATTCAATGAACGGAATGTCTAACATGATGGGCACCGGCAACTGGAATGCGTCGAACCCAATGGGTGAGTGTATGAAATGCTCTGATATTTCCTTTCAGCCTGCTAACAGGCCGCCTAGATATGTACAACTCCATGAACATGAACAATACCAGCATGCCCGGCATGCCCAACTTGACCAGCGGCATGTACGGCGGCTATGGTGGAAACATGGGCATGCCCGGGATGAATGACATGTCCACCATGAATATGATGGGATTCGGAGGCGGGTACGGGAATGGGTGGCAAGGTCAGATGAACAGCGCAGGCTATGGGAACTTCGACGGGTTCAACTCAATGGGTGGATATAATCAATCTGGGGCACAATACCCCCAGATGATGAGCCAATACCCCAACAATAATTATCAAAACCAGAATCGTTCCCATGCCCAAGGAGGAGCTTTTCCTAACCAGAAGAACTATGGAAGAGGCAATCAAGGCAGTTTTGGAAACCAAACCAGTGGTCCCGGTCGCGGATTCCAGCAAAATTCCCACAGTCGACCTGGAAGCCGTGCCGGACCCGCCGACAACGTACGTCGTTTTTCGTGGCACTATTCGGGTCCATCCACTTCAAGCCATTATACTAACGGGCCTTTCAACGCTCAGAATGCTAGTGAACTATCCGACCGAAACGCTGAGACTCCTTCCGAAGTCAAGGGCGAGGAGGCTGATGCCAAGGCTGATGCTGAGACCGCTGCAGGTAAGGTTGACGAGGGTGGGTCTCATGAATCTGCTCCATCGACGACACTAGCCGATGTCGCACCTTCGACAGATGGAGCAGAACAGATTACTGATTTGAATTCGGCAGATAATGATGTTCCGAATAGCGATGCGCAAGCCATGGGCCTCAACCCGATTCAGACTGTGGAAACAGTTGAAGAGGCCATACCTGAGACTTACGATCAAGAGATAACGAATGCGATGCAACCCAACCAATCATATCCTGCTGGAATGATGAATGACTATGCGAACCAAGCCTTGACCATGGATGGTCAGTACGGTTCAAGCATTGGATACAACCAGACTAGCTATGTTTCTCGTGGAGGCTACAACACCGCTTACGGGGCCGCCACAGTCTTGACAGGCGAGCCAACTGAACCACGGGGCTTGGGGGTGGAGGGTGCACCAACGGGCCCACGAGCCATGCGAGAGGGCCTGCCGAACACGGGCTATTCAAGTCGTGCAAACAATGCGAGAAGCAAGTACAATGTTCACTCGCAACCACCGGGTGCACCACAGGCGCAATCCGTGGATGCATCTAATTCTTCGGAGCGGGGAGAGCGAATTAAGACACCCGCAGGTGGTGACGATGCACAGGTGAAGGATATCTCACCATCACGGCCCCAGTCAGAGGCAGAACGAGAAAATCGGGATGACTACAGAGAGGCCTCTGCATCTTCAGATCGGTACCAGAAGCGGAAGAACCATGACCAGCCTGCAAGTCGCACACCAGAGGACGATTATGGTCGTCGCAAGGAACGACGACATCACCGCTCCTCAAGATACGATGAACAAGACGACAGGGTAGAGCACGCACGGGACGGAGAGTACGAAGAGAAGTGTCGGGATGATCGAGATGACAGATATCATGATGATAGAGAGGATCGAGATGATGCATCAGTCGACTCGAAGCACCGCAGCCGTCGCGAAAAGGAGAAGTCCCGTCAATCCCGCTCTCACCGTGACCGAAGCCGCGAGCATCGTCGCCGTCACCGATCACGCTCTCGGTCACCGTTCGTGGACGAGAAGTATGAGGATGAAGATGCATATGGAAATGGCGGGGCTATTCCAACAGAGTCAAGCACTCGTCGCAAGAGTAAGAGCGAGAAACACCGTGAGCGCGATCGATCACGAGATAGGGACCGAGACAAGCGAGACCGTCGGGACCGCGAGTATGATCGAGAGTATGAGTATGAGAGGGAGAAAGATAGGGTGAAGGATAAGGATCGGGACAGGAAGCGTTCGAGACGTGACCGATCAGCTGAGGCAGAGGAGGAACGAGCATATGAGGATAAACATCGCTCTTCACGTCGAAGCCGCAAAGATAAGGAAAGGGAAAAAGATCGGGAATACGATCGTGAACGTGAGCGGGAGTCTAAAGACACTATTCCCGCTGTTCGAGCAGCATCTCCACCGATCGATGCTCCAACCGGTCCAGCAGCAGACCAAGGTTTCTCGATCCGTGGACGTTCCAAAACCAAACACACACCAATCGACACATCGATGCCGCCCCCACCCAGCGCTCCCCGCGCCTTCAAACCTCCAACTGGACCGGCTGCTGATCGTGACAGAGGCGATCGCGGTAGCAATGCGAGGGACCAAGGTCGCCGGCGATCCAGCGCATCAATCCCCACGCCCACAACGCCCGTCACCCCAACCACCCCTACAGAAGTAAATCACTACGCACAAGAGCGCGAGCGCAAAGACCGAGAACGTCTCGCCCGTGAACATGGTCTCCACGGCCGCTCATCCACATCAACAACATCTGCTGCAACGCACGGTCAAGTGCCCTCCCGGCCCTCTTTGAGTTCAAAGCGCAGCCGCGATGACCTCGAAGAACCACTAGACTCCACTAGCAACACAAACAAAGACCGCAATGGCAATGACCAGGACATCGCTATCAACCCGCCAACCGGCCCGTCCGCGCACCGCGAAAAGCGTCGTAAGAGCGGCATGCAGGACGGAGCAAAGGGTATTTCGGATATGTTCACCAAGGGCATGCGGAGGCAGGCCGCCGGTGGAGGTGGCGGCCGTAGACGAGGAGGCGTGAAGACGGAGGGAGAGGCGAAGGCGGATATGGAGAGGGCGGAACGGGAGAGGGAAAGGCGTTGGTAAGTGATGCCCCTTGCCTTATCTGCCCTACTTGCCCGGTCGTAATTGCCGTACCTAGACGTAGTCAGGTGAGGTGGGTTTGGTGCGGTAGTGATGGGGCATTCTGGCGTTTTGGGGGTTTCTAGGGTAGTGGTGGAAGAATTGGGGGTTTCAGGGTTAGAGGTTTGAGAGGGGAGTTGGTGAATTATGGGTAAGGGGCTGGAATGCTCCTTCTTGCTGGACTTGCCTTGCTGGACTTACTGGATGCACATCCCAGGGGTTTGAGAGCGAGATGCTTGCGGATTTTTAGGGCAATTACTGTGTATTATAATACCCTAGCCAGCATGCAAAAATGAAAATCAGTTTGATGGCAACCTCTCTTTTTTAAAGCTAACTTGCCTTATTTGCCAAGAGATACTGTGGGAGAGATCAGGAACAGGATATGCACAGCTCTCTAGCCACATTTTCAGAGAGTCTTTAATGTCTTGTCCCATTAACACCCTGTAACCCCTGCCCAAGCTGACTTGCCACAACAGTCGCCTCCCTCACCGCCTTCGCAATCGTGCCCCTCACCGTCCCCTCCTCAAGCACCAACAACCCCCCAATCGTACACCCTCCAGGCGTCGACACTTTATCTCGCAACATGGCCGGATGCTCTCCATTCAACACCAGCCCCGTGGTCCCTCTCATCGTCTGCGCAGCCATCATCTGCGCCTCCGCCCGCGGCAACCCCATTGCCACCGCGCCATCTGCAACAGCCTCGAGCATGAGCGCGAAAAACGCGGGTCCAGAGCCACAGAGCGCGGTTGAGGCGTCCATTGCGGAGGCGGGGAGAGAGACGGTGCGGCCAATAGAAGAGAAGATCCAGGTTACGAGACGGAGGTGGGTGTCAGAGAGAGGGGGGGTGCAGGTCTGGATTACGCTCATGCTTTCCCGGACGAAGGAGGCCGTGTTGGGCATTACGCGGACGACCCTGCACCTCTTCCCCTCTACCGAAGTGTCTTCTCCAGGATACAAAAACCCCTCGATTTGTGAGGCTGTTACGCCCGCCAGAATCGAGACTAGAAGTTTCCCGGCTAATGCTTCTCTCATGCCCTCCTCCCCTAGTATATCTTTGAATCCTTGGGGTTTGCACGCGAGCAGCACAACGTCGGCTTTCCGCGCACCGGTGACGTTCTGGTTTGTGAGTGTGGTTAAGGGGAAGTTGTAGTGGCCGAGCGCGGATTTCACCTGTTTCTCGGCTTCGCGGCGGGAGTCGCAGGCGACGAATTTGCCAGGGAGGCGTTCGGGGGGTTCGAGGGCGGGGGTTGATGTGCCGGATGGGGATGGGGACGGGAGGTGCGAACGCATGTGGTGGGAGGCAAGGGTCGACATTACGCCACCGAGGATGGCGATGCCCATTGTGCCTGGGGATGTGAGTGGAGTGAACGGGGGAGGGGGGTGGAAGAGGGGAGGATGGGGGAAGTACCGCAGCCCAGGACGGTCAATGTTAGACCTTGGGATTCGGGAGGGAGAGACATGGTGGATTTCGGAGGTTGGAGGAGGGGTTATGAGGGTGGTGAGGCGGATTGAGGTTGTGGTTAGAGTTGAGGCGGCGAAATTTAGCAAGGCTGCAGGTGGGTGGGATGTTCGGCGAACAAAAATTACAGTAGGGCACAGACCAAGGCACAATTACGGTGAGGGATATGGACCTGTTCCGCACTACTGTCTCCGCCATATATACATAGCCAGCCCTAGCTTGCCTTCTGGCCTAGCTTTCAGGCCTAGCTTTCAGGCCCAGCTTTCAACCACACACCATCGATACAGCAATTGGAGTTCAGGAACTATGGCCGACCCCTTCGAAGTACGCATGCGGTTTACCAGCCAGCTACAACACCTAAATGCGTCTGTCACTTCGGCGCAGAAGGCAGCAAACTATGCGCTGAAGAATCGGGAAATGGATGAGGATTTGCATTCGTGTATATTGGAGCAACTGGAGAAGGTATCTTTTCTATCCTTCTTTCTCGTCCCCTCCTCCCCCCCCCCCCCCCTTCCCCTCCACCTACAAATCGCACATATCCCATCTACATATCCCATCCACATGCCCTCATATGCCAATACCCTTAAAAAGCGTACGGGGCTGACGGCAGTCTACCAGAACAACATGAACAACCGCGCCAACATAATGTACTTCATCGAACACCTCTGCGACCTAGCCCTCCGCGAACACCACCTCGACTACGTGCGCATGATGCAGCGCGACATTCTCCGCGTCATCGATGCCGTTGCCCCCGTTGACGGGTCCGGCGCCGCAAACGTGAAGGTTGTGCGACGCGTCCTGAAAGGCCTGGAATCGAAAAAAGTACTGCTTCCGGATACGGTTAGGGAGTTGGAAGAGGGGTTGAAAGAGAGGGATATCGCGCCTAGCCATCCTGCAATGCTTGGGGGGGAGGATGGGGTCGGGGTGAATGGGAACAGGGGGAGAGTTGGGAGGAATGGTGGGGTTGGCGGGGCAGGGGTGGGGATGGGGACAGCTGGGAGGCTGGGCAAGAGGGAGGTGGAGCAGAGGATTGAGGAGGATAGGGAGAGGCATAAGCGATTGCGGGAGAATATTTGGGCCGTGAGTGGAGAGGGTGATGTAGAGGTTGAGAAGATGTGGGAGGAGAGTAGTGAGATTGGGGAAGATGATTGGGGGTTAGGAGTTGAGGATCGGGAGGAGAGGAGGCAGGCTGTGGCGTTTGGCGGTTGAGGATCGGGAGGAGGAGAGGCAGGCTGTGGAGTTTGGGGGTTGGGGATCCGGAGGAGAGGAGGCAGGATGTGGAGTTTGGGTGTTGCATGGATAGGAGGTAGGTGTTAAGGTTTTTAAGGTTTCATAGACTGCTGCATGGACTGGCGTTTGTAGTGGGGGAGATACCATTGGACATGGCATGCGATAATGGTACATGTCTTTGCTCTAGTTAATTTTCATTGGCTCGAATACATTCAAGATAATCATCCCGTTCCTATCTGTACACATCCTCCCCTCTCCATGCCACTCTTCCCCTCCCATACCACTTGATATAATACACTCCATCCACCCCATCCACATCCATATCCACCTACTCCATGACAGCCGTCGCCCCCAACGCCTTCAACGTCTCTACAATCTTCTCAGCCTCCTCCTTTGGCACCCCCTCCTTCATCATCTTCGGTGCGCTCTCCACAAACTTCTTACTATCCACTAATGACAGACCCAGCATTGCTTTAATCTCTTTAATGACCTTAGGTTTGGCCGCCGCGTCGAACTTCTCCAGCTTCAGGTTGAATAGCGTTTTCTCTTGTGCAGCAGGCGCGGCCTCTTCTTCTTCAGCGGGGGCGGCTGCAGCCGGGGCACCGCCGGATCCGGGACCGGCGGCCATGAAGCCGCCCACGGGCATGTCGGGGATGTTTAGGCGGGTCTGGGGGGTCGTGATTAGCAATGTTAAACAAGTTCATTGCTCGCGTGCGAAATGGAAAATAGGTGCCACGGTTACTGGGGTCTCAACGGCGGAGAATCACGAGTGCGTAGGTGGGCTCTGGGAATTCGAGGCCCCCTGTGCGGGCTAGACGCTTACCTTAAGAGCTGAAACAAGATCTGCAGTCTCTAGTAATGTCAATTGACTTATCTGGTCGACAATGCCGGCGATTTTGGGGTTCGTAGGAGCCGCGGCTTCAGTCGACTGCCATCTTCGTGGTGTCCTGTGCTGTGCGAGAGAAACTGTGGAGGGTCGAAGGTACGTTGGGGCAGATTTGGCATTGCAAACGCAGCGCCTCAGAGCGCGAGAAGCCGGAGCAGACATAATTGAGCGTGTGGAGAGCGAATCAACGTCGTGGAAGTCAATGGGATCAGATTCTTAGAAGAATTTCGAGATGGCCGTAGGCGGAGATAGAAATAGTTTAGCGCCTTGGCACAAAAGTTGATCGACGAAACTTTTTTGATATCATCTTTAGAACTATATTTTCATCACTACCTTCTCACTTTTGGGAAAGTTCGAGCGTTAAATTATGGGACGGCGCCCCGAACACGATACACGACTTTCCTTGCCATACCATGGAAGGATACGATATGATAAGGGCCGGTAAAAAGGTCACCTGGGAATCTCTCGCCACAGATTCTCTTAATTCGAAGCTCACGGACGAGCTTTTCATTCAATATGGAAGCCTTTTCGTGGAGGTTTGCGCCCGCTGGATTGTCGATGGGTCCAATTCAGAAGCGAAAATTGCAGCATTCGGTCGAATTCTTCCTCTCGCACCCTACCTTGCGGAGCATGCTGAACGCTTTCTCACCTCAGTCTCTCAGTCGCCAATAATTGGATCCCGGAACCAAGAATCGAGCCAAACGGATCTATCAAATCTCCAAGACGGCTTGCTATGCAAAGTTCTCCTAGGAACGTTTCGCCTGCTAAGCTTTGGCTGTCAGAACTTTGCCAAATATGTGCAGCCGCTCGTGCTGGAGAGCCTCTTTCACCATTCCAGCAAGCCTGTTAGGTATTTGGCTGTTAGGGCCTTTTGTTTGTATGTTCATGCTGCCGATCATGCGACTCAACAGATGGTCAAGAGGCATTCTGGCGAACTGGAGGTCTTGGGGGAGTGGGAAGACCAAACTATTGATTATCGGTTTCTGTCGTTGTGGGAGGAAAAACGATGGTCTAAGTTGCAAAATCAATTGTCACAGGAACGGCTAGAGCAAAACGGAAACATCCCCTGTCACCTTCACCATCAGCTTTCTCCCTACTCTATCCAAGTCAACGGTATTCTCCTCCCTCGACTTGACGGTGTACCGTCGCAAGCAAGTCCATCAGTCCTCATTTCAACTCCCACGACCAAATCAAACACCAGGCACATTGCCAAGGCTCTTCTCGGATCGAGCCCTCTGCTCCTCACTGGCCTAGCAGGCTCAGGAAAGACGCTTCTCACTCGCCACTTTGCATGGCAACTAAACAAGCTCGACTCAATGGTCACCCTTCATCTCAATGAACAGAGTGATGCTAAACTTTTGGTGGGAATGTATGCCACAGGAGCGAAACCTGGATCCTTTCGCTGGCGGCCTGGTGTCTTAACAACTGCGGTCAAAGAGGGTAGATGGATCTTTATTGAAGACCTGGATCGGGCCCCTAATGAAATCATCAGTACCCTCCTGCCTCTCATCGAGCGAGGGGAGCTTCTCATACCCAGTCGCGGAGAGACGATCAGGGCGGCCAGAGGCTTTCGCATAATTGCCACCATGCGCAGTACGCGCAATCCAAGGGGGCAAGAGATAATCCCAAGACAAAACATGATCGGCCACCGATTCTGGACTTCTATCACCGTGCACATGCCACGGCTAGAGGAGTTTCAAGACATCATATTAGCTAAGTACCCAGCTCTCCAAAAACACACCCCTGCCATTATGAGTGTCTACTCGCGGCTCCTAGACCTTTACTCAGATCCCAAATTCTCATCTGAAAATGGGACATCCCTTCGAGCACTGACGCCTAGGGATCTCCTCAAGTGGTGCAGTAGGATATCGGTGTTGCTCTCACAACCCACGACCTTCAATGCAGCTCAAATGGACGATATCTTTATGGAAGCTTTCGATTGCCTTGCCGGTAGTCTACGCAACGAGGACTCATGCCTTCGAGCCATGTCATGCGTAGCAGAGGAGTTACACATTGACCCCCAGAGAAGGGACCATCTTCTTTCTTCCCGCCAGGTTCGACTGGAACTTCCAAGCAAGGCCACAGCCTTGGGCATAATCCGGATCGGACGCGCTCGATTACTAAGACACAAGGCACCCAAGAGGTACATCTCAGGGAGACCTTTTTCTACCAATGACTACACGTTAAGGTTACTGGAAAAAATTGCAGTCGGAGTAGATAGACAGGAACCCCTACTTCTCGTAGGTGAGACCGGCACGGGAAAGACGACATGCATCCAGTACTTAGCCGAGCAACTCGGCCGGAAACTGGTTGCATTCAATTTGTCTCACCAGAGTGAAAGCGGAGACCTGCTCGGAGGGTACAAGCCTGTTAATGTCCGTAGCCTGGTTATACCGCTCAAAGACGAATTTGATGAACTTTTTGATACCACATTCTCAAAAAAGAAAAATCAACGGTTCATCGAGATGATGGGCAAACGCGTGGTCAAGGGTGAATGGAAGCGTGTTTGCGTGCTGTGGCGGGAAGCATTGAAGATGGTGGATGCTGCACGGAAGGCTCACGAATCACGTCCTTCGTCTCCGGATCCCGAAGGAGGACAACCAAGGAAGAAACGCAAGGTGGACTCACTTCCAACGAATTTTCCGAAGGCTCGATGGGAAAAGTTCGCTGCTGATTTGAGTGATCTTGAAGCCCAGCTCTCAAATGGTGCTGAAACTTTTGCCTTCTCGTTCTTAGAAGGCAATATCGTCAAAGCTGTGAGGAACGGCGACTGGGTGCTCCTAGATGAAATCAATCTTGCATCTTCGGACACTTTGGAGGCTCTCGCGGATTTGCTAAGTGGTGGACCTAATGGCACACCCTCCATTTTACTCACTGAAACCGGAAACGTTGAGAGAGTTGTTGCACACCCAGATTTCAGAGTCTTTGCGGCTATGAACCCGGCCACTGATGTTGGCAAGAAGGACCTTCCCCCAGGCATTCGATCAAGATTTACTGAGCTTTATGTCGAAAGTCCGGATCGCGATATTAAGAGCTTGCGCAGTATCGTTGAAAAATATCTTGGGGCTGAGGCAAATGATCCCGCAATCACCAAAGTCGCCTTGGACGTTACGAACCTCTACCTTGACATCCAGCGCCTGGCAAAGTCGAATATGCTCGTTGACGGAGCTGACCAGAAAGCTCATTTTAGTCTAAGGACATTAACTAGAACGCTATCATATGCCCGAGAGATAGCACCCCTGTGTACCATGAGGCGTGCACTTTACGAAGGCTTCCACATGAGTTTCCTTACATTCCTAGGACGGGCTTCCGAAGATCTTGTCGCGCCTCTCATCAAGCAGCATCTCTTTAATCAAAAGTCCAGTATGAAAGCAGAGCTTGGACGGCCTCTCCAGCAACCTAATGATAATCGCAACTACGTTAGACAAGGGCATTACTGGTTACGACAAGGATCGTTCGCCGTAGAAGACCAACCTCATTACATAATAACACCCTTTGTACAGCGGAATATGGACAACCTAATCCGGGCATCGTCGACAAGGAGATACCCCGTTCTTATACAAGGTCCTACGTCCTCAGGAAAGACAAGTATGATCGAGTACCTCGCTAAACGATCAGGCAACAAGTTCGTCCGTATTAACAATCACGAGCACACTGACCTCCAGGAATATTTGGGCTCTTACATCTCCGGAACGGATGGGAAACTTCAATTCCAGGAAGGTATTCTAGTCCGCGCTTTGCGAGAAGGTCACTGGATCGTGCTCGACGAACTCAATCTTGCTCCTACGGATGTTCTCGAAGCCCTCAATCGACTGCTGGATGACAATAGGGAGCTCCTCGTCCCAGAAACGCAAGAAGTTGTCCGGCCGCACGAAGACTTTATGCTCTTCGCCACACAGAACCCCGCTGGTCTATATGGTGGACGGAAGGTGCTGTCACGAGCCTTTCGCAATCGATTCCTTGAGCTCCATTTTGATGATATTCCTGTGGAAGAATTGACAGAGATTCTTCATCGAAGAACTATGATACCCGAGTCCTGGTGCAAGAGAATCGTCAAGGTGTACGAAGAGCTTTCAGCGTTGCGGCAAGAGAACCGCATCTTTGAACAGAAGAGCTTCGCAACCTTACGAGACCTGTTTCGCTGGGCTCAACGAAAAGCTGACAACGTGGGCGACCTCTCAAATAATGGCTACATGCTACTTGCAGAGCGCGTACGAAAAGAAGAAGAGCGGCAAGCGGTTAAAAAGATTATCGAAACCGTCATGAGCAAAAATGGACCGCGTGTGCGTATTGATGAGGAGAATCTATATGGTGAAGACACGTCACCTGAGATCAAGCTGTGCAAAGAGAAGACTGGAACTGATGCAGGCGTGGTCTGGACTCGTGCCATACGACGGTTGTTCGTGCTTGTTGCTCACGCAATTCGGAACAATGAACCTGTACTTCTTGTTGGAGAGACTGGGTGTGGCAAGACAACGGTCTGCCAGGTGCTTGCTAGTTCGTTTGAAAAACAGCTGCACATTGTCAATGCTCATCAAAATACGGAAACTGGTGACTTGATTGGCGCTCAACGACCTATTCGAAACCGGGCAAGTATCGAGGATCTGCTTCGTCGGCAACTTATGTCGGTGCTCGAGAGCCCTCACAATGATACAGAGCTGTCAAATGCAAGCTTGATACAATTACTCGAGGTCTACGATAAGCTTGATCAACCGAAATTGGAAGCAATACCAGCGAATCACCGGGCCGAAATTCAAGAAACCCGGATCAAGGCCACGGCATTGTTTGAATGGTCGGATGGAAACCTGGTACATGCCATGAAAACTGGTCAATTCTTCCTTCTAGATGAGATCTCACTTGCCGATGACTCTGTTCTTGAGCGTCTAAACAGCGTTCTGGAATCATCTCGCACCCTGTTGCTCGCAGAGAAAGGTCCCAACGACTCCCTCGTTACTGCAGAAGATGGCTTTCAGTTCCTTGCCACTATGAATCCTGGCGGCGATTACGGGAAGAAGGAGCTCTCGCCTGCGCTTCGAAATCGCTTCACTGAAATCTGGGTTCCAGCCCTGTCAGACGTCGAAGATATTCTGCAAATTGTGCGGTCAAAGCTCAAGCCCAGTGCCTTGCAGTATGCTGAGTCGATTGTCTCGTTTGCGCAATGGTTCAACGAGGAGTACAACACATCTGCCTCGTCTTCCATCTCAATCCGAGATACCCTTGCTTGGGTGACCTTTGTTAACAACACTCAGAATGACGATCCCCTTTTTGGAATTGTTCATGGTGCGGCGATGGTCTTCATTGACACTCTTGGGGCGAACCCCGCTGGTCTACTGGCCATCTCCTCTACATCAATTGAGGAAGAACGAAAAGCTTGTCTTCATCGACTCGGCAAGCTGGTGGGCAAAGACGTCACTACCCTTTACTTTGATGCCGTCAGCATCAATAGTACTGCGACATCACTGCAAATAGGATCGTTCTCGATACCGAAAAACCTCTTCGCGGCTGAAGATTCTACTTTTTCCTTTGAAGCTCCTACAACACGCTCAAATGCTATGAGAGTGGTGCGAGCACTGCAACTACCAAAGCCTATCCTCCTTGAGGGTAATCCTGGAGTCGGCAAAACTACACTCATTATTGCTATTGGAAAAGCTATTGGAATGCCACTGACGAGGTTGAATTTGTCTGATCAAACGGACCTCATGGATCTTTTCGGTTCCGACGTACCGGTTGAAGGTGGACAAGCCGGAACATTCGCTTGGCGTGATGCGCCATTCCTCAAAGCCATGAAGAATGGCGAATGGGTATTGCTGGATGAGATGAACCTAGCATCTCAATCGGTGCTCGAGGGTCTCAACGCTGTCCTAGATCACCGCGGCGAAGTTTATATATCCGAACTCGACCAGATATTCCATAAGCATCCAGACTTCCGGGTATTTGCTGCACAGAACCCTCATCATCAAGGCGGAGGTCGTAAAGGTCTGCCAGCATCTTTTGTCAACCGTTTCACTGTTGTTTATGCAGACGTGTTTCGTCCCCACGACTTATCGCTCATCTGCACGAAAATATTCCCCCACATTGATGGAAATGAGACCCAGAAGTTGATCAACTTTGTCGCTTCCCTAGACGACCACGTGGTGGTGAGGCGGTCTTTCGGGGCTCTAGGCAGTCCCTGGGAATTCAACCTCCGGGACACGCTTCGTTGGCTCCAGTTGCTTCACTCTCAGAACTTCGTGGGCTCCGCTCGAGACCTCCTGGACACGATCTTCATGCAGCGCTTTCGAAATGGCGTAGATCGGCAACGACTCCTCAAGCTTTTCGAGGATTCATATGGTAGCCACGAATACCGAGTAAGCTTCTATCACAATCTTTGTCCAAAATTCCTCCAAGTCGGCCTAGGCTTGTTGGCAAGGAATTCATCCACGACCCGTCCCGACCTTGTATTGCCGCTGCGGGTAACTCAGCTTGGGCCAATGGAGTCAATTATGATTAGCGTTCAGCAGAATTGGCCTGTCATTCTTGTCGGTCCGCCCGGATCTGGCAAGACGTCTCTTCTCAGCCAGCTAGCCTCATTCGTCGGAGCTGAACTAACTACATTCTCGATGAATGCTGATATTGATGCCATGGATCTAGTTGGTGGGTACGAGCAGGAAGACCCATCTCGAGAAATAAATCGTTATCTTGCTAAGCTTGAGAAATTCGTTCGACGTGGTGCTTCCATCGAGCAGACGCCTTCGTTACTTTTCCTGAAGCTTCTTGAGCTTCTTTCATCAGGACAGAGTGCTATCTCAGGTGAGTTGTATTCTCTTCTTGAAACATTGGCAAAGGAGTCCCGAGGAACCACTTCATTAGAATCGCAAGCACTTTTACAGGAGTTAGAACGACTCTCACAAGCTCCCACCCATATCGAAGGCGCCCGATTTCGATGGGCAGATGGCATCCTCATTCAAGCTCTCGAACAAGGCAATTGGCTGGTTCTGGACAACGCCAATCTCTGCAGTAGTGCGGTCTTGGACCGGCTTAACTCGTTACTCGAACCCAATGGGTATCTCAGCATCAATGAACATTCCACTGATGACGGAGAGGCGAGGATCGTTCGACCGCACAAGGACTTTAGGATCTTTCTTACCATGGATCCGAGGTTTGGCGAATTGTCGAGAGCAATGCGGAATAGGGCTACTGAGATCTTCCTCCTTCCCAAGGACTACAAAAATGAGCATGAGATGTGTTATAACTACCTTCCTGGATATCCTCTGGAGTCACAATCGTACCGATTCCGGAATTTTATGTCTGGCGAAAGTGGCCTAGTGGATACGATAAGTGTGCCCTTCGAGCACCTTATCCCTATGGATAGGGAGATGCTTCAAACCTTTAATTCGGAAGCATTAAAAGGACTTGCATCTCTCCGCTCTGATTCTCTAACGAATAGGGTAGCCTGGTGTAGGCCAATGAGTCTCCGCAATGGAACCACTCATACCTCTTCAGGCCTGCCAACGTTGTCTCGATTCCTAACCGAGCAGTGGCATTCTACCGCATCTTACTATCAAACTCAACTTACACATGATATCGGTGGACCACTGGGTTTCGACTACTCAGCTTACCACCCCCTTGTCAATGAGCTTTGCCTGAACGCTGATACCTCTACCCGATCACTTTTAATTTTATACGCCGAGGCGTACGATGAGTATTTGGACTTGTACAATATGCAACACGCAATAGAAATGATTCCTTCCATGAAATTCGAGCGACGAAAAGAGAAACAAAAGCTTCCAGCATTTCTACAAGCGTTTCGACACAGCCTCATTATTGCCTCGGGCATGAACGTCAATCCCATTGACATAGTTAGTCAAAGCCTCGTTATTCAATAAAATATAAACTAACATTGATTCATAGACACACTTCCACTCATTCCACACTCTTCGGGTCCTCTTTTGGGCTTTCCTCCAGCTCGCAACAAACCCTGGTTTCGATAGAGCAACATTCCAGACCTATCTCAAGATGCTGAATACGGAAATTCTTCCACTCTCTTGTGATCCGTCTCCTAATCTCAAAACCATCGCTAGCTCTGTTTCGAGGGAGCTCGTTAAGTTTGGTTCAGAAGTTCAACTGAAGAGTGGCCTTGGCATGGAGCGGGTTTGGCGATATTTCAAGCCTCATACGCCAAAGACGTGGAGAGATTTACAGGCTCTACTGAGCTTAGAAAGCCTTGCAGATAGATTGGATTCTGCGATGTGGAAGTCGAGCCTGGGAATTGAGGAGATGATACAGACTCGTGAGAGGTTTGAGAATGCGTTGTTGCTTGTTAAGACGCAGGATGTGGAACCCCACGAGCTCATTTTGGTAAGTACTCATTTCTTCTTCTGTACAACTATTATCTGATAAAATTAGAACCTAGAAAGTGCGGTTCACGAACTTGAGAAACGAGTCGTTCAAGAAGATGCAGTCCTTCACCCTTACTTTGAAGGTGTCTTCGAGGGATTGTCCCAATTCCTTGACATCTTGCAAGGCTGCCCAAATGAATTCATAGGGGATCTCACGAATACTTCGGATACGATTCGTGTGCTGCGACTGAAGTCCGCTCTCCTTGCTCGAAGACCTACGAAGGCTGTCATCTCTAGTAATAGTTACGAGCCTGCAGACTTTCTCTTAAGATTGTACCACGCCTTAGGATTGCATCATCACCCCAACAGTACAATAATGCTAGATGGTCGATTCCATGTTGCGTTGCTTGAGAAAATGTAAGTATTGCCTACTCCCTCTACGCCCCATTCGCTGATGTTCAATAGGGCCCATGCGGATGAAGTTCAACTAGTTCAGTTTGACCGTTTCGAAACCGAGTTACAAACTTTGTCCCAGCACATATCGCTCGACAACGACCATATTACGCAAGGCCAGTACGATGCGCTATTAAGGAGTTTCCGGAGCCAAGCCAACGGGCTGGTGGCGTCGCACTACGATATCATATCTTCGGTAGATGCTTCTAGTATTATCTTCCAGTCCGATCTCCAGATTCCCGAGCAATACCGACATATGCTGGAAAAGTCGCTTGTTCGGTGCATGACATACCAGGACGCTGGCCAAGGCGACCGCTCAGTGGCAGCCAAGGCCTGGGTCGATCTCGCTTTGACAGGTCTTGCTCTCTATGTTCCAGATTATCCATTTGATCCGGCTTTGAGGCCGATGATTGAACGACGACTTTTTCGCGAGCAAAAGGCGGTTCTAAGACAGAAGCTAGAGGCTCTGCGAAAATTCCAAGTTGATTTCACAGGGCAAGACACAAGTTTCCGCATTCGCCAAGTCGAGGACAGAATTCAAGAAATGGGCTTAGAGCCACCGGTACCATCTATCGTTCGGCCAGAAGTTTCGGAGCTCGACGTACTGCAAGGAGAGTTCACCAATCTACTCAGTGTTCTGCATCCATTGCTCAGCGATACTATTTCAATCGCAGAGGCTTCATGGGATCATACCCTTCGACAGAATATCTCACATATCATTAAGAGGCTTTCTGAGGGATATCGAAGCTATGACGATATCACTGGACCGGCTGTTGGATTCCTTGTCTGCCTTAGCATAGGACTGACTCTCGGTGCACAAGCGGAAACGAGTGAGAGTAGTACCACAAAAACCCTGAGATATCTCGCTCATCATACGCCATTGCTTGGTTTGTATGAGCGTTATAGTCGACCAACATCAGAGACGCTCGTTCAACTCTGCGAGCAAGAGCTTAGTTTGGGTCATCATGTGGTGGACCTCCGATGGCACGCTCTGCACAGTTTGGTCATTATCAGGAATGTTCATCAGAGTCAGATGTCGAACGCCACAATACGCCATCTCTTACAGAACATCTTCACGTCGTTCTTCGCCGATTGGAAACAGATGCTTCTCCAGAATCAAGAAACAGAGACCAAAAATACAAGCTTATACACTTATCGTGGTGGAGACGACCAAGATGCAGAAGAGGAAGATTCAGAGCTCTTTCCGAACTACGAAGAGGAAGAAGTCACCCCTGTAGCAGTTTCGACGTCTCGAGAGCATACAGTTCGCCTTGCCGATATGCACGCGAAGGTGTTCGTGGGAGAATCTGACTCCTCAGAGTCTATTAGGCGCCTCCTTGAATGGAGTTCTGCCGAGATGGTCCGCGTCTCGGGTGGACAATCTCACGGCTCGAAACATGAAAGTGCCATGCCAGCTATCTTCCTTGCATTCGAGAAGAAGGCGAATGCGCTCGCAACATCGGGTACCGATAGACAATACAACTTCTACTTCGACCCGAACATCCCGGAAACAAAGCGATTAATTTCTCTTATCCGCAAGATCCAGAACCGGTTCCATCAGATACAGAGAGTTTTCCCTGAGCATGCCACTCTATCCGACGTCCTACGCACATGTGACGAAATCATGGCTTTCGTACACGTCGACCCTGTGGCCAAATTGATCACCAAAGCCGAGAAACTCCATGGATACGTGCACGAATGGCAGCGAGTTACTAGTCGAGAATTCAGTACGGCAAATTTTTACGACGACCTTACCAAGCTGCTCGTAAGCTGGAGGCAATTGGAGCTAAGGACTTGGGCGCGGCTCTTTGATATTGAAATCGAAAAATGTCGCGATGACGCTAAGGCCTGGTTCTTTGTGGCCTACGAGACGATTGTTGCGGCTTCAGAGTCTATTGATGATGAGAAGGCGATGAAGCTGCATGCGAAAGAGTTGCTGAAAACGCTGGAGGGCTTCTTTTTGACAACTACTCTGGGTCAATTTGAAGAGCGTATCAAGCTACTACAACAATTCAAGGAACACACTGCCATGCAGATACAGAAAGTCGACACTTTCAAGCATATTCATTTCGCGCTCGACAATTTTAGTGCATACTTTTCGCGACTCCAGAAGCCAGTGCAAGATGCACTATCCAAAGGTAGGCAAGCCCTTGAGCGAGAAGTCAATGATGTCATCAAACTTGCAAGCTGGAAAGATACGAATATCGAGGCGTTGAAACAGAGTGCGAAGACTTCTCATCGGAAACTGTCGAAGCTGGTGAGGAAGTTTAGGGCCCTGTTGAATCAGCCAGTTTCTGAGATTTATCATACGGGCTTTCCGGAAGTGAGTGCGTTTGTGCCAGAGGTTAGCATGGAGCTTGTGACTACGGTTGTTGAGCCGAGTATGCTAGAGGCTTGCGAGAAAATCCAAGGCTGGAGTGAGAGGCCAGCACGCTTCAAGAATCTTGCTGCGACTGTCTCGATCATGCGAAGCAAGTCAAGTCCGAGCCCTGACACCATTGACGGTGCTGCATATATCGAAGGATTTATTACAGATCTCGAAACTTCGATAACACAACTGCAGAAAGCAACGCCCTCAATTCTAACAGAGGAGAACAAAGAAGCCGTCCAGCATCTCAAATCCAGGAAGCGAAAGCTATACGCTGACACCATGAAAGAGCTCCGTCAGATGGGATTCCGATCAAATCTCAGTAGCGATGTGCTGGCTAAACAGGATGAGCTTGCAACAGTGCTAACGAGCTTTCCAAGTGTCAAGAGAGAAACCAGCGCTGCGTCGGAGTTCCTCCTACATAGGGTTCTGAGCTTGATGCCTCAAGTTCGGCAGATATTCAAGGAGCATTCGGGCGACTTGACGAATAATGATGTAGCGAGAAGCATTGGGTATTTGGAGGGCTTGTTATATTCGACGATTCAGCAACGAGGCTTGTTGAGCCGAGCTAACCAGTCACTCTCGGAGCTGGAGTCATCTACTGAACGAATCACGAATCTCTGCTCTTCAAGTCAGGAGCTTGTCCGCGTTTCGGGTGGCCAGGTAGAAGGCGCCACCTCGCTTTATGCTGGCATCTCTTGGCTTTCGGCAATGCTCGGAGTTGGTGCCGATGTCGTCTCCGCGCAAGCAAACCTGGGAAAGACCTCAGAATTTGACATTGTTATTCATGGTCTGCGACAATGGAGCGGGGAGTTTGGCCAGCTGGTTGAGCGTTCGAAGTCCTTGTTTCCTCTGTCTTCCAATATCTGGTCAAACAAACACTTGGAACTTGATAAAAAGGTACGGGACAAGCTCGAGGAATTCCGCGCTGTTTTCAAGACTTGGATGCATGAGTATCCGATGCCTCGTGCGGTCCTTAAACAGCTCTGGCCGTATATTATGGATGCGCCTCTCAGCTCACTCGACCCGACCACTAGTGACTCTCGGATTACTATCGATGCGCATGTCAAAGAAACCTTTGCAGCCTTGGACCTCTTGTTAGGCTCAATGCAAGATGTTGAGGTATCACTAAAAGACATTCCAGCTTCGACAGAAGATGCGGCCTGGTTCGTCAAAGAAGAAGACTCACTCTCAGCAGCCCTTACTGCCCTCCACACCCCACAGATCTCAAAGGCGCTGAGCATCATCATAGAGAGGATCCAGTACCTCGGTGCCTCCTCCTCCATCCGAACCTTTGCGACTTCTCTTTCCGCCATACGGCCGATACTAGACCAATACCTCGCTTCAAACAAATTCCTACTTGATAAGTTTGAAGCTCTTCATACGTCCACCGCTAAAATGCTTCTTCGGCTCGCGAAGTCGTTTATCCAAGTTGGTAGCCAAGGCTTCTGCGCCCCACCCAACAAACCCGCCGACCAACAATCGGGTAAAGACGACAAACTCGAATCCGGCACCGGACTCGGGGAAGGTGAAGGCGCAGAAGATATCTCCAAGGATATTCAAGATGATGAGGATCTAGAAGATCTAGCGCAAGAAAAGGATGGGGAGCGAGAAGGTAGTATTGAGGAAGAAGACGATGCTGTGGATATGGGGGAACAGGGTATGGAGGGAGAAATGGGGGATGTGGCTGATAAAGAGGATCAGGATGGTGAGGGTGATGAGGGTGATGAGGATGTGGAGAGCCAGGTTGGAAGTGTGGATGATTTGGGGCCAAGTGCGGTGGATGAGAAGATGTGGGATGAAGGAGGGAAGGATGAGAATTTGAAGGATAAGGAGGGGGGAAAGGATGTTGCGACTGAGAATGGGGAGGAACAAGTTGGTGTTGACGAAAAAGAAAAGAATGATGTAGGAGATAGCGAGAAGGAAGATGGGGTGGATGAAGACGATAATGTAGAAATGGAGGGAGAAGACCAGGAGGAGAACGTTGGTACTGGAGAAGCAGAGAAGATGGACCCGCATGCCAAGGAGGAAGAGACTCTTGATTTGCCGGATGAGCTTAACATGGATGGAAAAGAAGATGACGGCGAGGGTGAGGAACTTAGGGATATGGATATGGATGGCGATGGCGACGAGGAGATGGATACTGAAGCTTACATAGAGCCTGATGCCGTCAACAATGAGATGGGGCCAGAGCAGGATGGCGAGAATGAGCAGGACACCACTGACCACGTCCAAGATGATCAAGATATGGGCGAAGACCAGGATGGTGAAGAACCTATGGACGACGACGACGACGCCATTCCTCTCCTAGACGAACAAGCTCTGAGCGATGAACCCCGCCAGCCCGACGATAATCAAGCGGACCCGAACGCAGATGCCGGTGCGGGCATAGAAGCAAATAATGAGGTCCAACAAGATCAAAAGGAAGACAAATCTGCTGGTGCGGCAAATCGTGAAGACGGTAACCAAGGCGAGACTTCAGAAATGAAGCAGGAGACTTCAGCCGAAGACGGAGCCTTGAATCAAGCAGCGCGACATGATTCTAGTGGTCAAGCTGAGGAAGCGGCAGAGGAATCTCTAGAAACTCAGTCATTCAAGAAGATTGGTGATACACTAGAGCGGTGGTATAATCAGCAGCGACAAATTTCCGACGCGCGTAAAAAGGATGAGAGCCCGGCTCAACAAATTGATAAAGACGTTGATATGGCTGATGCTGAATTTGAACATTTACCAGACGAAGAGACGCAGGCGGATACGCAAGCCCTTGGGACTGCCACCGAAGAGCAAGCGAAGGCTTTGGATCAGGATATGGCAATGCCGATCAACGAAGAGGAGAAGATTCCTGTTCTGCCTGAAGATAAGGATGAGCAGGTGGTAGATGAAGATAGAGATGTCGAAATGGAAAATGCCCTGGTAAAAGAGGAAGACCAACAACAAATATCCATGGACGGCCAACCTAAGGCGTTTGTCGGTGATCAGAAACCCTTGACTCACCCAGAAGACCAAGACATGTCCGACGCCGTCTCCATTCTTGAGGAAGAAATCCTCTCCGAAACCTGCTCCGTCCACGACGTCGAAACCCAACTTGAACTCACCCATCTTGATTCCTCCACCCTCCCATCTGCAGAAACCGCTCGCGCGCTCTGGCTGCACCACGAATCATCAACCCATTCCCTCTCCCAACAACTCACCGAACACCTTCGCCTCATCCTCGAACCAACGCTGGCCACCAAACTTCGCGGTGACTTTAGAACCGGAAAACGACTGAACCTGAAACGCATCATCCCGTACATAGCAAGCGGGTACAAGCGCGACAAAATCTGGTTACGTCGAAGTCAGCCCAGTAAACGCAATTACCAAATCATGATCGCGCTTGACGATTCAAAATCAATGGCTGAAAGCGGGGCTTCTGGACTAGCGCTCAAGACACTTGCATTAATTACCCGGAGTTTAAGCATGCTAGAAGTCGGCGAGGTTTCTGTTGTCGGATTCGGGGAAACAGTCACTGTCGCACATGAATTTAATAAACCATTCACATCCGAATCCGGGGTTAAAGTGTTTGAGCAGTTTGGGTTTCAAGCTAGTAAGACGAATGTGAAGGGCTTAGTAGAAAAGAGTTTGGGGCTATTTCGAGAGGCCAGACACCACGGGGTTGGAAGTGTGGGCGAGGATCTCTGGCAGCTGATGTTGGTTGTTAGTGATGGAATTTGTGATGAGCATGGGGAGATTGTGAGGTTGGTGAGACAAGCGAGGGAGGAGAGGGTCATGTTGGTTTTTGTGGTTGTGGATGCGACCGCTGGTGTTACTGCAACTACGGCAGCTACAACATCATCGCGGCATGGAGAGGTCGCCGAAGCATCGAGCCAACATCCAGTGGCAATACCAGCTCCACCTGCAGGTGAACAGAAAGAAAAGACGTCTATCTTAGATTTGCAATCTGTGGAGATTTCCCCGGAAGGCAGGGTTGTGAGGTGGAAGTATATGGATCGCTTTCCATTTAGGTATTACCTTGTGGTTCGGGACGTAAGGGAGTTGCCGGGTGTTTTGGCGGGTGCGCTAAGGCAGTGGTTTGTAGAGGTGGCGGATAGTAGCGGATAAGTGAGGGCATACCTTTTTTTTCTTATTGTCGTCTTTGGATATTGGAGTCATTGGGTTGTTAGGTTGGTATTGCTTATAGGAACTTTGCGCTTTACCGCGGAATTATGGCGTTGATGATTGAACTTTTTCATTAGACAGGTAGTAAGTAGACTAAGTTTATGTTTTCTTGTTTGTTAAATGCATGGCTGTGCGAAAATCGGAGGGATTACAGGTTTATGAAGTCGCTTCTCAGTCTAGTATTACCTTCGTGACACACCATACGTAGAGTGTGCTGAATATTACGTCAGTGGAAGCGGAACGGGCGCACCGCGCGCGAGTATTTCAGAGTTCACCCCGGTACGCTCAATCAAAATTGACCCCATGGAATTGTTAGCATTTCGCAAGAATCAAATAAGATTTTCCACAGTCTTTCCCTAGTATATGATGAAATGTTCTCCAGCCCTTGCAGAGTTGCGAACGCGGGTGCCCGCACCCGCACGTGCTGCATTAAATTGCTTTGCTAAATTACCTCACCTACTAAATCCTCTCCTCGTTGAACCACCTACTCATTTCATCAAAATGGACTGGTATTACCTGCATAGCGCCCTTCTCCCTACTCCCGACGGCTCCCCGGCGGATGAAGGAATTCGGTATCAAAATAGCTATGGCCTCTTCCCCGCCTTAGCAGAGCCAAGCAAGTGAATACTTTCATTCTCTTCCCTTCTTCTATAATGTTGAAGAAAAAAAAAACCCGACGGTCCTCGGGCTGAGAACTCGCAGTCATATCGTGGCAATCCCATGTTAGGATCCAAGGAAACGACCCTGACATCCTTCTAGCTCCCGCCACAGTAGCAAAGAACCTTTCGTCGACTAGAAAACTCGATACGCGGCAGGGAGAAGAGCTTAGCGTCTTCTCCCACTGGGAGGAGTATAAGACCCTCCTCGCAGCATATCAAGCCTCCTGGACGGCTTGCAAACCGGGACAGAATCCTTATTGGTTCGTTTTAAGAATCTTGCGTTGCGGAGATAGGCGAGAACGGTAAGGCTGAGTAGAGTGGGCAGTGAAACGACTGCGCAGGTGGTGCAAGTCCATGGAAAAGGAAAGGCGCATAATCCCATGGTTCGAGCATCCTTTCGCGGCTTCGCTTGCATCCCAAATGCTTTTTTGGCCCCGGACTTGCCACTCGCATCTCGAATGGTTTGGTTTGGCTGCACACCCTTGATGCATCAACCCCCTGCACTTGCCTTGCCTTACGCACGCTTACGCACGTCTCCCGCTTGCATCCCGCTTGCATCCCACTTGCCCACCCTCTTCCATCGTTCTTCACCAATCTGATTCGATAGAGAGCCTTCGCACAGGAAATTCGAGGTTAATAGGCATGGAATATTTCCACCAGGGAGCAACGAACTCATCCCAATTCTTCTACCCAATGTCGAAAAAGCTACTTGGCGTCCGCTTAACCACATTTAGACACGTGATATGAGGGACAGTTGCAGGTGGGCTCGAGCGGCTAGAGGTATCGAACGACAGTCCTGAAACATCACGTACAGGCGTACTTTGTGACCAAACGGCTGAATATTGGCGTGAAAAGAGTGTTACACCTTAATTTCATATATGTTTTTGATTGGATCTGGCACAATCATCGCGGACATGGCTCTAAGATGAATGATAGCGCTTCATTCATCATCACTTCTGCGACTCAAACGACCCCGGACCTCAATTCAGTCACTCACCTCCCTCTTTTCAGGCCGGAAAATATATGGCGAAACTTCGATACCGAGACTACGGGCGGCATTCCAAAATATGTCCAACCCTCGTAGCCGTTTAGCCTACGTCGACAGGGCATTTATCCTCGATAGCTACATATTTTGCATCAAGTACGTATCGAGGGATAGGGCTCCAATTAAGTGAAGCTCTGTGTAGGTAGCTTCTAATAAAATAGCGGAAGGAACATGACAGGATGATATGAATAAATTCTTATAGTGTAAGTCTTATATACATACGTAGGACAAAGGTTAAATTTAAACATAGTGTAGACAAGGTAGTCCAAAGCAACCACAACAAATACGCACCTAGTAGCAGAATTGACAAAAGTGCAGTTCTGCACATTTAACTTCTAATTAAATAACACATAAAAGGTAGCAGGACAGCCTTACATATAAATTTCTCTGTTGTAGGTCTAACACATCTGTAGGACAAGGCGCTATAATCTAATTACAATAAATGCATCCAAAGATACGGCCTGAATAATGTTGCAGTGCTGCGCATGTAACTTTTAATTGAATGGTATACATAACTTGGCAGGATAATATAAGTAATATATTGCTATGTTGTAGGTCTAATACATACGTAGTACAAGGTCTCGCATGAGCTGAGAAAGGGGGCATAGGGTAGGCGAGTCAACGAGGTATTGAGATCCAAACAAGGTGAATTGAACCACTGTATTGTAAGGTCTAAGGAGCGAGAGAGAGCTCTGGGCTGACTATATACTGTACCAAAAAGGAACTAGTCCTAATGAGTGAATAGCGCAGTACATGGGTATAGTATCGCGTGAGATACGTGCGACACAAGGGCTCGGTCTATTCATACTTAGGGAGAGGATCCACAATTAGAATACAACTGCAACAAACACCACCCCAACGACTCACGATGACAGTATTTGTCGCAGCCACATTCCAATTTGGGTCCTCCTACATCCCCGCCGACTTATGTATTGTTGGACCTACAATATGGTGATTCATTCCCCAGGCTATCCTGCCACATTCTGTGCGCCATTCTTGATTCGTGTTAGGATATTAGGATATGGTTTCAGAGAACGGGCGGTGCTCACGTTCTCAACCATGTGATCCTGTCGAGAGCTACTACCAGTATGAGTGATTGATAGTAAGTTTCTGCTTCCAGAAAGACTAGCCCCGCAATTTCTTCCTTACCCCTTTGTTCCTTTCTTCGAGGGTCTTGATGTGTTCTAGTATCCGTTATATCGATATTTCAATGTCATGTTTTACGGGCGGAATGACTGTAATGTATAAAGCAGTTTTCTTGTGGGATCGAATTCCACAGACAAAAGCTATTAGCGGGCATTCATTAAAACACCTAACTTTGCAGAAAATTTAAACTACTCATGGATTATATACATATCTCACAATCAATAATTTGTCGTACTGTCTTCTGTCCGCTCTTAAAAAGTGTCTAGACGTCCTAGTTTTGCGCATTGTGCGCACAGAGCCTCTAGCATCTATCTGGGGGTTTTTTTACCACGAAAGGCAGTTAAGCTGTGGTTGACCGATAGCTCGAAGGGTCGTATTAGTTAAGACCGTTAGAGACACCAAGATTAGAGATTTGAACACTACGCTGGAAGCTAGCGCCGGTAGTGCACCTTAAGGAATATATGCGTTTTCGCAGATGGGAGGTACGAGGAACCTAAGAACAGATGTTGTCATCAATACACCTACCTATCTCCGAGATGGTATCGGTGTGCGAAACATCACCTCCACCTCTTTCCGGCCCACACTTCCACTCCTAAAGACTAAGCGAATATTCCTCCAGCTCCGCCAACTCTAATCCCCCAGCCAGCTTTCTAATCAATGCGTACTGCGCAGCTAGTAGCCCTTGGCATCCCAAATCGGTGATCAGCTTCATCACACAGCCCACGTGAAGACATCGATTTTCACAAATGTCACAACTAATCAACGCATATCCCAAAAAAACATTGCACAACCACAATTCTACTCCCTCTCGAGATAGAGTTTTTACATGGCAAGTTGGCACAAGTTCATGAAAACATCATGGATTTTATATATTGCCTCCTAAAGATCTTAGCATGATTCACGCCTGGCTACTTCTCCCCAAACTTGATCGACCCTGACCATCAACCACTCACTGAGCTCCCATTTCTCAGTCTCACAGCTTTCGCGAGGAAGCTCAAAGTTAAGCTCAAGAGCAGCATTCTGGATGCGAACAACCCTAGCAGCAGCTCGAGCGGCTTCAATGGTGTGGTTATTCGCGGTTTCCACTTCGTGTGCAGCGAGAGCATCCACGGTTAGGTCCTGGGTTGCTGATTCACGGACTGTTTGTTGGTGAAAGCTGTTGGTGGAGTGATCCTTTGTGTGTAGGCCCTCAGGCGAGGCCGAAATTACGGAAGGGTCCTGGAAGGTAGCATTTGGAGGCCGAGCCGGAGGCTGATTGTTGTCTTGCGGGCAGACAGGTGCAAGAAATATGGTAGTGTTGTCAACTGAAGGCTGAGTGGTAGTGAGGGATACCAGTGTGTTGGCCTTGTGTCTTTGGAAATCGTCAGTAGCAGTAGATTTGAGAAGAGACGGAGTGGTCTCCTTTTTAACAATTCTGAGCGGACGTGGAAGAGATGTGATAGACCTCACTCTATTAGAAAAGAACAGCTAAACAACGTAGCGTTGAGATTGCTAAGTGCAAAGCCCAAAAGGACCATAGAGAGAGAGGTTCATATCGAAATATTAGGGGCCTAGAAAGACGCCAAGTGACTAGGAAGGAGGATGGAAGTAATATAAAGTTTCACAAATGAAAGGAAGACTAGGGTAGCCACTAAAGCCGATTGAATGAGATAGATGCATACTCGCCGAAGGCATCGCCACAATGGATTCCGGGCACCATCACGGCTAATTGGAAGGAATATTAAAGGGATGTGATATATGGATCTGAAGCCGCTGAGTTGTTTCTGGCAGTGAGCAGTAATTGAATCAAATTCGTGCCTATGGGCTTTTAGGGCAGTCTTTATATGTCTTCCACAATGACCTGGGTGGATGGACGATGAACGAGGTGTTATTGCTTTTGAATTACGCCGTGCAGAATCCATTAGGTAGGACACAATGGTGACCCGCCAGTCATCTATCCACTTGCGTGGCTAGCTACGATGTACAAGATCAGGGAAACTCTTGCTGCGCCTTGACCATGCCAAGGATGCTTTGGATGGGAGTGCATGTGCGAGGCACATAAAATGTTCCCACGGGAACCCCACCAGGCATCTGAGCCATAATTATCTCGGGAAGCACAGGGCATCTGGATCTCAGTCCATGTCGTCAGCCATACGTGTGCACAGGTCTCGCTTAGCGGCCTCGACTCGAGTAGAGGGAATGCCATGACGAGATCCGGACCGATGGACAGGAGGAATAACGTATGATTTCTCGCTTCCTTTCCAAACTAGGATCGCGATTGGTTATACAGCGGTGGAGTGAATAATACGGCGCATGACGCTCTTCGTTATCAGGTTCTAGTTTGTAATACCAGAAGCCAGCAACGAAGAAGCATGAATAATCCGAAGTCGACAAGATCGGAAGGAGACGAGAGGCCGTCCTGACGGCAAGGAGTCGCGGCCCCTCGGACACTCATTGCGATTGGGTCTGGTGCAGGAAGCAGTGTCGGCTCGAGAAAGACGGTGTTGTAGTCTGACCCAATACGGCTGTATGTGGGTGGTCTCGTGGTGCATCCGACTTCTCTCGTGGAAAATGAGCATGAAGGTGTCGTCGCGTAGATGATGTCAGTTGCCTGAAACCAGGCGGAAAGGAGCCGGGGCGAACAGGAAAATGCAAAACAAGAGAAGGAGGCGCGGGCGTGGGAAGGAGGTGTGGGCACAAGAAGGAGGGGCAGACATGAGAAGGAGACATGAAAAACCGGGGCAGAAATGCAGGAGATGGAGGGGCATATGCGGTCCAACCCGCCAACACTACGGGTCTGTGCATGATGATATGTGCCCATGCTTCACATCCAACGGTTCAATAAAGAGCCGATATCCTCCGATGGGCGTGGGATGCTTTTTGAGCACGCCAAGAATAGCTCCATGCACGCAGGTGGGCGTTCAGCGTACGGGGGGTCCGTGATGGCGAGCCAATCACGGAGCCCAAGCATTGAATGCAGCCTCTTCACGCATGAGCCAGTTGCCATCTTTCGCGTGCGCAATCTTTGCGGCGAGTTTGCCCCATGGACTAGCATGTCAGGACGGACGCCCCAGGGAATAGAGACGATTCGGCTGTGCTTTGGTCATGTCCTCTTTCCGCCATTTTATGTTCCTTCACTATTTCTTGCGCGCGTCTTTTTCTGTCACCCCATTTGGGCCTTCTCTTCAATTATCATCCTCTGGTTCCTCAAGGTGCTTCAGATGACTTCCAGGTCTCCAGGCGGAGAAGACCTCGTTCTGTTGTGCCTTGTGAATAGCTAGTTACCGTTGTCGTTCAGAGCAAAACATGGTTTTACAACCTAAAAGCTTAAATTAAGTGACAATCTTACGCAACTTAGCTAAACCCTGTAGCCTAGTATGCAGTTTTTCAATCCTATGTCTTCTTTTTGAATGATATTTCTGTAAGGTTTTCGGTTCTTTTTTTTATTGTTATATTTTGCTATTTCTCCTTTCATCTGTGCATGTGCCAAGAGTTTGGCAGCACAAGATGTGTGCTCGCTATTAGTAAGAGGTCGAACTATATCCAGCTTTTTGTAAGGCACAAAAGTCCCTGTAGACGCGTTTCCGTCGGCGCTTGGTAAATCCATTTCCTAGCAGGTGGGGGATACTTGATCACCGAGTCACTATTCTCTCAAGGGGATAGTTACTGCTGCTGCTACTCATCAAAGGCAAAGGATAACCTTAGAGATCTCGCAACGGCAGCAAACCCGCGTAAAAGCGTCAGATATCAATCAGCGCCAACTACAATATGGAGAGACAATGCATAATTCATCGTATAAGGACCAGACTGCTGCACCGTGAGGAAAGGACGTGAAAAGGAGGAGAAGGCCTTCTCCAAGGGCCTGAGGAAGTGTGTGGCGCGAGTAAGCTGTGTGTTAGAAAGGAGAAACCCTCGTCATCGGTTACATGAACGATAGCCCGGCAAACTAGAGGTTACAAAGCGTGACTCTGTTTACATCTTTCCCACCTCTCTCGTTCCTTCCATAGCCCCGCTTGCAATTTTTGATTGCGTCTTGCAGCGCTTTTCAGAGCAATTTTCTGGTAGCGTAGATTAGCGCAGCCTCTACCTGATTCGGCCGAGGGATCGGTATTTGAGGATCAAAATGGAATGCTATCAGGACGAATATGAGCTTCCACCTACATGATTTCGCAGACATAAGCTCACTTACTAATAGCAATTAGTAGGATACAACAACATGGAAAACATTGCCTATAAATCGCAGGAAATTCTAAGGCATACGAGAGGTCTTAACTAATGACGTAGCTTTCCTAGCTATTTCATTTACAATCTTGGTTTGACCTATCGCGCTTTTCGTTGTTGAATCTTATCGCAGTAATGATGGTTCAATTGAGCAACTTGAAATGGAATAGTAGGCGCAAGTGATAGGCTAATTACTGGTGACAAAGGCAATCTTACTTCCGGGCGATGGGAAATCTTAGACTGAAATGCTCATCCACTATCCCACGCTCCATACAACAAGACATCACAACGCCGCCAAATGACTCTCCCACCTTCTTTGACTTTGGGGCAATAGCATGAAACACTGCCCCGAGCCTGCTATTTGCGTTGCAATTCCCTTTGCCCGTGCATTCCATTTCAGGCAACGAAGCCGCTACAGCATGCTCCCCTTTTAGAACTATGGGGAGACTTCTGGAATCACCACTTGACGTGCGGGCATGTCTGAAAAGCAGTCTTTTGAGATCCCAAGGGGCAATGCCACCATGGAGGTTTCGATAGACCTACACTTCTACTTCAGCCCTCGCCATCTAGTGGACGGCTTGGGTCACCTTTTATGGCGCAAATCTACCGAACCGCCTGTCTCCTCCACCTAGGCGCTCTGAAAGTCACAACGTCTGCAAATAATCCACGCTCAGGGTCCAGTCTATCGCAAGCCCAGCAAAAATGTGCACTTCCACTGCACAACCTCGCGGTAAATAGAAATTGCAACGTTGTGTCCCAGATATCACCTGTAATTAAATCAATGGTATCCCTTTCAAATTGGATTTATCTAATTAGTCCATCTTTCTGTTATTTGACCATGTCACTAGGTTGGGTTTGTAGATCTAGTTTTGGTGCATTCAAGAATCTAGGACTTATAAATAAGGAAGCATGGACCCAATAGCTCCATTGACCAGGTGACAAGGCACTACTTCACTCCCCGCTGGTTCATAGGAGTTCACCGAGCTAGAAAACGACTAACTCTGAAAATCCTTTATCGATGATGGTTCTTCGTGCTAAAACACGTGTGCATATCATTATTCTTGAACCTTGATGCCTGCCTTTTCGTATCAATATAAACCGCATTCCTTTAAGTCGCTTGTCACCCTCCCCCGAAAGTTCGATATATCTTTCCCAATGGCTCTCATTCTCTACGACTGCAGCCGTAAAATTCATAAAACTCGCCACTCTGATCTCCTTTCTCGACATCCTCAATCCATCCAATAATCACCTCTTCATGAGTGTGGCATGACCTAAAACAGCAGTCTCCTGAGAGGCGTTGTGGGAACTAGGTACTACCGAGGCTAGAGCTTGATCAGTAATTAGATTGGTGTTCGCAGAATAATCACTATGTACCTTAAAAAAAAATCTCAAATCATTTAACAACGCCCTCAGTGAGAATGGCATCACCCAGCTTAGCGGCTGTGGGGGCGTTATTGTTTCTGAGCGCTACTTCCGTCAGAGATTCGTTGCAGTGCTCTCAACGCCGGTAGAACTACGAAGAGGAGAGTTCGGCTCTTGATCTCTGCTATTGCAAATCTCTATTATTCACTGTACATCTTGCCAAGCCTTTTCTCTTATTAGTTTAAAAAAGGGCTAGATTAATGTCTAATTAGCCTATAAAACTTTCTACTACTTTTGTAAATATTCTAGATTTTTAAGGCAAATAAATATATTTTACTAAGTCTATTACTATATTCTAGGTATTTTAATGCAATATTATAATGCTATGTTTTATTATTAGTAGGCTAAAGTTTACCTTTTTATTACTATTTATAGTTTTAAGGTGTTGCTAAGCTAGAATTAGTGTGTTAGCATTTATATTCTAGTACTGTCCTCTTTTCTTAGTTATATCTGTCTAATTCTAGCTAGATATTTATAGATATCTGCTAACACTATTACTTAGGCTTAGTATGTTTTCCTAGCCTTACTGTAAGGAATGTTAAACTTATTGCCTATTATCTAACTTTGCAACTAACTAACGCAGTGCTTTATATAAATATTATTAGCAGTATAAAAGATTTATTTATTTATATCTTTATTTTTTTTTTGTTATTACTAAATTATTTTAAAGGAAACAACGCGCTTTTTAGAAAATTAATTCTAACCTACTAACATAAAAGGTATAGTATAACGCTTATAAAAAACAATTTTTTTATTACTAATAAATATAAACTGTATTTTCTACTTCTTTATATCTAAATATGTTTAATTTTGTTTTAATTAGTTATATTTTTCTAATATCTACATCTACTTTTTTTTTTATCTACTTAAACATTAATTAGTTTACTTTAACTTTTACACTTTTATTTCTTTTTATCTGTCTAAACCTCTAACTTTAGTTAACTTCTCTGCTGTTTACTATGTCTTAATATACTCTAATTACATTTACTTTTTAGCTTTCTATATTTCTTAAGCTAAATCTAATTAATACTAAAGAACTATGCCTAGCTGTATATATTATAGGTGTACTTTACTATTTACCTATTAATCTTAGCCTAATGCGCGATCCTACTGCTATGTGTACAGAATGTAGTGCTTATTATTAGATTAATAAACATTTAGCTAGGTCTACTACTAGCTAGCTAAAATATAAGTTCTACTACCTTTAGAGAGATATTTATTTAAAGTTTTATTAAAACTTACTAGTTATTATTTAGAGTTTATTAGATAGTTTTTATATAAAAAGTGCACATTTTTATAATAATATTTATATATATAACACTTCTCTAGCCTTTACTTCTGCTAATTACACTGCTATAGATTGCAATATGTGTAGAAATAGTGTTAGGATATTTTAGATTATAGAGAAACTTTACTACTTATAGAGTTTATTAGAGCCTGCTTAGGAGGTTGCTACTAGCTACGCGCAGTTATACTTCTATAACTTAGAGTTTACTTTAAGTACTTAGCTACAGCGTAACTAGAATTTAAACTTAGACCTAACCCTATTATAGAAGCTTATGCATATGTTAGAGGTAGATGCCTATAATTTATAAATTTCTATTTATAAAACTGCCTATAAAAGACTAAAAAGGGCTAGGCGTAATAGTTAAGATATTTAGATTATTATAAACTCTTAATTAAAGCTTATTATTAAAGCTAGTGCTAACTAATAATAAGAAAATCTACTAGTTTTAAATAAAGTTACTAGCTTAATTATAAAGGATTTTAATAAGAGTATAAGTTACAGTTTAATTTTACATTATTATAATAGTAATAACTCTACTTAATTCTACTCTTAAGTCTGTTCTTCTTATCCTGCCTATTAGCCTCTTTATTATGTCTTTATGTTTTCTGCTAGTTAGCCTAGATTCTCTTTTAGGCTTATGCTGTGTAATTCTAATAAAGTCTAGAAGAATCTTTATGTTACTAATACTATATTTTATTAATTCTATCTATTTCCTTAAAGGGGTTATAATGTAGTACTTTTTGCCTATAGCTAATTGTTCTAATAGTAGATAATAAATTACTAAGCATAAGTTAAATAAAAAAAGCTTTATTAAGTCTATAATAATTAGTTAAAACTCTAAGCAGATCTTTATTAAGGCATTAGTAATACCCTATACTAGAATAATTTTAATGTGTAATTTATTAATATTTATACTATACTCTCTTTAAGTTACATTAGTAGCAGTTAGTTTATATCTTAGTGTTACTAAAATTTTATAGCTATTATCTAGAAGCTTAGACACTTTTCTTTATTTATTATGTTTACTGCAAATTCTAAGTAGCCTAAGATAATAGTAGAACTTAAACAGCTATAGTGTACTCTAGATTAGCCTAATATAATTACTTAAATATTTAAGTTGCAGCTAAATTCCTTAATAGAGAATATTAAGTTATAGTAAGTGTTTAGTTACTTTACTAGCATTATTTACATAATTAAGTATTAGAAGTAAGGACTTCTCTATGCCTATATCCTACTCTTTATGCACCTAGATAATAGAGATTAGCTCCTATTACCTAATTTTATTAATTATGTTATATAGGCTAAGCGTCTAACACAGTCCTAGGATCCTAATAGTATTCTAACTAATATTATTATAAGGTCTATAGTACACAGTTTTTATAGTAACTTAAATCTATCTACTAGCTACATGCAGGTGCTTTTTAAGTTAGAGTAGCCTTTTTACTAAAAAAATTTTTTAAAGAATTTTACTATAAAAACTATAGTAAAAGAGGATAGTTATTTAATTTATTATTAGTAAAATAATAGCTAAGTCTAGACAGTTAAGTATAAATAACATAAAGTTATAGTTAATAATTAGTAGATTATTTCTTATAGTCTATTCTTATTTAGGTAATATAATGCGCATGTTAATGTAGAAGTCTGCGCATCTATTAAGGCTATTAAATATATTTATAAGTATATATATAAGAGCACTAACTAGGTTACTGTTTATATCTAGGATTAAAATAAAGTTACATCCTACCTACAGTGTTAGTATATTAGCCCTACTAAGGCAGCATAGCAACTGTTTAGTTTTCCTGTACATAAGAAGTAGCCTCTAGTGGTTTGTCTAGCAATTTATCTGCTAGGAGAACATGTAGTATCCTTTTAAAATAATAACAACACAGATGCAGTATGTAGTTATATAGAAGGCGCTTAGTTAACTCTAATAGTGTAGTTTTAGTATAATTCCTAGCACACTAACAGGCTGCATCTACTATACTAGGACTTTCCTATAGATTACTAGTAGAATTTAGCTACATATGCTTAGACTTAGTATTGCAAAACTATAATATCTATTAGGTGTATATATTTTTATAGTCTATCTGCAGGGGAGCGCTTTTATTTATAAATGTTGTTAACTTATATCTTTAGGGCAACTAGCTTTAGTAACCTATGTACTATATAAAGTAAACTTTATTTAATGTTTAAAGACACCTGTTTAGCTTATAGTTTATTATAAAAAGACTAATTTTAGAATTATATCTTTTAAAAACTTTAACTTACAGCTACTAGCTTTTTATTATAATAAATATTTATGTAGGCGCTAGTATTTAGTAACATACTTAATTTAGTAGCTATTTAGACAATGTTTTATGCTAACTTCTTAGATAATCTACCTCTGTAAATAGCCTTTATTAATTCTCTTCTTACTAAATCTAAGCTATTATAAGATTATAGCCTATAAATTCTAAACTAGATACTTTTAAAGTTATATAGTAAAACACTATCTTAATTTAGAATGCTAATGCCCTTATATAATTAAATTTTTGTTACTGTTCCTTTCTTAGTACATAAGCAGATGTTATATAATAATATTGCTAAGTATACTACTTTTACTAAGTCCTATAACTAATTAAATTATAGTTAGAAATTAGTGTTTAATACTATTAAGTCTGCTATGTGTTTAGATCTAAATAACACTTAGTTTTTTATTTAGGGCCTTAGTAGTACTAGTAAAACTTTTTTTTATTAAACATTATGTTTTTAATTTTAGTCTTAGCGTAAGATTGTTCTCTGCGTAGCTTTGTCTAGTATTGCAGTGCTACTTCTTCTAGGTGGCAAAACTGTGCACTTAAGGTTTAAGATACCTATTAAGATTATAAAGAATTTCTTTTATACATTTGCTATAAACTTCTTTACTTCTAAGCTACTTTATAAAACTAGCCTTATTATCTAGAATAAAGTTCTTATGTAGCACTAGTTATGTTTTAAGGCTGTTAATTAAAGTTTTTATAACATACTATAAAGTAAACTACCTTTTAGTAGCATTTTATTAGTATTTAGCAGTAATTTTTTATAAATTCTGCTAGTTGTACCTAAGAGTAGCTAAAGTTAAATAGTGTAGGTATGCCTTTAACAGTCTTCCCTTTAGTGTTGTTTTACAGTTCTAACTTTAACTAAGAACATAAAAATGCACGCTAGGGCTGCAAATTAGGCTTATATAGACTAGATACTCTCTGTATCTAGAGATAAGCAGACACATGTTAATCTGCTCTCTAGTGTCTAGGAGTTTGTCTTTATAAGTTGCTTTTATTTTTATGTATATTTATTAGATATGCTGCGTGTATTTCTAGACTTTACTATTACTATGCGCTTCTTTTAACAGCGCTGTATCCTTGCAGTCTATAATAAGGTAGTTATAGAGATTAATAATATCTTTTTTAGGTATTTTAAGAGTAACGTCTAGGAATTTATGTCTACAGATAAGGTATATTAGACAGAATTAAATAGTGTTAATTATTTTTTAAAAAATTTATTATAGATGTTTAATTTACTTAGTTTACCTTCTACTAGACTTTATTTAAAGGTTAGAGTTTTAGTTATTTTACTTTAGAATCTAAATCCTAAGAAAGGTTTATGTAATAGAACCTAATTATTAGTTACTGCCTTAGGTTAATAAGGCGTGTTTATAACTAGAAGGATTCTAGAGGGTAAATTTAACAGATAAACATAAACTATTACTTAGATTAAATTAGTATTAAAAGATTATAACATCTTACTTTTTTTTATTATACACTATTAGATACTTATCTAGTTATGTTTTATAATGTTTATTAATAAATTATAGGGCTAATTTATAAAGATTATAGGTGTAGACCTAAGGCATTTAGTCTTTATGCATAGACAGCTTTATGTTGCGCTTTCTAGGGTTACAACTGTATCTAGCATATGTATTTTAAACTAGGCTAATTTAATAAGGCGTGTTGTTAATGTTATGTATAAGAAGGTGTTATTATAATCTACTTAGTTATGTGCTGTGTTTTGTGCATATATTAGTAATGCCTAGGTTATAATCTACTGCACTTAAGGCGTAATCTAGCTAATTTAGCTAGGTATAATTTAAAAAGGGCTTTTTTTTACTTTTTTTTTTCTTTTTTATTTTACTTTTTTTGCTTTTTTCTTTTTACAGCCTTTATTTTTTGTCTTTAACATTTATTTTGCTATAGGTATTACTTATAAGCTGTCTAATGCATCTACTTTTTGCTATATTCCTGCTTATAAGTGTTATGCTACTAGCAAGCTATAGTCTAACCTTAGAAAAGATCTATAAAGTTAGTATTAGTAGGCTACCTATTAATTAGTTGCGCTCTACTTTAGTTTTACTAGTAAAAAAGTGTAGTTAGTAGACTATTTTTATATAAACATATATACTATTACTTCTTTAGTTACTAAGCTAATAGTGTTAGGCATATAACATCCCTCTGTTATCCACCTGTCCCCTGCTATATATACTAGAATATTAGGGTTGTCTACTTAATTAGCTATTTAATGTTTTTAGTAGTTTTGTAAATTAGATGTAGTAAAGTTATTATTAGAATATTAACCTCTAATATCTACTTACTTTATAGACATCTTTCTAGGGTTAGAACAACATAGTCTAGGAGTAGCCTTTCTAGAATAGTCTGCTTTATGTTCTAACTTTATCTAGTACTAGATCTAACATTTCTTTATTTAAATTTATTTATAATTAGCGTCTACTAAGGCTAATGTTTAAGGCTAATAGTATTAATTTCCCTTAGCATGTTTATATAGACAAGGTTGTGCCCTGTTATTATTAGGCGCAGTTAAAGGAATTTTATAGTTCTAAACCTTTAAATGTTTAGACTTAGCCTTATGCACATTAAGTTAGTAATTATATCTGCTAGAGTTTAGCTATTTACTTACTAGAAATTCTAGGCTTATACACTCTTTAGTTATAATCTATGTTGTTCTTCTATAGCTAACTAGTATTCTAGTTAATTAGCTTACTTACTTTCTTTTTTACTTATAAATAATAATCTAGACTATAAAAGTATCTTACCTAAGATACACTTTAAATTTAATAATATATGCTTTATATCTTTAAGTAAATATTTTAATCTAGAGACTAATAATAATTATTAGATAGTGTAAGAAAAATATTAGGTTATTACCTAAGTTAATAACAATACTGTTTAGTAGAAAAGGGAGGAAAAATAAAAGATACAACATTTATAGTAGCAGAAATGTTAATTTATAGATTAGATAACCTACTTAACTTAAACTAATATCTAGCATCTTATAGTTACGCGTAGGAATAGTTTATATAATTATTATTTTACTTAATTTTATTCTTTATTAGTATTAATTTACTAAAGTTTATAAATTACTTTACACTTATTTATCTAAAGTTTTTCTATTTACTAATAGACTTAAGCTGCTATTAGCTTTATATCTATTGCATTTGTTAAGGCTAACTATTATTATTAGTAGGTATTATACTATTATCTATTTGCTTTGCTAGGTGGCATTCTGTTAAAAGCTGCCTACTATCTAGCATGCAGTTTTTAATTTTTTTATATAAAATTTTTTTTTTTTTTAGGTATTTATAGGCCTAAGCGCCTTTTTATAGTGTTGTGTAGTAATTACTGTTATATTAAAATTTATTAGATTAGGCTAGAGATTGCTGTTATCTAAAGGAGTTATCTTTATACTGCTTACATTTCCTGCTTTTAGTGTTGCTGCTAACTTTTTTACTATATTTTTATATGTTGCTACTAGAGTTTTTAATATTATAGCTAGATTTTTTATATTTGCTACTAGACTTTATGTTACTTAACTAGATTTTAACCTTACTATCTAATTTTTCTAATTCTAATTAGTCTAAATCTAGCTCTACTTCTAGCTAATTAGCCTAGGTAATTAATAGCAGAAGATTATGCTATTCTCTAATCTTGTAACTATATTTACATAGCTAGCTAATAGAGTTCTCTATTTTGCTAATAGTATTAGTTATACCTGCTACTAGACTCTGCATAAGTTAGGAACATCTAGCTATTAACATCTAATAGACATTAACAGTATAGTTAAGATTTATGCTAATATTACTACTAAAATTATAGTAGCTTGTAGCTAGAGTTAGGAGGGCTTACTTCTACTTTTAATAGTATTTTAAAGGCTTAAGTTCTTTGTCTAGAAGATTATTTCTAGAAATCTTACACTTTTTAAGTATAGTGTTAATTAATTACTAATTGCTACTAAATGCATATTCTATATACTATTAAAGTCTAGTAGAGTTAGCTGTGTATCTAACACTTACAGTTATAAAACAAACACTTAGCCCCTTTACTTTTATAATAGTAGCATGCGCACAAACTTTTAAGAAAGCCTTAAATAGTAACGCATATTAGAAATTTTTTACTAGATGCTACACATTATTTATAAGAAATCTGCTTAGCCCTTACTATAAACGCCTAGATAGCCTTAGCGCTCTGTAATTTATCTATGTTTAGAGACATAGTAATACTATTACTATGCTTATCTACCTACAGTTAAAGGTATACTAGCTAATTTTATAGAAACTAGTGTAATTTATAGAATGCATTAGAAAATATCTTCTTATTCTAAACAATCTAACTATTTGCTACTAGGTTAGTCTAGTAGTTATTCTAAATAACCTTTTTACTATTAACTATAATAATTCTCTGTTTTTTAGACAGATTATATTTAGATAAGGCTGTATTCTTAGATTTATAGAGAGGATTAGTTTAAGTAGGCAAGGTGTAGCTAGATTTAGTAGAGGTTTAGTGTTATGTAAAATCTTCTAGTAACTGCTATCTAAATTTAGGCAGGAAGAAACCTATTAGATTCTGTCTTTATATTAGGTTTTCTCTAGCTAATTAATGCAGCTTTTAGAATGCAAGAGCATACTCTAATTCTTAGTTTATGCTAGTATCTAGCTAATTTTAGTAGTTCTCCTGCGCTTTGCTGTTGTTATTATTACTACCTTCTTTAATATTTCTACTTTTACTATTGCTAGCTTTATTATTACTATTACCTTTAGTAGTATTTTCTTTATTTATATTATTATTATTATTTTATAGTTCTTTATTACCTAGACTAAACTATAATAAGTAACTATTACTTAAATAGTTATTATTATTTACTACCTAGTTATTATAGACATTATCTATGTTTATTTTATTAAAATTAGCTATTAAGGTTACTAGTTTTAAAGGTTTCTTACTAGTAAACCTAGTGCGCATAGATTAGAGCGCTTAAAAACATTAGCATCTAGGACAATCCTACAGTATATAGCTAGATTATTATTAGAAGTTAGTAGTTACTTTACTAGACTTAGCTTTTTTAGTTTCCTTACTATTAAGATTGCTAAGGCTTAGGCAGAGAGCGTTAGGCCTATTTGCTGTCTAATGTTAGTTGTATTTTATTATCTGCTAGCATTAGACTAGCTATATATACTTACTCTTACTTATTATTAACATAGAGCCCTTTGTTAAAGTTTTATAGTTAAGTAAAGGAGTAAGAGAGGCAATTAGTAGACATATATTAGATGCTGGCCTGTGCGCTAAGCGAGACGCCTGATTATGTCATCCAAGCTTCTGAAAAGGAAGGCTAATACCTGCTCGTTTAGGTATTACTATATCTGTTGAATGGGCTCTTTTAGCTAGCTGCTTATGGTATGAGCACTTAAGTAGTAAGAGTAAGAGTAGTGTACGGTGTGCACAGCGTACGAAGTAGGGTAGGGTGGGGGCAACAGGTTTCTGGTCATTGCTCTCTGCCTTTTCTTCCGCACGGAGGAAAGGGGGAATATCTACATGTTCTCGCACGGAGGTTCGCGCACGAGCATCATGTGACATAGTTACGTGATCCTTCTCGTGCGCAATAACTAGTATCTAGACTGTAACGCTGCTGCTGCGTACGGACAATATCAGATTGTCAGGAAGAATTCTAAGATGGGAAAAAGCGTCTGTAGGAATAGAAAACAAGGAATACTATTAGCAGCACTTTTATTAAAATAGTAATAATAACGGCATATTTATTTTATAAGTATACATTGCATATTAGCAGCTTTTTAATGCATTCACGTGATGAATGTGGTCATGTAGTCACGTGCCTTCCTTGTACAATACTTTGACGTTAATGTAACTTCACTTTGCAGTAGTAGTAGTAGTAGTAATAGCGACAGCGAGAGCGAGATACCAATAGTGATAGCGATAGCGACAGCGAGACACCAACAGCGACAGCAACTCCAACAGCGACAGCAACACCAACAGCGACAGCAACACCAACAGCGACGGAACGGCAACGGCAACAGCAGAACGCATGAAAAAAGCCAGAGTCCAGCTTTCCAAGCCGCAAGTCTGACTCTTTGATGAGCGCCACCATGAAGTGGACACGAAAAGGCGATCCGACTTAGTTCTGATTCGTTGCTTTCTCGGAGCTGTCCAGCGCTCTTCGCCGCCACGCAGCCAGAAGCGATGCTGTCACGAAGCAATGCAGCCAATCCCACTGCGAAGATCGCCCCACAAATTGACATTTGAGTGAGGGGAACTCGCATTTCCGTGTGAAGATCGCACGCCGACATGCAGCGCCACTGATTCCAGCATGAAAGATCAGTTGTGATCTTTGTACTGACTACTTTTTTTTGGCGCGTGCGGGTTAGGAAGCATTCCCATCTGCAAGCCCCCCACACATCACAGCATGGTCCAAAAAAGTCAACTCCAAGCTGATATTTTGCATCGGCAGAGAAGAAGGCCACCTTTTGCCGCTTCAGTCATGGGATCCCTTAAGTTCAAGGGTAAGAACTCGCACGTCCGCATTGGCTGGCAGAGTTGATAAAAGGTGAGTGGAAAAGTTGTTGTATTGCATAAGGAGCACAGCTCCAGCTGTGTACCTTACACTACGCAGTAGCTCCTACATCAGTTGGTGTAAACATTTTCAACTAATACTACCTCACTCCACTGGGTATACCTGTGATTTCAACAGGAGTCTGCGTCCCTATTCGACGGACTTAGATTCGCACATCGAGTTCGTTGACGAGCCGGATTGGCCGAACCATGGGCCACCCGAAAGAGAGTCAGAGACCGGTCAAGATCCCAGTCGATCGATAATGGGGATTGCTATCCTCCAGACCCACAATTCTAACCTCTTCTTTCAGCTCATGCAACAAATTGCAAGGGAAGAAAATGCGGCTTGATTAGCTGCAGGGGGGACAGTTGCCAGATCCAAAATATCCTGAGCAAGCAACCAATCACAGGTCCTGCGAGGCGGTGAAAAGCCTTCGGGATTTGCTGAACACGTGGCAGGGCTCGGGCGCTGTGACCCTTGAAGAAAGGACAAACTGGCGACAAACCCGGAGCATCCGGCCGCCCTGCCCTCCGCCTCCCTTCCGTCAAGGGGCTGAGGGTGCTTGACTCGTTGTGGCAGTGCAGGTATTGATGTGTTCAAGCCAAGGCGCCCACCAATTACGGGAGGATCTTGGGGACACAGACCTGAAGAGTCCGTCGCTACTTTAAATTAGCGATCGCGCATCATAACGCTAAGGTAGTCCCCGCTAACGCAAAGAAGATCAGCTATGCGAAAAATCGCGGTATGTTGAGAACGAGCTCTTCCCAGTGCAACATTTTTTTATGCGACTAGACGAAAGAGAGAGCCGCATCCTGATCATAAGCCGCAGTTAAAAGGACGCACAAGCAAGTAGAGGAGAGGTAGCTGTAGTTGTAGTGCATATGTAAGAGGCATTCTTGTCGAAGACGATACACAGAGCAGCGTCGCCATCTGATTTGACGTCTACTAAATACTGCTTGAAGACGACGTAGATTGAACAATAGGGTCATGGTCTATGAGAAAAGTTAATAGAACGAAGCATCGTGTATCAAAGCCGAGCTGATGCGGAAAGTCAGTCCTCACCCCGCTAGGGCTTGACGAGCGACAAATAATATCAGCCTATGTATCTTATCTACGCTTAACACTTGAGCTAAAATCACCGAATAGGATCGTAATCGCAATGAGTACTTGCTTAAATATATCTTTCTAATTCTCTACAGACTTACGAGATCCATTCCATTCGCGGGCACTAACCTTTTTCATATAAGCCATAAATGTACACGAACGGGACACACGATATGTCCATTATTCATGGAACGTAATAGGTTAGTCCTAACCAGATCTCCACTATTCTCACTTCCGCCAGTCTGTTTCGGTGTCTCACTTCAACGAGTATGAGCCTCGACCCATTCATGAAGCGCCCACTGATCGGCCTCAAAACATTCTAGAGAAAGCTCAAAGCCAAGCTCACTAGCAGCTTTCTGAAGACGATTAACCCTAGCAACTGCCTGAGCTACTTCAGTGGCATGGCTAGTGGCGGCCAACGCCGCGTGCGCCGCAAGAGCAGTCGCAGTGAGGCATTGCGGGGTGGGTGTACGGATTGATTGTTGTGGAGAGCTATCAGAAGAGTGACCCTCGATGTTTAGGTTCGAAGGAGTGGTAGATGCTGTAGGGGGATCCTTGAAGGCTGCATTTGGAAGTTCAGTGGGAGGCCCATCGTTGCCTGGCTGGTTGAGAGTTGCGACAAGCCCCGAAATGTTGTGAATTAAAGGCTCGGTGGTAGTGGGGGAAGTGAGTGTCTTAAGTTTATGCCTTTGGAAATTGTTAGCAACAGCGAATTGCAGAAAGATGTAATACATTTCTTTCTACCAATTTCTTTCGACCGTACGGGTGAAGTTAAGTGAACACCATTCTATTAGGAAAAAAACTGTTGAGAAAGAAGACTTGGTATAACTTGATACCCAAACCCGAAACCACGATAGAGGGGTTGGTAGATACGGAAGTATTGACGGTATATGAAATGGAAAGTCAGCAGTGGTCAAGACAGGGGCTACACAGGACGATACACGCCAAGGTAGAACTCTGGTTAAGCAACCGGCGGATCAAGAGACGAGATGGGTACGTACTCGCAGGAATCATTGCCACAGTAGGCCCTGGACGCCATGACTGATTTGAGGGACTGTTGGAGTGTGAGGGACTGTTGGAGTGATATTGTTTATGAATGTAAAGCAAATGAAGTGTTGCTGAGAAATAGTAGCAATTAGAACGAGGTCGTTTCGATGGGATGTTAGGAGCAGTTTATATGTCCTCGGCAATGGACCCGCGGTAGAAGAGGGGTGGGCAGGAGGGGATTTACAGATTTCCTTTTGCGTGCTGAGTCTGTCCGAGCAACACTAGATAATCCTAGCACGATCAAGGCGTACAAGGCGTTCCTCCAATCGCGTACATCATAGCTGGCTGTGGAAGTGGATAGGTGCATGTCGGCTCTCCATGCTGCACCATGTATCGGACTGGGTAGAGCGTTGCTAGCCACTCAGGAAAGGTGCCGAGACGCCACCTAAGCGGTAGAGCAACGGCTATCTTGATCGCAATCCATGTAATCAACCGTGACTATCGAGAGGTCTCGGTTAACAATGAACAACGAGGGTGGGCTATGAAACGAAAGGCTCGTGCTCTCAAGAACGCCCATTCCGTCGCACTAGTACTTCGTTGACTTTAATTGCACCAAGGCGGTTCATAGAACAAGACGCTCGAATACTCTCTAGACAGCTTGCATCCGCTAGGTAGTACAGCAACGGGAGAGGGCACGCAACGCTATTCGTGGCCAATTCCCGCAATTAGGACCAGGTAGCAGCATGGTCCGCTCGGAAGAAATGCGAACAATAATTTTTTTTTTTTTTTTTTTTCAAACGATGCACGAAGCCTGCGCTTTCGACATGCAGTCTGGCAGCAACGGAAATTGCGAGCACAAATTTGTGGAGTACAGGTCTCATCCGAGAGGCAAAATGGCACCCATGGCGGATCACGACATGCGGCTCTCGCAGTGGGTGGCAGCATGAAAGGCGTCGATACTGACCCGTGGGAGGCTGATATTCTGCTGCCTAAGATCAGGCGGAATAGCCAGGGGGAGAGGGGTCAGTGCAGGTGGGGGCTGCGAGCGATCTTGCGAAGCCACTGATGAACGTGCATATAAGTGCATCGCGCAACGGGTGAGGACAGGCCCGCTGGGGCAGAGCGGCAGCGTAATCGAGATATCTTGAAGTAGGTGGTATGCGGCCATGTGCCCTGATAAAAAGTAGCGCAAATAATGGCGTTTCAAAGGGGAAGCCGTCTGCACACGCTGACTTAACACCACCGACGAAGTGATGCTCTGCTACGCGTTGGAATTTGCCTCATGCATGACTGTAATTCCACGATGACAGCTCACTTGCAGCCCCCGAGTGGCCCGAGCGAGAATGGTCTGAGGGAAGCCAAGCAGCTCGATGCTGGAGTATTTCTAACCATCAGGTTCAACATTTCGTTGTCCTCTTACGACAGCAACCTTGCGACAGGGCTTGTCGGATAAACTTAACCCTGCCTTTTAAAAAGACATAAAGGTTCTCTGCTTCGCGAGCAAGCCAGGCTGTCTCGTGACTCCATTTCCCCATTCATCGTTCCCTTATAAATCGCTAGTGCTTTCATTGTGTTGTCGTTGCCGCCGCTACTTTTCTTAGATCGCTTGTGCTGTTCTCTCGTTCGAGTCCGACTTTATTTCTTAGGCTCTACCCCCGTCTTATTTCATCGCTATCTTTATCCCTTCTCTTCAATTTTCTCATCTTCTCGTTCGCCATCCGGCTTCCGGTGATTCTTGGTCTCCACGGCGCCGTGGCTGTCGTTCGAATAAGCACAAACCTCCGCGGGAAGACCCCGCACTAATTTTAGATCCGGCGATCCCTGCTCGTCCACGCGAACCCTCGTTCCAGTCAAACGCCAACTTTTCCGGAATGTTTGACGAAATACCACGAGCCAATCTTTAAAATTAACTCAAGTACAACATCAATACCCGTTCACGGCGACACCCTGACTACTCCTCTTTGGTGTATGGTTGAAGTAAAATCCATCTACGGAGTTCGCTCCTGGGTAACCAGAACTTCAACTAATCTCACGAAGGGAACGCTCCTGTGAAAATGAAAGCCATTAATGCTGGCACAGCTGTTGGCGAGACCCACTTTGTAGACAAGGACACACTTCTTCTGACGTTTAATTGGACATCAAGTTTTATCAGTGTCATTCTGTCAAAGCGACCCGTACGCTCATCCCGATTTCTCTGTGACTCAGGAGAGGCTATTTTATTGAAACTTCTGGTAAATTTTTCCACAAAATCTGCTTTCTTCAAGTACTTGTTGTACAGCCAAATGGTCCCTACCCTTCCTTGATGGAAGAAGCAAAAGAGAACGTACGAGGTGAAGTAATGGTTTGGCTCCCTTGGGCACCAATGACCTGGTTAGGCTCGGAAACGTACTTTAATAGCATGATAAGCTATGCGAAGTGGAACCCACACAAGTAGTTGGTGGGATCATGATCGAGAAGGCGTCATAAGGAGGACGATGTAAGCTTGCGCGTCTGCATTCGTGTAAATTCGACCGCAAACCCGCCTAGCGAATTACTGGGTTTTGTTGGAAACTTCTGAACGTTGCCGAAATGCCACTGCTGGAATAGGAACTCGGTGGGTGTCGGGCGGAGAAGAAGACCAACGGATCCGTACAATAGCACCAATCCAGCCATGTGGTCAACAAGCCAGGAAGACGTAAAATCCGCACGCTCCTATTGGCCGCTAGGTTCTGCTTGTGGTGGTCAAACTGCTGTGATGAGGTTCCGTGACAGGCCGAATCCGCCTAACCATGAAAACGGACCGCCTAGACCTATCAAAATTCTCATCGATCAAAAACGGGCCTGCACAGCTCTCCAGACCCACAATTTCGTCTCCTGTCTCCACCATGACCGGGATCGTGTTTCGCCTCATGCAATCTGTGGCGTGGGGGAAAAAAACCCCCCTGCACGATAGTGGTGGGGTGCGCTGCCAACTCCTCGTTCTGCAAGCGTTGGCATTCGGGATCACGTCTCGCTGGCCAAGGGTGCTTGGTGGGGAAGCGAATCGTGGCTGTCATGGGCGGTGAATAGGTGCAGGGATTCGCTGTGCACATCCAGCAAACCGCAAGCCCAGGGCTAGGATCGGGCGCAGAAACGCTATGACCTGAAATCATTGCAGCTATCTAGTGCCAAAATGGTCCTACCAAAGGAAGCCGCGCGAACGCTGACTTCCTTATAGCGGTGCACCTAAGTTCAACATAATTTTTCACGTTCAACACACAGGGCTTGAACATGCACTCGCAATATTGGGACCATTATGCACACCGAATTGAAGGCAGATTAAGAGCGCTCGTTGTAGGAATGGTGAGACCATGCCTCGTAAGCTGAACAATTTCGAGAGAAGACAAAGAGGCTAATTCAATCAAACTGATGCTTTGCGCGCGACTTTAGTGCTAAAGTAAAATTCTCGCAGGAAGATATCGAACGAATTTTGCCTGTTGCTGGACTTGTGAACGTTCAACTTCGCTGCGGCTAGATGCGATGATAGTCTTAAAGTAAGAAGATGACAAGAGGGAAAAGCTGATGTGAGCTACCTGGAATTCGAACTCAGCTTTCGGGCCCACAAAAGAGAACCGGAAAACGGCGTCATGGTGTTGCGGTGGAGCGTACGATTTGGTTAGAATATTAAGAGGACAGGTAAGGGCAAAAATAAGAGTCCAAAGCCAGATCGTGACCTCAGCAGTTGGGGTAAGAAGGCACAACACGATCATTATCGCATGAACACGAGCACTTGTTTCTACCCATTCATCTCTTGCTAGACAAACTCAGAATTGAAGTTGCCTATTCGTTGGTAAAGGGGGCGACCACTTATCCACAAACTGGGCGACGACGCACGATCTCAGGACCAAATTCCATGCAGCTGCATTCTGAAAGAGCAGGGTATTTTTGACGTGTATTTTGGTCTGAACTAGAATGACTCCGGTATTTATTCGTGCAGGGAAGGAATTGCTAGCCTACCTAGGAATAAACGCACGAATAACGCCAGAATAGAGGACTAGGAATTGAAAAAGTACATGTAAGATTCAAGGAGCTGAAATAGGTTTCCTCCTTCAGCTTTGCTTAACCCCCGTTTTGTATCATTGTAATATCAGACTGAGTTTAGTGAAAGCTCTGAGTATCGTGTTCGAGAGCCAGCAAAGCTGCACAGAATTAGAGCTTCTGCCAACATTCACTTCTTCTTACGGTACACATTAGAAGGTCTCCCCGTAGATCACTTTCTGCCTCATGAGAGCCACCGGTGATCATGAAACATTTTCACGGAGAATACAATGCACCACAAAGGGAACATAATGTTTTCATAGTTCAGGGTGATAACAGCTCTATACAGCCCCCAGTACTCTCAAATCTAGGGCTTCATTACAGCACTTTAAGTCATTGACTATGAGTCCCGATCCATTCCTGAAGCCCCCATTGCTCTACCTCAAAAAATTTGCGAGGAAGCTCAAAGCTAAGATCGTTGGCAGCGTTCTGAATGCAATCGACCTTCGCAGTTACTCGAGCTGCTTCAGCGGCATGGTTGCTGACAGTTGCCACGAAATGCGCCGTGAGTGCGGCCACTGTGAGAACTTGCGGCGCTGGGATGCGGGCTTGTTGTTCTTGAATGCCATTGGTAGAGTGACACTCGGTGCGCAGCGCCTTAGGAGAGGTACGGGCTACAATGTAGTCCTCCAAGGCTGTATGTGGAGGCCCGGTAGGAGGCTCGAAGCTGTTATCTTGCATGTTGGAGGATACAACAAGCGCTGCGGGTTTGGGAACTAGTGAGACGGTGGCAGTGAGAGGAGTTGGATTCCGGGTTCTTTGCCTTTGGCATTAGTCAGCGGCAGTGGACTGGATAAGATGTATGATGGTTCTTAAAGGAGGTGGATTAATGGCTTGATGCAGAAGTTTTCAGAGTACACGTAGTGGTATGCGTCAGATCGAAATGAAAAGCCACCAATACGCAAGATAGGAGTAGCCTAAGAAGTTCAACAGCAGAAGGAGACGGTTAGACAAGCGACTGAAGCTGCTACATATGGGGTGGGCACATACATGCTAGAGGCACTGTTAAAGTGGGTACTGGATGCCATGGCTGGTTATAGAGACGGCCGTATGAGTGTAATTGGTGGATTAGAAGCAACCTGATTATTCCTGAGGATAGGCAGTAACTAAAGCGAGTTCTTCTGAATGGGATGCCAGCAGTAGTCTGTCATATCATCTCTCGATGGGCCCATTGGAGTGGATTGGAGGTTCCTTTTTCTTCGTATGCTGAGGTCCTCCCGTGGCCAGTGGCAGTATTGAAAATTATGGAACATACGGCACAAATGGTGGTCGGCCCAATGTCACATGGTGAGCGAACGTACTATTAGAAAGACGCACGCCCGGTCGCGATTTGGACCATAGATTAGACCCGACAGGGCCATGCGCGTTACCCTGAGATACCACTTCTATTTTAGCAGAGAGTACTTCAGCCATTGAAAAGACCTGAGGTGCGATATGCACCTTCACTCGCTGCCAAGACTGAAACTGCCATGGTGTTAGTGGAATGGTAGATTGCGAGGTGGACAAATTAAACGCCGTCAGACTGAGGAACGAAGGGCGGTGGATTTGGCAATGAGCTAGGCTCAATCCCTCAGGGCTGCAGCGCTTTGAGGGGTCAGACCAGGCTCTGCGGTGTTAAAAAGTCTAACCGAATACGGCCTGTGAGGCACGACACCGCATAAAGGCGTTGCTGCCCACAGTGAGTGGGTGATGATATCTGCTGCCTAACCCCAGGTGGGAATAGATAGGAGGACAAGGAGGGGTATGGGATTCCGGACGGAGATCGCCAACCTGCACGGGCCGTGGGGGTGCGCCAACTCCCGCCTGCTGTTTGGCGAGGCCATTGTGAGTGCTGAATTCGCACCGGAATCGCAGAGCCGCACTCATCATAAATACCGCAATATATTTTCTATAAGTCACATGACTCCATTTTATTTCTCCATTAACCTTGGAGGCTCAGTAAGGCTTTCATCCTCTCTGAGGATCTCTCCCCCTCTGTCCTGACCTTTCGCTTTCCGCTCATTCGTTCTATTCTCTTAGTACGTTCCTAGCTTCCTCCGTCTATTTTGCCCCCGGGTTTTCTTCCGCTATTCTCCCCTCTTGAAATTGTTTCCCCCTTCCTTTCTCTCTCCGCTTCCCCTTTGGTCAATACTTCAACCAATCCAAAATCAGCGTCCCATTGCACAGCATCGCTTGCGGAAGCAGGCGGCAGGCAGGCAATTTAGATTTCGTTGGAATAAACGACCGAGGTTTGGGAAGGGCCTGCACTAATTTGGCCTTTGTCATCCTTATCCCTCGGGTCCATTCACTGTGACAGACCCTACAAAGAATCGTAGGGCCGACGACTTCGAAGGGCCAGGGCAAGAATAATTCGAGGTGGAAATTCAAGGTACTTCAAAGATGCATTGACGAATCCGCTATTCACTGCAGCATCCAAGTCAGACACTATTACGCTGCGATCTGTTCATTGCGTACTGGCTCTGCACTTGCCCTACGTAGATGCACCAAGAAATGTGGTCGCGGTCGAAGCTGACATCACGGCGTAAGGAGTGTTATTAACCCGAGACCATTGAAAGCGGAACGGAGTTCGCGCGCCAAAGGAGGTGACACGAGAAGCCACAGCTATAGGTAGGTGGTAGAGTTTAGAAGGGGGTGCCAGCCCACTTATTCATAAGGAGGAGATCTTCCGAGTCTGACTTAAACACTGGTGGCAACTTCCTAAGGCCTACTGAGATATATGAGCCCGATCATTTTCCGGCCATACAACACATTATAGTCTCTAGATTTAGTCAGTAAATGGGGCGAGGAAGCGATTCAATCCCAGTTCCAACCAATCTAAAAAGGCCCACCTCAAGCCCCCACCCTCAGCTATCGCATCGAGGTCCTCCTCCCAATGACATTGTACCAAACCAAACTTCTGAATTGCCTACCCGTCAATTCAGCGGAAGCAATAGAATAGAACGATTTCCCTCTAGTGATCAAATACGCGACGCCGGTATTACTTGCTTTCTAGCACATGTACCGGGCGTATGGCAGGCTTTTATTGCCCTCCATAGAACTCTGTTGCAAGAACAGCATGACTTTTTCCTTGCATCGCAAGATGCAATTGTTACTCCAAGCCCTGGAAATTAGAAGGTTAACGTGCCTCCCTGCGTAGCGAGACACCCTGTGTGGCGAGACAAATGAGGGGTACTTTGACTTTGAGCAAGTAGAAAGCTCACGCGCACAACGAATATTGCTATAGCTTTATGAAAATAATCTGCTGTAGCTAACCTTAAATGTCTATGATCCACTCTTCCTTAAAAATTACGTTCGTATTGTTGTGTCCGAGCCTGATTTATAGCACCTTCTTTCGTGGCGTAACAGACTTCCCTCCCTATAGTGCTAACCTTAAGTCCTTACCGCTCCAAATTTTCGTAGAATAGCCTTGTCCGAGCCTCAGAACCTCCCTCTGATGCTAGGAAGTCATCATCAGCCCTATGCGCGTTGCGGGGCGCAATTTCGTGCAGGGCCGCCACGTCGATCGGTACCTCCAGCGGAAGCGAGTCACCGATCCTGGCTAATGCGAGTGACCCTGCACCTCCCACTTTACACGACGTAGTATATCCGTGGGTATTTTACTGTAAGATATGTGGCCGCGTGGATCGCACAAGCGCTCGGAATATCCTAATCTAACCCAGGATCGGGAGCAGCGCCGCGACTTAAAAAGGCTTAGCGCTTATTTAGTCAGCCAACGCGTCTCAGCGTCGAAACCAGCTTCGACAACAGCCATCCTATACACTTCGAGATGCGGTCTGTAGCGATACCTACTTTGGTAACGTCAAAACATACCATCGCGTCGCCATCGAGCGCCGAAATCCGCTGATATCCCCTCCGCTGATTGAACGAAAGGGAGGGTTGCAGATAATAAGTAAATAGGTGAGATCATGAGGGGTATTTGTTGTTATTTGAACCCTAAAGATTTTCAATGAGGACACAGACAGAGATACTCTATATCTAACTTTAGAAACAGGAATCTAACGAGCGTCGTCTACTTCTATACCGCCCTCTTTCCATTCTCCCCCCTAATCCCCCTAATCCCCCAAAAACTCCCAACCCCCTCCCCTCCCGGCATTCCATTCCATCCCCATATTCCACAACCCCAACCCCAAGGCTCAAAGCTAAACACAATGCGCCAACCCCCCACCACAACTATCCTTCCCCCCACAAACTGCCTTCGGTTCGACCGTCCAATCTCCAGTACACAGCCAAAGACTATTCCAAGCGTCTCCCGAATTAAAATCGCATTTCCCGAGCACGTTGCAGAGAGTTCTGCGGAGGGGGGCGGGGTCCCAACCTAATATCACACATTCAGTAAAGTACTTTAAAAGAGCTGGGGGGTTAGGATGGAGAGTAGTTGGTGAAAATGGGTGGAATTGTAGGGAGGGGTTATTGGATGGGTGACGGTTTTGGGGAGGAAATTACCGTTCTGGTCAATCAACCACCAGCCGCAGTACACAGCACCGGGATTGCATTTTGTGGCGCGGGCAGAGAGGTCGTTAGGACTGGGGGAAGCCGCAGGGGAGGCGGAGATGGCGGATGTAAGGGCTAAGAGGGTGAGAGCGGAGAGCTTCATGATGGCGAGATGGCGAGATGGGTTGTTTTGAGAAAATGGGTTGTTGGAGGATTGATAGAGTTGAAGGGTGTGATTTTTGTGATGGTGGTTGTGGGAGGGGAATAGGATTAAATATATGGAGTGGAAGGTCGGGTTGTGGGATATCTACCGTGTTTCCAGGAGGTTGGCGTGATGAGAATGGATGAACATGAGATGCCACCGTACCACCTCCCAGCTACTCTCCTCACCGATATATACCGGCTCTACCGCCTCTTGCATCGCAAGCAACTCCGTACAGAAGTAAAGCTTTGAGACATACACGCGTCCACAACAAATAGAAGTGAACAAGAACAATCCTTTCACTTTAAGTCTAACTGTTGTAAGACCAACCTAACATATATTCAGCTACTCGCTTCACCGGTACATGCCGGCTACACCGCGCGCCCCATGCAACAGATCAGGATAGAAACAAAGACCTGAAGATGCCAATAGGAAAAGAGAAGAACTTTATTATTTCACGTGTCCAACTAATCTGTACTCTTCTCCAAAGCCTACGTTAAAATTAGTTGTACTATCATCTTCTCGTAGTTCAATCAATTTCGCTTCTGCCCAGAGTGCCCTGTTTAGTGCGACATGAGACCGCTCAAACGAGCTAGACCCGACGCGGCGAACTGAACAAGAATTCACCTGCATGAGCTGAGCGTTAACACACGCATGTACACTGAGTTCGGATAGGTCCACCCATGTCCACTACCCACCCTCCATGAGCTATATCTACACCGTCACGTAGCGACAGAACCTGATTTTTCGGCATGCACAAGCTACTAACTACATGTGTTGCCGCATTGAAACGCTGCGGTATTCCGAAAAGGGGGGTTATCTCAGCGAGCTCAGACAGTCGAGGCTTTAATTAGCGCCACACTATACTCCTTAAAGTAAAGCTGTTTTCTTACAGTCTACTAAGTTTTTTCTAAACTAATTAGAAGCTATAATTTTCTTAAAGCTCCTCCTGTCTAAGAGACTTTAGTGCGCCTGTGTAAGTGTAATGCTTTTAATTTTCTTAACTATAGCTAGAAAATTAACTTCTTAATAATTTTTAGCCTCTTTTAGGTAGCTATAACTCTTTTACTTTTTTTATACTATTATTAGTACTATACCTATAATTAATTTTACTTTAATAAAAAAATTTTAGCTTTTATGTGTAAAAACATATTATTTATTATTATCTTTTTACTTAATGCTTACTACTTACTTACTTTACTAGCTTTATTATATCTTCTATTTTAATAACATTATTTTAAGGCTTTTCTACTTTCTAGCATTTTAATCTATAGTATACTATAAAGTTATTTTTACTACTTTTTATGCTTTTATTATCTTCTCTGCTGCCTAACTCTCTTAATCCTTTGTCTAACACACACCTACTAACTACTTACTAGCCCCCTATATCTTAGGCAGATAAACTTGTAAAAGTACTCTAGCTTCTAAAATAGCTTAATTTTAGTATTAGTAACTTTTTACATACTTTTTATGTTAATTTAGTCTTATATACCTATCTATCTGCTACCTACATATTGCATATTTATGTAGCTTTAGAACAACTATATAGTTTAGAGATACTCTTAAGAGATTAATATGCATCTAAAAATATAGTTAATATTAAAAAGCTGTTATATAAACTTAACTTATTAGTAGCACACTTTCTTTTTATAAAGTATAATATTAAGACTAAAGTAAAGATAAGTAGCTTTAATATTAGCAATTCTAATAGCTAGATTATAGTTACTATACTAAAGTAGTTTTTATTACTTTAAAATCTAATGCAAAACTATTAGAGTGCTTAGTCTAGTTATAAGGTAAAAAAAGTATTAACTAATTCTGCTCTCTACTTAATTACTTCTATTATTATGTAAAAGTGTGCTAGGAAGTAATTAAATTATCTTTTAAAAATGCTTAGACATTATCTTTATAGTAGTAATATAAAAAGGTGTGTTATTAAAGTTATGTCTAGTCTTAGCTTATATAACTTTTATAAGATTATTAATAAAGAAATTAGACATGTTATAGAATAGTTAAAAGTTTAGTAAGTATGTTCTCTAACATCCTTCTTTAATTCTAGTGCTAAAAAGTTTACTAGAATAGTAATAACTATAGCTTAAAACTCTTAGCTTATTATTATTTATAATAATTTTAACTATTTAGACTAAACCTGTAATTATGCTCTAAGTGTGCTAATATAGATTATGTGTAATCTTATAACTGCTCTTGCTGTTAAGTGCCTGTAGCTACTAAAAGGCAGTCTTTAATAGAGCATACTTAACTATACTATTCCCTTTTAAGTAGAATCTATATACTAGGCCCCTAGTATAAAACAAGATTTAATATTAAAGGAGATTACATATTATTATTTTTTAAGTGCAGTAAGTTCTGTGCACAGAGCTGCTATATAGTTAATGTTTAATTTACATGCTATAGCCCTCCTAAGTATGCTGTTAGTTAATGTTCTTCTGCTGCAGCTAGTTAGTTAGGTCTAAAACCTTAGTGCTATCTTTTATAATAAAGGTACTATTAAGAAGATATATAAAGTTTATAATAACATCTAAATTAAGTAGTTTAGGCTAAGTAAAGACTTTTTATTTAATACTTTTACTATATTTTCTAATTATCTTTAGCTAATATAGAGTAATTAGAAGACAGTAGAGCATATCTAAAGTGTCTGTTATAAGTAGCAGCTTGCTTGCTGTCTATATAATTACTGCAACTAGATAGTTAGCCTTTCTGCATATTTCTATATTTTTTAGGCTTTAACTTATATAATTATTAGAACTTATTAGAGCAGTCCTAATAGTGTTAAGTCTTTTTTAAATATACTTTATAATATTACTTACTAGAAGTAAACTAGTATTAACTATAATAACATTAAGTATTATTTAGTTACTTTACTTATTTAGTTAAGTTAAGATACTTAAATTCTTTTTTTTTTCTATACTAAAATAGCTTATTAAGGTTATTTTACTAAAATAATTAGCAACTTTAACACATCTACTTATAAGAAATTACTAGGCCTAGTTAATAATGCTATCTATTGTCTTATACTAGTGCAGTATAAAGAGGTTCTTAATAGTATCTAGCTAAGCATCTTTACATACTAGGTTTAAAAAGGCAGTGCTTTTATTACTAGTAATCTTATAACACTTTATTAATACTTTTAAGAAATTAAGGTATTTCTTACACTTAAGTGCGCTATTAAGTTTAGTAATATTAGCCTAATTTGCTAAATAGTTAATCTATTAATTATCTTATTTTATAGCAGCAACTAATAGCGCTATAGTCTTAAGATGCTACACCTACAGTGGCTTCTTATAGATAAGGTGTCTAACCTAGAACTTTAGTGTGCTATTCTAGCCTCTAGTCTAGTAAATATTACTAGGCAAGAAGATATGTTTAAAGCTATTAACTTTACACTTAAGCATGTAAACTATATATATAAGCTAGATATACAGAACCTAAAGAATAAAACACATAATGTAAACTTAACATTTAACTACCTAGCACTAACTAGTAGATATACTACCTATCTTTAAGCTAGCCTAGAGTATAGTTTTAGTAAGAAGTTAAAGAATAATTATACTTATTAGTCTATTACCTAAAAAGTTTTTATGCTAGTAAGTTAGCTTTAAAAAAAAAAAATATATATTCTTACTTATCTAATGCTTAGTATAATGCAGTAGTAATAAGTTTTAATATTATTTAAATAAGTCTTAATAAGCTTAATAAAAAAGTTATAAAATTTAACTAAAATATTATTTAACTAGCTTAGAGTATTTTACTAAGTCTTATTATTATTAACCTAAAGTTAATTAACCTTAATAAGGCTAAGTTTGTTTACGCTGCTGCACATACTAAAGTAGTTAATAATATTTTTTATGCGCCTTTAGACTCTAGAGATACTAACTAGTCTAACATAAACATGTTATAGCTATCTTAGTTACATAATATTAAAAGTGTATAGTGTACTTATAAGTTAGTCTAATTTGTCTATTTATTCTAGCTATGTAATGCTATTATATAGCTTTATAGAAGTCTATGTACATAGAAACTACTATAAGAAACTTAACCTAAGCTAACTACTTTTACCCTTAAACTAGTCTATTTACCTGCGCTGCAGCTTAATAAGAACACTAGCCTAGGCATAATCTGCATAAAATAAGATAGAAGGCAACATCTTCTAGGGGAACTAACTTACAAGACTAGCTGCTGCAGTCTGCAGGCCCTCTACAAGCGCACAGAGCTGCCTAGAGCCCTAGAGGAGGGCAATGTTAGGATCCTTAGCCTTTACTATAGCCTAGTAAAGGCAACTGCAGCATTAGAGCTTACTTATTTTATATACAGCCCCTTAGGCCTAGAGCTGTTAAGCGCTTATCTAGTGTAACTTCTTAAGTAGTAGAGATAAAAGCATGTGCTTTAGACTAAACATGTTACTTTTACTAATATTACTACATTACTTAATATATATTTAGACTATTATAGCTGTGTTTTTTACTTACTTACACTTCTTAGCCTAAATAAAGTTTAGTAAGATCTAAGTAGTAATAATAACTTTAAGTTAAGCTATTAGCTTTTCTTTAGTAAGTAGCTAAAGCAGATCCTCTAAATTATACTTAATAATAAAGACGCATTTAAAGGCCTTAGTAGCGTTAGGTTTAAACTATGTAGTAAAATTATAAAAAAAGTAGAAAAACATAGTAAGAATAAGGCAGCTACTAAGCGCTAGCATTTTCTTTTAGGTCTAAAGGGCTTATTAATAATAAGTAAGCATAATAGTGTTAAAAAGGTAGACAGTAAATATAATGTTAAACTTAATAAGGTAGCTAACACACACTATAATAAAGTTTAGAAGGTCTCTCTATGTAACACTAGCTTTAAGAAGAAACACTTTTTAGTTATCCTAGCTAGCTAAAGCGCGCGTAAGCTTTTTATGTGTAAGGTAGGTAAAGACATTAATATTAAAGAAGCCTTATACTATGTCTACGCCTACATAGACGCTGTTGCCTACTATAAGCTTTACAGCAATAATAGCTCTTCTAGCGCTAGTGCTAAGGTTAAGCACATTCTTATTAGCTCTTAAGCAGGCTATTGCTAGCGCAGTAAAGGTATTATAGGCTTGTAGCATGCTAGTAAGGTCTACCTTACTAATAAACAGCTAGTACTTTTTGCAGACTTTATAGACATTTTTGTAGTAGACTATAGTTATAGCTAGCGTGTGTAAGGTAGATAGTAGTTAAGATAGACAGCTTAAGAAGGTAAAAAGTAAAGTTAGAAAGTAAGTTAATACTTTATCTACTTTACTTTATTAGTTTTAGACATGTATAAATTATATATAGTAGCTTACTATTAAATAAAAAAGTAAAAAGCAAGTAGTAAAAAGTAAAAAGTAAAAAGTAAAAAGCTATTAAGCAGGTTAATGCTAAAAGTAAAGT